CCCCTTTTCTCATTTTTCCCATTTTCGCTGTGTCGGTATTCTTGCTCGATCCTCGTGTGCTATATCAATGCAAAAGTTTAAAGTTTGTGAGATGTATATGTCGGTGAGATGTATATGTCATTTCCCCCCCCCCCCCTACGAACTGTGACTTTTTATCGGCCAATGAAACGTCAAAGCATCAGCGCTTCAGGCGGGAGGGGGGGGGGGTTGAATTCAGACAAGGATTAAGAGACGAAAACAGTACAATGAATCTTCTCGCTCTAATAATTTAATGAGATGTGAAAGCTTCCGCGCTTTGCTTCAGACAAGGATTACGAGTAATAATTTAATGTAACGTCAAAGCTTTTTTTCCTACGAACTGAATTTTTTTTCGGCCAAAAAACCCTTTTTGAAAATTCAGACAATGATGAAGAGTCAGTACAACGAATCGTCTTCTTCCTCTAATAATTTAATGAAACTTAAAACCTTCCCCGCTTTGCTTTAGACAAGGATTAAGAGTAATAATTTAATGAAACGTCGAGGCTTTCGCGCGGGAGGGGGGCAACTAAAGTCAGACTAGAATAAAGAGTCGAGAACGGTACAACGAATCGTCTTCTTTCTCTAATAATATAATGAAACGTGAAAGCTTCCGCACTTTGCTTCAGACAAGGATTAGGATTAATATAATTTAATGAAACGTCAAAGCTTTTTTCCTACGAACTGTGACTTTTTATCGGACAAAATAAGATATCGGACAAAATTGAAAATTCAGATAAAGATTAAGAGTCGGTACAACAAATCGTCTTCTTTCTCTAATAATTTAATAAAACGTCACAGCTTCCGCGGTTGGGGCGGGGGGGGGGGGGGACTGAATTCAGACAAGGAGTAAGAGTCGAAAACGTTACAACGTTAAAAGAAAGTTGCCCCCCCCCCCAAGAGTAGAATTCCAAATTGTCCCAAAATAGATGATCTATTGTACATTCTGGCATCTTCTCGCATTTTAAGCATGAATGAGTATAAAATATGATCTTGAAGCTTTTCATTGGAATGAAATGTGTGTGTTTCAATCAGGGTAATGATTTTTACACATGGTCTCAAAAAATAGTTGAATTATTTATCAATCAAAAGATATTCCTGACGTTTGTAAGGAAAATGATTAACCCTTTGATAGGGAAGAAACACTACTGGTATATGTTCCTATTGAGAAATGGTAACAATAATTCTAATAGTACCATGGTGTTAAAATCATAAACCATAAGTAAAGGAGATATACTGATATGTTTACTGACATATTCAAATTTTATGCATACTTCTTAAAAAAGGGTTCTTGACAAAGGAAAGGGGCAGGGGGCACGCAATTTCGCAGTTTGCATAATATGGGGTCCCTCTTGCAAGGTGTGTAGCCCCCCCCCCCCCCAAAAAAGTAATACATCAATTGTGAGTTAAAAGAGAAAGGAACAAAAATGAAAGAGTATTAAACAACGATAGAAGAAAGGTGCGAGAGCATGAGGAATTGCATTTCTTTTAAAAGAATAATGGGATAACAACCAGGGGCATCACTAAAGGGGTGGGGGGGGGGGGTTGTGACACCCCCTCCCCAACCTGTCAGAATATGGTCAGTAAAATTGCGCTGCTGTCAGGAAATATGAGAAAAGGGGGAGGGGATAAATGAGGGGGAATGGGAAAGAAAAGAAAAAAAGAAAAGATAGAAAAAGGAAACAAAAGAAACCTTGGGGGGGGGGGGGGGGGTGTCTGAATTGTCTGAATTCATTAAATTATTAGAGAAAGAAGACATTTCGTTGTACCGACTCTTAATCATCGTCTCAATTTTGCCGGCCGACCAACATAATACATCTCACCGACTTCAAACTTTTGCATTGATATAGTACAAGAAAATCGAGCAAGAATACAGACAAAGCGGACCCGATACAGCAACATAATTATCTATACGTATCTTTCTTGCTCCTTCGACATGGCGACTCCGCCCAACATCGCCCTCTCTCTCTTATCTCGGGCTCTCACCCCCCTCTCTCTCCTCTCTTTCACCCCCAGTTTCTTTTGTTTCCTTTTTCTCCTTTTTTCCCTTTTTTTTTCCTTTTCTCCTTTTTTATTCCTATTCTCCTTTTTTTTTCCTTTTCTCCTTTTTTTTTTTCCTTTTCTTTCTTTTTCTTTTCCCCTTTTCTTTCTTTTCCTTTCCGTTTTTCTTTTCTTTCTTTTCCTTTCCGTTTTTCTTTTCTTTCCCTTTCCCTTTCCATCCCCCTTTTCTCATTTTTCCCATTTTCGCTGTGTCGGTATTCTTGCTCGATCCTCGTGTGCTATATCAATGCAAAAGTTTAAAGTTTGTGAGATGTATATGTCGGTGAGATGTATATGTCATTTCCCCCCCCCCCTACGAACTGTGACTTTTTATCGGCCAATGAAACGTCAAAGCATCAGCGCTTCAGGCGGGAGGGGGGGGGGTTGAATTCAGACAAGGATTAAGAGACGAAAACAGTACAATGAATCTTCTCGCTCTAATAATTTAATGAGATGTGAAAGCTTCCGCGCTTTGCTTCAGACAAGGATTACGAGTAATAATTTAATGTAACGTCAAAGCTTTTTTTCCTACGAACTGAATTTTTTTTCGGCCAAAAAACCCTTTTTGAAAATTCAGACAATGATGAAGAGTCAGTACAACGAATCGTCTTCTTCCTCTAATAATTTAATGAAACTTAAAACCTTCCCCGCTTTGCTTTAGACAAGGATTAAGAGTAATAATTTAATGAAACGTCGAGGCTTTCGCGCGGGAGGGGGGCAACTAAAGTCAGACTAGAATAAAGAGTCGAGAACGGTACAACGAATCGTCTTCTTTCTCTAATAATATAATGAAACGTGAAAGCTTCCGCACTTCGCTTCAGACAAGGATTAGGATTAATATAATTTAATGAAACGTCAAAGCTTTTTTCCTACGAACTGTGACTTTTTATCGGACAAAATAAGATATCGGACAAAATTGAAAATTCAGATAAAGATTAAGAGTCGGTACAACAAATCGTCTTCTTTCTCTAATAATTTAATAAAACGTCACAGCTTCCGCGGTTGGGGCGGGGGGGGGGGACTGAATTCAGACAAGGAGTAAGAGTCGAAAACGTTACAACGAATCGTCTTCTTTCTCTAATGATTTAATGAAACGTCAAAGCTTCCGTGCTTCAAGCGGGAGAAGGAAAACTGAATCCAGACAAGGATTAAGAGTCGTAAACAGTACAACAAATCGTCTTCTTTCTCTAATAATTTAATGAAACGGCAAAACTTCCGCGCTTCGAGCGGTAGGGGGAGGGGGAACAGAATTCAGACAAGGATTAATAGTCGAAAACATTACAACGAATCGTCTTCTTTCTCTAATGATAAAATGAAACGTCAAAGCTTCGGCGCTTCAAGCGGGAGGGGGTCATGAATTCAGACAAGGATTAAGAGTCGTAAACAGTACAACGAATCGTCTTCTTTCTCTAACAATTTAATGAAACGTCAAAGCTTCGGCGCTTCGCTTCAGATAAGGATTAAGAGTAATAATTTAATGAAACGTCAAAGCTTTTTTCCTACGAACTGTGACTTTTTATCGGACAAAGAAACGTTTTTGAAAATTCAGACAAAGATTAATATAAAGATTCATCTAAAGACGAATCGTCTTCTTTCTCTTATAATTTAAATTGATTTCAGACTAAGAGTAGAGCACGGTACAACGAATCGTCTTCTTTTTCTAATAATTTAATGAAATGGCAAAGCTTCCGCGCTTCAACCGGGAGGGGGAAAACTGAATTCAGACAAGGATTAAGAAACGAAAACAATACAACGAATGGTCTTCTTTCTCTAATAATTTGATGAATCGTGACAGCTTCGGTGCTTCGCTTCAGGCAAGGATTAAGAGTAATAATTTAATGAAACGCCAAAGCTTCGCGCGGGAGGGGTGAAACTGAATTTAGACAAGGATTAAGAGTCGGGAACGTTACAACAAATTGTCTTCTTTCTCTAATAATGTAATGAAGTGTCAAAGCTATCGCTTCGCGCGGGAGGGGGAACTGAAAAATAACTTAGTTCCTAGACCCGGATTTATAGGGTTAAATTTGTAGACATTGGGACATTTGCATTAATATATTTGTCGGTAACTGGTGGCTAGTTTTGTCGGTAATCGGTGGCCTCTACACCGCCCTCACTGAAAATGGTCTAGCGACGCCCTAGAACAATTAACACAGTTTATACACTCTAGATAAATTTTGCAAGTACTACTGGTGAAGTACCAGACCACCGTCCTTGTGCATTGTGCAGCAACGAAGCATATACAACGTCTCGCGACGAGACAGATCACTTTTCTCTAATTTCTAACCAATCAGAAGGCCTCGCTTTTTAACAGGAAGTGCCGGAGGACATTAATCCGCCAAATGTGGTCCTCAAATTGCAAAAGATCCCTACTCTTGGAGGGGTAGGAGAAAACAAATTTACGTCATATTACTCCAGGAAGTGCCTGAAATACGCGTATATATTGGTTCTAAAATTGCAAATACTTCCTACTCTAAGAGGCTGTTCACACCGCAATGAGATAGCGCGGTCTATCGTAGCACCCCCTTTTTTCTAGCGCGCGCTAGCCCGCGCTATCTCTCGTGGACCACCCCCAAGAGGTGCTCCAGTGTTGGCTCGCCGTGGCTCGCTGTTGGGCGGACCGAAACGACGTTGTACCTTCCAAACCGCGGAGATAGCGCGGTCTAGCGCGCGCTATCTGTGCCGGTGTGAACAGCCTCTTAGAGGGGTTCTGACCCTCTCCCAGACCCACCCCAGACCCACCATCGTTTTCCATATATTTCACCCCATGCTATTTTGTGCCCCTCCCCCCCCCCCCCCCGGTAAGAAATTCCTGGATCCGCCACTGCCATTGTCACCATTCGTGCAATATTACTGTTCGCCATATAACTTTGGACGAATTCGTTTTCCCTCTAGGCCTATGTGTGCATGCAACTATTTATCACCTTTCATTGTCTATGCACTATTAGATTGAGGACAAGGTGAATGAATTGGTGAGAAGTAAGAGCGGTACAGCACCTGTCAGTCAACCGCCAACTGCTCCTAAGGAAACGACAGAGGTCACAACAAGCATCACACCTAGCTTTCCACAGGTCAGAACATACCATCTTCCAACATAAAGATGTATTATCGTCATACTTTACCAGATATAGGGCTGATAATTACCTTCTTTTTTCTTTTCTTTTTTTCGCGATTATTTTCCGATTTTTGTTTTGCTTCCCGATTTGTTTAAATATATTTTTATAAGGCACACCTGTGTATAAGTCGCACCCCTATTTTGAAGAAAAAAAAAAGCAAAAAAAAATCTGTCATCTTTAGTTTAAAACCAACATTATTACTAGGTCTAACTTAGTTCCAATCGGCAATGTTTTATTGACACTACGGAGATCTAAAAACAATAATTATCGGCAGGTTATGTTGCCCCTATGGAGCTCTAAAAACAATAAAAATCGGCAAGGTTTTGTTGCCCCTATGGAGCTCTAAAAACTATAAAAATTGCCCCTACGGAGCTCTAAAAACAATAAAAATCGGCAAGGTTTTGTTGCCCCTACGAATCTCTAAAAACAATAATTATCGGCAAGGTTTTGTTGCCCCTACGGAGCTCTAAAAACAATAATTATCAACAAGGTTTTGTTGTCCCTACGGAGATCTAAAAACAATAATTATAGGCAAGACTTTGCTGCACCTACGGAGATCTAAAAAGAATAATTATCGTCAAGGTTATGTTGCGACTACGGAGCTCTAAAAACAATAAAAATCGGCAAGGTTTTGTTGCCCCTACGAAGCTCTAAAAACCATAATTATCGACAAGACTTTGTTGCCCCTACGGAGATCTAAAAACAATAAAAATCGGCAAGGTTTTGTTGCCCCTACGAAGCTCTTAAACAGTAATTATCGGCAAGGTTTTTGATGCCCCTACGGAGCTCTAAAAACAATAATTATCGACGAGGTTTTGTTGCCCCTACGGAGATCTAAAAAGAATAATTATCGTCAAGGTTTTGTTGCGACTACGGAGCTCTAAAAACAATAAAAATCGGCAAGGTTTTGTTGCCCCTACGAAGCTCTAAAAACCATAATTATCGACAAGACTTTGTTGCTCCTACGGAGATCTAAAAACAATAAAAATCGGCAAGGTTTTGTTGCCCCTACGAAGCTCTAAAACAATAATTATCGGCAAGGTTTTGATGCCCCTATGGAGCTCTAAAAACACTAAAAATCGGCAACGTTTTGTTGCCTCTACGGAGCTCTAAAAACAATAAAAATCGGCAAGGTTTTGTTGCCCCTACGAATCTCTAAAAACAATAATTATCGGCAAGGTTTTGTTGCCCCTACGGAGCTCGAAAAACAATAATTATCGACAAGGTTTTGTTGCCCCTACGGAGATCTAAAAACAATAATTATAGGCAAGACTTTGCTGCACCTACGGAGATCTAAAAAGAATAATTATCATCAAGGTTTTGTTGCGACTACGGAGCTCTAAAAAAAATAAAAATCGGCAAGGTTTTGTTGCCCCTACGGAGATCTAAAAACAATAAAAATCGGCAAGGTTTTGTTGCCCCTACGAAGCTCTTAAACAGTAATTATCGGCAAGGTTTTTGATGCCCCTACGGAGCTCTAAAAACAATAATTATCGACGAGGTTTTGTTGCCCCTACGGAGATCTAAAAAGACTAATTATAGGAAAGACTTTGTGGGCCCAACGGAGATCTAAAAATAATAATTATCGGCAAAGTTTTGTTGCCCCTCTGGAGACCTAAAAAACATAATTATCGGCAAGGGTTTGTTGCCCCTACGGAGATCGAAAAACAACAATTATCGGCGAGACTGTGTTGCCTCTACGGAGATCTAAAAACAATAATTATCGGCAAGGTTTTGTTGCCCCTACGGAGTTCTAAAAACAATAATTATCGGCAAGACTGTGTTGCCTCTACGGAGATCTAAAATCAAAAATTATCGGCAAGGTTTTGTTGCCCCTACGGAGATCTAAAAACAATAATTATCGGCAAGACTTTGTTGGCCCAACGGAGATCTAAAAACAATAAAAATCGGCAAGGTTCGTTGCCCCTACGAAGCTCTAAAACAATAATTATCGGCAAGGTTTTGATGCCCCTACGGAGCTCTAAAAACAATAATTATCGACGAGGTTTTGTTGCCCCTACGGAGATCTAAAAAGACTAATTATAGGAAAGACTTTGTGGGCCCAACGGAGATCTAAAAATAATAATTATCGGCAAAGTTTTGTTGCCCCTCTGGAGACCTAAAAAACATAATAATCGGCAAGGGTTTGTTGCCCCTACGGAGATCGAAAAACAATAATTATCGGCGAGACTGTGTTGCCTCTACGGAGATCTAAAAACAATAATTATCGGCAAGGTTTTGTTGCCCCTACGGAGATCTAAAATCAATAATTATCGGCAAGGTTTTGTTGCCCCTACGGAGATCTAAAAACAATAATTATCGGCAAGACTTTGTTGGCCCAACGGAGATCTAAAAATAATAATTATCGGCAAGGTTTTGTTGCCCCTACGGAGATCTAAAAACAATAATTATTGGCAAGACTGTGTTGCCTCTACGGAGATCTAAAAACAATAATTATCGGCAAGGTTTTGTTGCTCCTACGGAGATCTAAAAACAATAATTATCGGCAAGACTGTGTTGCCTCTACGTTGACCTTCTAACATATATCATATATTCAACATTCATCTAATATATTCAACATTTATCCAACATATTTTTGTCCACTACCCCCACCGACTTCCTGACGATGGACAGTTAACCTGTCCAAAACGTTTAGTCTTCATTGATTCGACACGAAAAAATACAAACAGTCCATTTATCGCAAATCTATTAAAGATATTTTATTGTGTTGGATAGACACTGGGAAAATAAATTAGATCATTTTGTTCATTTTTTTAAACAAAATTATGTATATTTGTTGTCTAGAGGCACTTGAGTTTTTGTGAACAGCTACTTGTAAATGTTTGATATCTGCAATCTGCCGTCAGAAATAATCATTCATAGATTTGTTCTGCTTTAAAGGTTTTGGTTTAGAATGTATGTGCTTGTAGACAAGCAACCAGAAGACCTAGCTACTATATCAAGTCTTTTTCAAGGGACTGAGCAATTATTTAAATAGCCTGGATAGTACGTTGATAACATCAACAGATTTCAAACCCAGGATTTTCCAGATCTAAGATCACTGCTCATTCCAGTGATTTAGTCGCAACTTAATCCCTGGGACCCGTTTCATAAAGCCTTCTCTCAATGACGAATGACAAATATCAGTGACAAATCTGCTGATAACCAATCAGAAGCAAGGATTTCAGTAGCTTATAACAAAAACCGATATTTGTCACTGATGACAAGTTTTGTGAAACACCCCCCTGGACTGAACACTTTACCTTACCGTAAACCTATTTCTAAACCTATCTTCAAAAATGTGTAAACAAAGAAATCTCCTTTCAATTGCCGCAGACTTCTGGCTTTTCAAGGGTGAGGTATGGAGGAGCTGACTACAGGACAGATAGTTTGATGTCATCTGTACAGCAGCTTATCCAAGACCTGCCTCTGGACAGTCTGGGAATGGTCCCGGTGCCAAGGGCTGTTAAAGAATCGTGAGTACATACCCTGCTTTATGTGTCTTAACCTTATTGCATCACTCCTGTACACTGTCCTTAAAAGAAAGCAGTTGTTTCAAATGCCAGGGGGTATTTCACAAAGACTAAGATCGACTTTAAGTTCGACTTATCTACCGCAGGCTATTCATGCCACTGGTTGCTCTCACCATTGGTCTCTCAATGAATGATCTTTAGATAATATTTTTTCCTTGATTAATGAATTGTAAACAAATGTGAATTCTGTAGATACGTGACCATAATTTGTACGTCCCTTGAGAGACCAATGCCAGTAAATGGTGAGAGCAAACAGTGGCAGGAATGGCCTGCCATAGTTGAGTCCAACTTAAATTCAATCTTAGTCTTTGTGAAACACCCCCTTGATACCTTAATGGAAGTTGCCCTTGATTAAATGTTATGATCTTTGAGATATGATGGTAGTCTGTTAGAGTAAAGTCTGAACGTAACAAAAAAAGCTATTTGAACATTTTAGTAATTGCTTTCCTTGCTTTGGCGGAAGATGCTAGAGACAGGACTTTGAAGAGTTAGCTAACAAGGGACACAACATCCCACCTCTTAGAGTGGCAAATATTGAAGATTAATGAGGAGTATAGAAGATTAATGGAAATGATAATAACAACGATGGTATGATGATGTCTGTTTTAAAAGTTGATTGTTTTGTTTTCCATTGCATTTTATAGGTTGCAGCAGTATGAAGACAGTCTGAACACCTTCAAAGTACAGCTAGAGTGTGGAAATGGCTCCCTCTCCAGGAACTTTGCGGACAACCGTCTTACCTAAAGTACCGTAAGAGTGTGAGGGTCTTTCAAATTGAAAAGAATAGTTGCTTCCAATCTGGATGAGCATTAGGCAAAGGGCAAAATATGATGCTGTCAGAATTGAAGTTGGTAGTCTTTGATTGTTGCATCTATGGTAGGCAGAATTGTGGTGATGTATAGATCAGAGAGAATACCTTAGTGGAACAGTTTTGTTTGTGTATGAGTTCATTTGAGTACGAGTTGCTGGTGAAATGGGAATACGTTATTCCCAATCGGTGGGACCTGGGAATAGAATTTAAGGACATAGTCTGCAGCTCTCTTAGACATTTGAGGACTGAAAATTAAGGAGTCACTGAAATAAGGGTATGAAGGCTTTTCTCTGGAAAATGAAGAAAATGGTTGCATTCAGTCTATTATACTGCCTGCGTATATGCATGAAAAGAACAAATGAAAAGAGTTTGTGAGGACAGATGTTAAAGGTCATAGGCCGAGGCATATTTAGAGATCCATTTGCATTTATCTTTTTGTAACAATTACACTTTATCCGTATATTTGTATCATATTACCGATAACATATGAACAGTTACTTATTCTATATAAATACATTTTGTTTTATTACAGCAAGAAGGTTGTTAAATCTATGTAAAACTACACATATTTTCATTTCATTTCATTTATTAATTTCCACATTCAAAGATAAAAACGAGAAAATGCAACTTAATATATAATAATACATGATATACAAATTACAGAGAAACAACAATATATACGGAAAACATTCAACGATTAAACAAAAGAACATTTGAAAAGGAGAAGGTAAAAACTACATGTGCACTTTGATATTTGAATATGGGGGAGGGGGGGGGGGTTCACCAAAAGCCCCAAAAGGCTTATCTGGGGCAATCCCAGTGTAAAGTAATATTAGGAAAATCATGGAGGAGAGAGAGAAAAAGATACAAAACAATAAAAAGAAAGTTCACATGCATGACCTGAGGTTTTAAGTGTTTTTGCACAGCAAATAGGATTTATATTTCTTTTTGAAATTTAACAATGTTGGACACAACTTCAAATCGTTTGGGACAGCATTCCGCCCTTTCGTTCCAATAAAATGTTATAGTGTTTCTTGACAATTTTTTTTTAAACAGTGGCAAGCGATATTCCCCTGCATTCATAAATTATACTAATGAAATGTACAATTCAAATTAAAAATATGATTAAATTTGGGCAGAAGTGTATCTCTAAATATGAATACATAAATATAGCAACTTGCAACCGATTCATTTGATAAATATTTAAAATTTTCATTTGACTAAAAAGAGGAGTGCTATGGCACATTATTTTTAATGCCTGTTTTTGAAGTATAAACAATCTATAGCTTGTTGTTATTGCACAATTTCCCCATACTATGTTGTAATATGAAAAATATGAAATAAGAATATTATACAATATTAAAGATACCTTCAGTGGAAAAATGTTTTTACATGATATATAATTTACATGCTCCTTCCATGATAATTTTGGATCAATTGTCGCACCAAGAAACTTTGTCTGGTCAACCTTTTGTATTTCGTTATCACCAATTAATAACAGCAGCAAAGAATCATCCAGAAACAAGCTTTTAGGTTTGAAAATCATGTAACAGGTTTTTTCCATATTAGTTTTCAAACAGCTAAAGCTAAACCACATTTCAGCATTTTTTAGTTCAGTTAATTACATTATTCAGTTCTAATACATTATTACTTCAAAAAAACAAATTTGTATTATCTGCAATCATAAGGGAAAGAAAACGGTCACTGACATACTGAAAATTATTGATAAATAACAAAAACAAAAATGGTCCAAGGACTGATCCTTGTGGAACACCATAGGGTATGTATTGTTCATTTAATGTACACTTTTCAACACATTTAAATTGGTTGTGATTAAAAAGGTAACTTTGGAACCATTGAAAACATTTCCTCTTATTCCATAGTGTTCTAATTGATGTAACAAAATTCTATGGTTTATACAATCAAAGGCTTTTAAAAGATCTATACAAATTCTGATTATACATTTCTTTTGTTCTAATACATTGGCAAGATTGTGGGTAAATTCTAAAAGTGTTGTACTTGTTGAATGACTTTGTTGAAAAACCAAAATGTCTCTCATACATAATATTACTTATCTCATTGCAATTCATAAGTTTATGGTACATAATTTGTTTTCAAACGTCTTTGTGAATACAGATAATCAGGAAATCAGTCTATAATTTAATACATTGTATTTAGCCCCCTTCTCAAACACTAGAACTACTTTTGCCAATTTCAGTTTGTCAGAAAATATTCCAGGTTCTAATGAAAATTTAACAATATTACACAGTGGTTGTAAATTGAGTTGAAGCAGGTAGTCTTTTTGTACACCTAAACACTTATGTCATCAAATCCCGGACTCCCATTTTTTTTCAAACCACTAAAACAAATTCTGAAATGTCAGCAATCGTAATAGGTGATAAAAATACAGAGTGGATTATTCTTGTTTTTCAAAAAACACTTAAAATCTTTATGTTTTACTTTTATGATGTGAATTGTGAACTGTGAATCATTTTATTGTATATGTACATCAATGTGTGTACCGGTAGTCATTTCTTGTTAGTGTGTGTGTGTGCGTGCGTGTGTTTGTGCCGATATATTTGTTTATACCCCAAGTTATTTACAGCATACACTGTTCTACCAATTTTTGTTTGAAAATTAGTTAAGCAGTGTTCACTAGCTATTTTTATAGCAGAGCCTTTTTCCAAGAAGATGGACTCTATTGAACAATTATTGTGTATTTTGTTTATCTAATAAGGTATTAAGAAACTTATATTTATCAAATCTTAACCTTAATCATAATGAAGTGATGAAAGAGGAACTTTAAATAAAAGCATATTTGATTAATTCTATTTTTTTCTTTGTATATTTTATTAAAACAAGACTATTAAACTTTGTATTTCATTCATAATTTGTTCAACAAATGACAGAATTCTGAAACTCATTTCTAGACCTTGTTAATCTGACATTGATAGGTAATCTATTCCAAAATTCACTGCCCACAAAATACAATGAAAATTGACCATGTATCGTTCTAAATTTTGGGAGATGTAATTGTTTACCTTCTTGTTGTCTTATGGAATAGGTATGCTCTATAATATAAGAAGTCATATTCCGTTTTATGAGTTTTAAATCAGTTTGTTAACTAAAGTTTAGAAGAATAATCTGATCAGATAATTCTGAAATGATTTTATAGAAAACACAATTTTAATACTTTATGTCAGATGTTAGATACTTTTGTACAGTGTATATGCCTTTGTCAAACACTTTATCTTTGCTTTATAGCTCATAACCATTTGATTTATTTAGTTTACGTATTACATTCAATATATATGTTTCCTCTTAGTGTCTCATTAAAACGTGTTGATATTTTATATTCAAGTTGAATTTCTCCCATATTTGCATCCTACATCATACAAATTGATAATCCTTTAACATTTCATCCATGAATACTTTGTATCAGTCATTATCTCACACCATTGATTCAACACATGCTATTTAAATGTCTTTCACAAAATGTTATATTGGTCTGCAAGTCAAACCTACATGTACATGCACTACAAAAGTAGAAATTATTGTCAAAATGTAGAAATAATAAATCTGTTGAAAATATATATCTATTTATTAGTGTGTATGTATCATAGCAGTGTATGTTGTAGCTTATTTTAGAGGGAAGAGAGGAAAGAGAGGGGAGGGAGAAGAGAGAGAGAGGGGGAGAGATTTGGAAAGGTGTGGGATTGATACAGTGGGAGGAGGATAGACAATGAATGATCTACATACACGTCACAATGATCTTCGCTTTTATTGCATAACTTCCCATGGTTTGATTGTTTAACCTGCAGGGTTAAATACTCTCTCTCCCAGACACACACAACTAGGCAAGTACGTAAAATATAGACACCGATCCACATATTTCAATTGCAAACTAATTTATTACCAACATCCATACCGTATTAGGGTTGAGTTAATTTTGAGTTCGCATTTATCAGATTCAAACATTTGGGTGATGTATCAAATCACAAACATGCTTCTCGTTTCATGTTACCTTAAAATCTATTAGCCACCCTTAATGTACCAATGAAGCATCGTGCTACGAGCACTAAAGGCTAGTCATAAACATCATCTGGCTACTCAATATATATCAACTTGCTCAATGCTGTACATACAAAGACTACCCTCCTCCTCTAGTGGACCAGTCCTATCTAACATGCAGTCCGCTATACATTTCACTTTCATAGACTATTACATTGTATCACAGAGGTAGGTTTAATTAGATTGAAAGGTTTCTCTTTCTCTTTTTATCCGTCTACACTGAACTACATAACTCTTCTATGCTTAAGAAATATCCAGCATATACATTTTATACAAGAGTTGAAGAGTTGAAGAGTTGATTTCATACATGTACATTTCATTCTTTCTTGCTGCATGAAGGATTCCATTTTTTAAAACTTTTAAAAGTAAACAAATTGCACAACTTCATATGAAATCTACACACTTGCTGAAAAGTTTATGGCGTAGCAGATTTCATATATTTCAAACAGTTTTAAAGTAAACGAAGCGTAGTTGATTCATGGATAGAAAGGCATTTCAGAATGGCTTTGAGTCCTGTATATAGGACCTTTAAGAAAGGAACGAGATGAAATGGGATTTACAAAGTGAAGTTCCAATTGGCAACACTTTAAAGAGGTGGCAATGATGAAATTATTCGAAGCTCAACAATTCATCTGAAAATTACATCAATTTTAAACTATAAGAAAACACTCCTGCCTATATAAATCTTGTACAATTAATACATCCCATCACCTTTCAATATGTACATGGTATCACACTTCCTCTTTCTTTCTTTTTTCACAAAAAGCAAAGTTTGCAATATCCAATTTCATCTAACTTTCACTCCTGATAACAACACATGTTAATTTACATTCTTTCCTATAAGCATTTCATACCTAATTATACATCAATAGTTTTACCTACAATAGGAGCTGAAGCAAAGAGCTCTATTAAAGAGGCTTGCTATTTCATCTACTTTTTCATACGTTTAACAAATTACAAAGTAACCCTCTTCTCGCCACCAATTGTAGATTACACTCGGTATGGACTATCCAATTCCTTGTTTTTATAATTATACTCTCGGCTAATAATTCATGACATATAGTCCATGTAATAAATAAAGAGTAGCATGCATTCTTGATCCACTTGTCTACATCTTCTGCGACTGTTTTCAGTGTTGTTTACTCTGAGATTCCACAAAAACGTTGCAGAAACTACCATTAGCCACAACAAATAGACAGTGTGAATGACCCTTGACAATTTCATTGATATACTTTGGAATTAGTTCCAAATCAACTTTGGAAGGGTTGGTTTCAATTCATTCCAGCCTTTCCGATGTAACTAAGGAAACCAATTATGCTCTTAATAGGAGCTTTGTAACAGTTGTACAAAGTTAAATTTGCACAATATTAAGTTTCACTAAGATTCACTGCTACTTTAAAAATGCAACCAATATCCTGTATTAGAGTAAGGCATGTAGCTAATAATACTTTTGACAATTCATACTCTTTATTGCAGACTTTGTGTATGAGATGCTGTCTGTAAAGAGAGGCAGTATACACTGAACATATTATTTCTTTCAAAAGAACCATTTATAGAAAGATGCAGTTTTACTAATACTTCAACATACATAATCATAAATACAACAACGAGATCTAACCCAGTCTACATCACACACTGCGTTCAAAGTATATTACAAATTGGTCTGATAACGGAAGATTTCTTTAGACAGAGGTAAAAGGTCATGACAAAGACATCCATTTTGGGAGCCACAGTAAACCCTTGAAACATCTCAAAGCAAATCACATTCATCCCTTGGTCAGGTTGGGTTATTTCTTGTCTGCTTGGAGCTTTAGAAGCTTTTAAGGAACAGTGCAAGGGCCAGAAGGGCATAAATCCTATCCTTTATAAACACAGAGTTAATGCCGTTCTGGCTCACGGCAGATAGCATGAACCCCTAACAATTGCATACATACATACAATGCACAGTATGTACGTGTTGCCTACTACGTGTCGTTAGTATTTCTAGAAAATTCTAAAGTCATGCTCACAAAAAAGTTAGTACAACACTACTATATAATTTTTTTAGTGAGAGCTATAAAGGAAATGAATATTCATGAAATACAATCTCCAATTCAATATCCTTGCAAGAATCATCCAAGAGAAAACATACATTACCTAGTACACTGCCTTCCTCTTTGCACCAAATCCCCAAACAGAATAATAAGAGTACACATAACCCACGCTTTCCAAAGGGTAATTAAGTCATATATCAAAAGTACAAAATTCAATTTCACAAAAAGCAGATGTAAACAGTACAAAATATTTCCTATAGATTTACACTGAATAAATATCAATATGAAATGAACACACACAAATTAACCATCGTTTTATAGTATTATCTATTGTGGTCTGCATCAGACGTACATGTAAATTCAGAATACCAAAATAAAAAAAGGCAATATCTGGCTAACGTTACAGAGATTAGTTCACAATGAAAATGTAAAACTCATAATCAGAAGACGATTTTAAATATATTTTTCTATAAATTTATATACAGAACAAAGTACGAGTTGAAAGATGCACGAGCATTCGGAGAGGATCGCAGACTAATTGAGAATCGTAAGTTTGGTAGGAAACTTGCATCCAACGGTTTTGATAATCCTTCGTATTTTCTCCCTTTTGCTCTGAGAAGCTTTGAACTCAACAATCATGAAATACAAATGCAGCATTGATCAAGTCATTGTTAAAATGAATACAAAAGACATGTATATAAACTGAAACTGAACATTTATCATATTGCGGGGTGAAACACAGGTAATTTATTCATTGTGTTGAAAAATTGCTGGTATGCCATCTTCCATGGATACTCGCAAGTATTTGTCAAATTAATTTAAGTTTATATCTTACCTTCTACTCTCATATCATATTTGATGCCCTTAGACTTTTCAGAAGAAACAAAGAAAAAAAGCTCAGTAAATGGGTCATGTGAAGAAGACTATTCAAACCTTGAATTCAGGAATGGAATGTGCATCAATTAAGTTATGAAGATTTATTACTTTCAAAGAAACTAAAGTACCTAATGGGCAATGTGATAGCAGGTCTTTTTTCATGGAGATTTCCAACAATGTATTCCAGTTGTTAAAAACAGATCAGCCTAATGCATTTAATAATGGGATTATATATCATGAAATGAATTCCATAAATACCAACATACACAATAATTTATTTTCATTATATTATTTATCATATAATGAGAACAGTTGTCTTATAATATTAAATGCCATAGGAAAATTTCAACGTTCAATTCATTCTATAATCAGAACCCCATTTGTCCTTAAACTGTTCCATCTCCCCCGTGAATGGAAGATAAAATGAAGGTCTACATGCAGAATGGTATCAATACTTCTGATGTCTGGTCTTAGTAGCACAATCGTAAACCCTTTGATAGAAAGGACCATTTACTACCATTACTTAGGCATCAGTAATTATTTAACTCCAGGGAGCTCTGCTGCCGAAAGCGTCGGAGCTCCAGATCCTACACTATTCAAACAGTGGGTTTGGTTATATTTTTTGGAAATGTAAAGAAGGAGTAATTAAAATTTAGGCTTACAATGTTTTTCGACCCCTCTGGGCATCCGGTCAACCACATGAAATTATAATTTGAAGATGTCTTTGATGGGGAAAAGGGTGATTCCTTGTCGTAAACCAATTCAACCATGTTTTAATCGTTGATTCAACATGGAGAAGAGAAAGTATTCATGCGCGGTAGCGGCGCAGCACATATGAATAACATGTTGTATGTATACGTACTTTCTCTTTGATGTTGAATTGACGATATATAACATGTTATTCATATGTGCTGCGCCGCTACCGCGCATGCCCACTTTCTCTTCTCCATGTTGAATCAACAATACACAACATGGATGAATTGGTTTAGGACAAGGAATCATCCGTTTTCCCATTAAAGACATCTTCAAATTATAATTTTAAGTGGTTGACCGGATGCCCTGAGGAGTCAAAAAACATTGTAAGTCTAAATTTAAATTACTACTTCTTTACATTTTGAAAAAATATAACCAAACTCGCTGTTTGAATGGTTTCCTGGTGTAGGATTTGCCTGGAGTTACAGTATATCATGTACTAGCCTGTTCTACAGAATATGCTAAGTATGGGGTTCAAATTAACAAGGTGCCCACCGGAGAGATAGGGAAACAAGCAACATGATAGAAATTATTTTGGAATGTACTGGGCTACCCTTCATCAAAAACTTCAGATACATATAAAATGAACAAAAAAGAAATATCTCTTTACCATCAAACTAATATTTAAAAAAAAATATCTTCAAATGAAATGAGTTATGATCTCTAGAATAGAATACAAGTGGTATTACAAAACACTATTTTGCTTCTTTAGGGATAAGACAAAACAAACATCTGCATAAACTGACACCAAAACCATCAAAAGGAAAAAATGATAAAAGGATATAACCAAAATAAAAAATATGAAAACATAATGGAATGAATCAATGCTATTTGGTATTGTGAACCAAGGCTAAACTACAATGCAAAATAGAAATTTCATCTTGATAACATGTTGAGTTAATTGACTAGTAACAATACATTTATGTACTTGAACAAGCAAACATATAAACCCTCTGCATAAACATATATAAGTGACAAAAACAATGTAACTTATCACAAAGTAATTTTGATATTCCTTTCTCTTGGCACATTATTGAGGTGTGAAAATACTGTTTTATGTTACACAATATTATTTCCCATGAAACCTTCAGTTCTTGATGGATGAGAACATCATATTCGGTGTTTAGTATCATATCAACACTATTTCACAATTAGTTTGCATGTGGAACTATTTGACTACCATGCGTTATTCTGAAAAGGACAGGTTTGTATTTCATGTCATAGTCAAGGGACGGTTCTTGAAAGTCTTCTTGGAAGAAAAGGTAAAAGACGTTTTCCAAACAATTTTAAAATTCTGTTTGCTTTATAACAACTACATGTACTGAATTTAACCAGCCTTATAGACACAAACAGATTCCCTGTGCCAATGTGCTACTTTCATCAATAAATTCATGTATCTCATTAGCCCCACCTGCTGTTTCCTACAAAATATTCATTCGTACAATGTACATGTACAATATGAGCATTATTAGTTAATAAAACTTAATACCCCAGCCAAATATTTTCAATTTCATCCAAAACACCGCTGAATCAATGAAAGCATATAGAGCATAGATCAAGAGAGATCCCAAACATATATATATGTATGAATGTATATGCACAACTTTTTTTATGTTTAAAAGAATAATACATGTACATGTATATGAAAACAATTAAACACAGGCACATCTAATGACTTCAATACCAGGTACATACATTCACCCACGTACAATCAAAGATAAACCACAGAGAGCATTGCATGTACATGTATCAATACGTACAGTACAAAAGACAAAACGCAATATACATCGTACAATCAACTATTCATGTATATGTGACGCAAAAATATTTCTACAAAATCTATAAATTTGTATCTATTTTCTAACTATTGCTTTGTGTTTAATATCTACACCAGACTAACATAGAAAAGGAAATGAAATATACTATGAATTCAATTCAAACACACTATACTACAGTCTAAACAATATCTATAATTTAATTAGTCATGAAAATATAAAGGAAATTTCTCAATCCTACTCTGTACTCAAAATAGATTTATAATATCACTCTATAACTTAGTCAAACAACATTTCATTCTATAAATACAACTAATCTGTACAGGATGATTGCTGAAATCAACCATGTACCACAAATGTACGTTCAATCCGTGAATAATCTGTTAATTCATGCAATAAATAGTCAGGTTTTCATCCGACTAGAATAAACGGTAATGAACAGTCCGAGTACTGCAAGATCTATGTGGAACGTTCTTTCATCATAAGCATGGGGTTGAAAATGTACGCATAGCACTTTAGAAAACAAATTTTGGCAAGACAAGTATTTACGTCCTGTAAATCAGGCATGTGGTGATAACAATTCAATTTGGCTTGACTGCACGTCGACTGGTATGACCAGCCGAAATGTGAGCAGTCGGATTCGACAATAAGACACCTTCATGTTTGTCACCTGAGCGATAGTTGCCATGGCAACTGGTTTGAAACACAACAGCTGCTCTCGTAAGGAGCAACTGGGCGGCACACCACTGTGCACCTTATTTGAAACAACTCTTTGAAATGTATGGCTGGTATCAGCGGACACTCATCAGCGTTTGGGATAAACCCGACACACCCATGAGAAGCCTTTGCTTAATACTGCACCAAGTTTGTTTGAAACGTTTGTTACCAATAAAGATGTTTGTAGGAGACATCAGTAAGACAGTGTTTTGACAAGGAACAAAAACTGAAGCAGCATTATGTCGATGAATTACTGTGTTACACGTTCCAAGACATTTCATGAACTCTGTATAGCCTATGTGGAGAGACCGTATACATGTTTGCAAAGATTCTACATATGAAACATTCTGCTTCCTCAAGAAACAACAAACAACCTTCTCAATCTGTCAACATTTCATTCACATATCCTACATGAGAAGAAACAAAGGAAAAAATGCTTTTCAACTCCTCTATGTACAATGTTAGCCCTATAATCAAGTCAAGCATTCATGTCTGATGCATATCTTCTATATGCTCTATTCATACCATGCAGATAAACCATATTAGACAGTTGAGCAAGACATATTCTAGAATCTTCAAACTTTGTATAAAACATGTATAATTAGTGGACCCCTAAACACCACCACGGCAGAAACAAGCCTCTTTCAGCAATGAATATCGACCAGCTGCCTGGCTGAAGACCACACCGAGAGGATCTGCCTGTGATTCTGTTTTTCCTACGTTTTGGCTGGTTTCTTCGACTTGAGAATAATTGGTGGGTAGATGTGATGGAATCCCCTCTAAACCACAGATTGCGTGGGTTTCCCTGACCTATCACCAATCTCCACAGTCTTCATCAGTGTACTCACATTCTTCTAACATATCGGGTGCAAACTCACCTATACACACTACATCTTCTCCACCAACCTCATCTTCCCCAGGGCTCTCGCCCTCATCACCCTCTTCTTCTCCATTTCCATCCTCATTACCTTCCTCTGCTGCTTCATCTCCCCCTCCTCCCTCTTCCTCCTCCTCCTCCTCCACTTCTCCTCCATCTCCTTCACCCTCCTCCCATTCATCATCAGCATCATCTTCCTCTCCAACTTCCTGGCTACCTTCAACCAATACCTCAGCCGTCACCTCAGCCGTCACTTCGGCCGTCTCCTCCCCCTCACCAGACGTCGGAACATCCCCGCTCCAGTCGGAATCAAACTCGTTCTCGCTGTCATCATCCGAGCCCATGTACTGAAGGTACTCCCACCAATCGTCGGCCTCGCTGGGATCACTGAGGAAGTCCCATTCATCGTGCCACAGGGAGGAGCCAAACAGGAAGAAGTCGTCTTCATCGCTGCCAAAGTCATAAAGACCGTTGCGGTGCTCAAAGAACTCCCAGAGGAGAGCCGGGCGGATGGTCTTCACCTTGTTACTGGAGGCGCGGCATTGACGAGCCTTGGCACGGTCTTCCTTCGTGCCGTCAGGGTAAGAATGAAGGTAGAAGCAGTCAGCACCGAATGGACACTTGCCACGGCCCTGGTCAAAATGCTTGCATGCCTTGGTGCTGAGTAGATAAAGACACAACCAAATAGAGAGTGATAATCATTAAACATATTCTATTATCATTATAGGCATTAAACACAGACATAAGTACAACTGTCGCAAAAGAAAGTATGTGATCAAAAATGCGGTGGTTTGGAAATTTACACAACTATAAAAATCTTTGATTGCCAGTAGATTTTTTTAATAAAAAAAAAATTCTTAATCCTAATAATAGGCCTGATTTATTGGATTAGACAAGTTTCGTACAGTAATACCTTAGATATAGAGTAAAAGAAAATAAATGCAATATAAGCCATTTTAAAGCATACCTTTATTTACTAGGAACATTTGTACAATAGCAATACCATCAAATTTGTTTACCCTTTATTAACCGCCCGAAACCGCCCCTCCTTTTACTCACTAAACCACCCAAAACCGCCCTTCTGTTTTTGTCTGTTTTCAACGCGCTGTAGTATCCGTCTATGGAGTCTACCATGATAATGTTATACATGCGTAAGCCTTTAGATATCTACAGTAGGATTCTGAATAGAAAATTATTGTTTCATATTGTTCAGAAAAATGTCATTATGAGAGCAATATTGCAACATCTTTCAGTGAGCAATCTAGGCCATTTTAACAAAATCTCTAGTTGCTAATGGGTTAAAACAATACATTTAAGCTCTTTTCTTTGGCAATGTTGTAATATAATGGCATACGGGTCATTCCATGTCAAATCACCCAATGGTTTTAACCCGACCATTTTTGATTTTGATGAAACTTAGTGTACTTGTTGAGTGTGATCTCACAGCACCAAATCCAAAATTTTAGGTCAATTGGGGGAGGGATTTGGGAGATACGTCCCTCCATATTTTGAGATTTTTTCAAAAATGGGGGTGGCGGGCCTACCTTTGAACCCTTATATTTCGGGACCTAATGGGCCAACCTTCACAATATTGTATTGTTGGAAAGGGTATTCAATAAGGATTCCAAATCTGTCACCATTTTGAAAATTTGTACATGTTGAGGTACTTTGACCTCTTGACCTAAGATTTGACCTTGAAATTGACCTTGTGGATCATGTGACCTTGACAACATTTTTCATGAAATGTAATCTCTGACATGTTCACTTAAACATATAAAAGTTTCAGAGATATAATATTTTTTGTTTAGGAGCAATAGGGATTGAAATTATCCATACTTACAGATATTCACAATAAACCCTATTATAATGTATACAATGCATGCAATATGCACAGTACAACATACATCTTCCACATGCTTTTTTGTTCTAGTCATATCCATTCTAAATGTCAGCAGTACTTAAATAGAAATAAAATGACAAGTTCATATAGGCCTAAAGGGTTGACAGGATGTATGGCTTTAGGCCTCTGAGTCGGTTCTAGGATAATTACCCCCCCCCCCCCGGAAAAATTACCCCCAGGAAATGTTCCCCCCCCCAGGACAATCACCCCCAAGGACTATCACACCTAGAGGACAATTAACCCCAGAAAATTACCTCCTAGGACAATCTGTCTCCCCCCCCCCCCCCCCCCCCCCCCCCCCGAGGACAATTACCCCTCAAGGATATTTACCTCTCAAGGATATTTACCTCTCAAGGATATTTACCTCCCGAAAAAAAAAATCTGCTTTGATTAAAACCAACTTATGATCAGGATGGACTTTTAACAAATAATAGAGGGGAGGGGGTAATTGTCCGGGGGGTAAATTTCCTCGGGGGGGGGGGGGGGGGGACAGATTGTCCTAGGAGGTAATTTCCTGGGGGTAATTGTCCTCTGGGTGTGAAAGTCCTCAGAGGGGGGGGACATTTCCTGGGGGTTAATATTCCTGGGGGGTAATTATCCTAGAACCGCCTCAAAGGCCTAAAGTCCATAACCCTTTAGGCCTATATGAACTTGTCATTTTATTTCTATTCAAGTACTACTGACATTTAGGATGGATATGCCTAAAACAAAAAAGCATGTGGAAGATGTATGTTGTACTGTGCATATTGCATGTATTGTATACATTATAATAGGGTTTATTGTGAATATCTGTGAGCATGAATACTTTCAATCCTTATTGCTCCTAAACAAAAAATATTATATCTCTGAAACTTTTATATGTTTTAGTGAACATGTCAAGGATTACATTTCATGAAAAATGTTGTCAAAGTTACGTGATCCACAAGGTCAATTTCAAGGTCAAATCTGAGGTCAAGAGGTCAAAGTACCCCAACATGTACGAATCTTCAAAATGGCGGCAGATTTGGAATCCTTTTTAAATACCCTTTCCAACAATACAAATTTTGTGAAGATTGACCCATTAGGTCCCGAGATACAAGGGTTCAAAGGTAGGCCCGCCACCCCCATTTTTGCAAAAATCTCAAAATTTGGTTGGCCGTATCTCCCAAACCCCTCCCCCGATTGACCTAAAATTTTGGATTTGGTGCTGTGAGATCACACTCAACAAGTACACTAAGTTTCATCAAAATAAAAAATGGTCGGGTTAAGATTTTCAGATTTTTTGGGTGATTTGACATGGAATGACCCATACCTGGCATTGGAACATGTATAATATCAATTAATAGCAGGCAGCTGTAATGCAGTAACAAAAGTCTTAGATCTGACAATCAATGCCTTTCATACTTACCTCAGAGCAGCAATGTAGTTCTCAATTAGCTTCTTCTTCTCCTCAGGATCCTCCACCCAGTAATCACTAGGAGTCACAAAATTGGACATCTTCCTACATGTTGGGCATCCCCTGTAGAACATATCAAGAGACAAAAATGTTATTATTTAATACAGTCAAACCTGCTTTAGTGACCATCAGTCTACAAAGACTACATTTTGTTTGTTTCTCTTGAAAATAGTTTATAATTGAAACATGTTCTAAAGGAACCTGTACATAAAGACCACCTGCCTATAAAAACCACTTTTCTTGTTTCCTTTGGGTGGTCTTTATAGACAGGTTTCACTGTGCATCTAATCATCACAGGTATACTTGACATCTAGATATTACGCATAACTTAGCTAAAGGTACATGTATGTACCCTTATAAACTCTAGTAACTTAAGGCCTCTCTGTCTTCATTTTTTTAATCATATACTATCAAGACTATCAATATATATATATTTATATATTACAATTCATGGAATTCCATCTCTTAAAACAGACAATGAATGATATATACTAATCAAAGGACAGGGTTGGACAATAAATGCTTAGGGAACATTAAGGCTACCATCGATTTCCTACTCTAACTTAAGTCTGATTCTGATGGTGTTATAACCCTAAAAATAACTTAAAATCAGATTGCAACCATAACCCTGTATCTGTGGTGACATAACGCCTGAGGGGTGCTTCACAAAGATTTTAAGTTGAACTTATAATATCGAAACTTTTATATCAAAAATATTTTGTAAAAGTTGTTTTAAAAGGCATAAAATGTTGATTCAAATCATTCATATTTTCTATTTTATTTCATATTTCGTCGTTCGAAATTACATGAGATCCCGCCAAGCGCATGCGCAGTCAATTCGCCGCGCAATTGAATTTTACAGGGAAAGTAACTTTCCCTCAGCAGTCAAAATACCTAATTTTCGGCGTTTTTTCGGACCACCGGTTTCGAAAAAATACTTCATTAGGGAGAGAAACTCTCCTTTTTCATGTTTTTGGAAGACTTTTGAGAATCTGTGCTGTTTGTATATCAAAAATCGAAGTTTTGTTCCGATTTCCACGTACACGATGGCGTCTCCGTCAGGCAGCACCAAGCAGAAAACCAGCGAAACGCTGAGCACGGCTAAAGCCGGAACTTCCCCGGGCGAAACCGCCGCGGGCCCCTCTACGAAGCCTGAGCCAAAGCGCTCATCGGCAGTGAAATCCTCCGATACGAAACGCAAAAGTGTCTTGGCAAAGCCTGCCTCGAATGAGTCTAAGAACTCTGGGCCTAAAAAGAAGGGCAAAAAGCCTGAAGAAAAGGAGGACTTCACGGATTTACGAGGAAGACTTGACAAATTGGAATCCTTAATGGAGAGAATGGTGGATTTTTTGCCTTGTCAATCTGCAACTCGCCCCACAGGGGATACACCACCGACAGCATATACAGCTGCGACGAACGTGAGATTTCGTGAAGTTGAACATGATGATGATGATTTTGAGCATATTGACACTGGAAACATGGGCCAATGCCCTACGTCATATGACATTGGCAGCATGGATGAGGGTGATGTCAACGAAACTGTTGCACCAGGTTTAGACCAGGAGAATGAGGACAAAGTTCCTGCCCTGGCTCAGAAATTTGCTATCCCTACTGGGGTTGGTGGCGCGATCCACGATGATTTAGCAAAGTCTGCCATGTACCTCATGTCCCACCAGCTAGAGGAAAATGTGTTGGAGGAAGCTGGAGGGAAATACCCTCCTCCAAGCAATTGTACTCCACTGTGTTGCCCCAAAGTGAATGCAGCAATATGGGAAAACCTATCCTCGCAAACGAGAAGCCGTGATTTGAAACTGCAAAGAATCCAAAAGCCTTTGACAAGGGGACTCACAGCTTTTATTCAAACTCTGTCCCCCGATAGCCTATCTGAGACACAACAGGATGCATTGGCATTGCTGTGTAACACAAACTTTGAAATCAACTGCTTACGCAAAGATCAGATTAAGCCAGACTTAAATGCCAAGTACTCACATCTTTGCAAACCTGCCACACCAGTGAGTCAGTACTTATTTGGCGATGACTTAACAAAGAGAGTCAAAGATCTTACAGAACAACAAAAAGCTGCATCTGGCGTGGTGCGTGGACAACGTACACCCCGCCCCCAGTACCATCCGTACAGGACGCAAGCGTCCAGCACTTTTCAATACCGCAGACAAGGATGGAACCGTGCCACCGGCACATCACAAACTTTTCCAAGTAGCAGGCCCGCAAGTGGGAACTACAACACGCCTTTTTTAGGCCAGCGAACCCAACGAGGCAGACCATACAGAGCTCCGCCTCACACCCAGACGATGAGCATGGGAAAACAGACCCAATCCTTCCAGCGGCCACAGGCAGCAAGGAGGAAATAGCTACACCATTACCCAAAGAGGTAAGTAGCACATATGAATATTGTGAGAATGTTACTGCTCCTTCTACTTCATGTACATTACAACAAGAATGCATCTCAAATGTGCCTGTTGGAGGTCGATTGATATATTTCTATCGTAGATGGCGTGAATTAACGTCAGATCTATTTCTGCTATCGGCAGTGCGAGGCTATGAGATCGAATTTGATTATTCGAAAGGGGTTCCCTCAAGAAATAAGCCCCTCTACGGTTACAAAAAGAGCCCTTTAGAAATAAATCAGATTACTAAAGAAATCTTGGCTCTACAAGCAAAAAACGTAATAGAACCTTGCTCATTTGAAGAGGGAGAATTCCTCTCAAACATCTTCACGAGACCCAAGAAAGATGGGGGTACTCGTATGATCTTAGACTTATCAGAGCTTAATCAAAGTCTGAATGTACAACACTTTAAGATGGATAACATCCACACTGCCAAGCACTTGATTTCTCCGCACTGTTATCTTGCATCAATCGACCTCCAAGATGCTTATTACTCCATTCCAGTAGACCCAAATAGTAGAAAATACTTGAGGTTCATGTGGCAGGGTGAGCGCTGGCAATTTGCAGCCTTACCTAATGGGCTCAGCACAGCCCCCAGACTGTTCACAAAATTGCTGAAGCCAGTCTTTGCCGAACTGCGACAAGCAGGTCATACAGTCATAGGATATTTGGACGACACCATAATTATTGGTGAAACAAAAGAAAAGCTGAAAGAGAGTGTGAGTGCAACAACCAAGATCCTCTCAGAATTAGGATTCCTCATTCACACTAAAAAATCAGTGCTCATCCCAACACGTGAACTAGCCTTTCTTGGCTTCATTCTTAACACTGAGAGTATGATTGTTAAATTGCCTCAAACAAAGGCACAAGAAGTGAAAGATTTATGCCGTGAATTAATGGGCACGTACCTCCCATCAATACGAATGGTAGCACGAGTGATTGGGAAGGTCATAGCAACTTTCCCTGCGGTTGAGTATGGCCCCTTATACTATAGATCAATGGAAAGGGACAAAATTGCAGCCCTCAGACAAAACAGGGGTCATTTTGACAGAAAGATGAAGTTGTCCCTTGAGGCAAAAGAGGAGTTAAAGTGGTGGATGAACAATGTTTCTATGGCTTCCTCCCCAATTGTTAGGAAAAAACCTGACTTAGAATTGCACACAGATGCCAGTGGCCTTGGATGGGGAGCTACTGACCTCCAGAAGCAAACAGGGGGTCGTTGGAATGAATTTGAGGCAGAAAGGGCACGAAACAATGAAATAAATTTCCTGGAAACCCTAGCCGCTGGGTTGGGGATAAAATCCTTTTGCATGAATAAGCGTAACGTTCATGTGATGGTAAGAATAGATAATACCACTGCAGTGGCTTATTTAAATCACATGGGAGGCTGCAAGTCCGCAATGTGTGACAAGATGACGAGAGAAATTTGGCAGTGGTGCATTTCTCGAAATATTTGGGTCTCCGCAGCCCATGTACCTGGTCGGCTCAATACTATAGCAGATGAAAGATCCAGGAAATTTAATGATCGAACAGAATGGAAACTAAACAGACAAGTGTTCGATAGAATAGTTTCCCACTTTGGTGTACCAGAAATAGACCTGTTCGCCTCGAGACTAAATGCTCAAGTAGAGAAATATGTCACTTGGCACCCAGACCCTGGGGCTTTTGCAGTTGACGCATTTACGCTAGATTGGAAACCTTTTGCATTCTATGCATTCCCACCGTTCTGTATGATCCCCAAATGCTTGCAAAAAATCAGAGAGGATAAAGCTAGAGGGTTACTTCTGGTCCCTAATTGGCCTACTCAGGCGTGGTTCCCTCAGTTGGTTAGCATGATGGAAGGAGAGCCACTGTTTATCCAGAGGCAAGAAGATTTGCTACTCCTTCCTGTGTTAAACACCACCCACCCTCTTAATGCTAATATTGACCTCTTATGTTGCAGGTTATGCGGCAACATTTTGAGAATCGGGGACTAAGCAGACGAACAGTGGATATCATTACAGCTTCATGGAGAGCATCAACCTGCAAGCAGTACCAAGTGTACATCACACAGTGGCGAAGATTTTGCCACAGCAGGAATACGAGTTACCTCCAAGCCGAGGTGGAAACGGTACTAGAATTCCTTAGTAGTTTATTTCATGACAGGAACCTTAGCTACAGTGCGATCAATACAGCTCGTAGCGCTTTATCCACTTTTCTGATTCTCGTTGACAGTAATCAGACAATAAGTACTCACCCACTTATAACCAGACTGATGAGAGGTGTTTTTCAACTCAGACCTGTCGTACCTAGATATACAGAAATATGGAATATTAGTCCAGTCCTCAATTTTCTAAGAAAATTGTCTCCAGTAAACTCCTTAAACCTCAGAGATTTAACACTCAAAGTATGTATGCTAATGGCTCTTGTATCGGCACAGAGAGTGCAAACCTTGCATATATTGAAGACTAACAAGATGACCCTGAAAGGGGGCTTTGTGGTTTTTCATTTGGATGAACACTTGAAGCAAAGCAAACCAGGAAATACCGATTTTAATTTTAAATTGGAAGCATATCCACCTGATAGAAGATTGTGTATTGTAAAATATGTGAAACATTATGTCCAGCGCACAGGACCACTTCGTGGGAATGAGAACTCATTCTTTGTAAGTTACACCAGACCTCATAATAGAGTAACAACTCAAACCTTATCTCGCTGGATCAAGACCTGCTTGCAAAGAGCAGGTGTGGATACAAACGTTTATAAGGCTCATTCAACGCGGGCAGCATCAACTTCAGCAGCTGCCAAGGCAGCACTTCCAATGGACCAGATCCTAGCCCGAGCAGGATGGTCTTCAGAGAAAACGTTTAGGAAGTTCTACAGGAAACCTTTTGAAAACAAGAGAAACTTTACCCAGGCAGTCTTACAAGATAGCACACTGCTTTAAGAACTGCATCAGAAGGCTTTTCAATAGAACTGGCATTAAGAGACCAGCTGTCTATTTAATAGAACTGGGATTAAGAAACCAGATGTCTAGAATAAACTAGATACAGAAACGAACAATGTTTTTGCAACATTATGACATCTTATATATGGACGTCTTCTGTGTGAAATGTTTTTGCCACATGTATGAACAGACTACAATAAATGTCAAATATGGTGAGTCATTGATTAGAAGCATTCAATTCAATCTGCATAATCAGTGTTCACTTTTCCGTACATGTTGGTTGTTCCAAATGTGACTACTATGCTTCAAAATCTCATGTAATTTCGAACGACGAAATATGAAATAAAATAGTAAGATTAAACGAGAACTTACCGTTTGAAGTTTGATCTTTATTTTATGAATATTTAGGAGGAAGTTATTACATGCCCTCCTCACCCACCCAAACTTCAAACTTAAGTGTAAGTTCCCTGTTCCTTACTATTGAGAGTAGCCACATTTGTAGCTTTGAATATTGACTGCGCATGCGCTTGGCGGGATCTCATGTAATAACTTCCTCCTAAATATTCATAAAATAAAGATCAAACTTCAAACGGTAAGTTCTCGTTTAATCTTACTATTATCAATGAGATCTCATGTTCTTGATGTGAAATTTATGAAAAGTCTAAAATATTTCAACTGTTGCTTTTGAATATATTTTATTTTAAGGCTACAAAGGGCTCTCTACAATGTTTAAGTCCAACTTAGAGTTAAGTTTGACTTAGGATCTTTGTCCCCCCCCCCCCCAGAATATTGGTAATACCATTACCTGATAATAGTCTTTTCAAACTGCCTTCCACTGCGCCACTTCCTGATGCAATCCAAGCAGTAAGGATGAGTACAGTCCGATAAGATACCAAACTTACGCTCCCTGGGTGATTTCTCCATGATCACCTCCATGCAGATACCACAGACTATATCCTTGCTCTGCTGGTACAGGAAGGCTTCCTGCATCTCCTTCTCATGCTTCTCAAGGCAAGTCTACCAAACCAAAGAAAACAATAAATCAAGTGAATTAACGCCTTGCTGGAATGCTCCCCAGGGAGTGGAGATTGTGCACACAGTGTGTGCTGGCAAGCACTGAATCCAATGACCAGAGTAATAGTATATCTGTAAAATGCTTAGAGACATTGTAATAGTTGCAATATAAGCGGAATATTATTATTATTATTATTATTATCAAAGGTGGCAGATGAATGCTCTGCTGGTACAGGAACGCTTCCTGCATCTCCTTCTCATGCTTCTCAAGGCAAGTCTACCAAACCAAAGAAGACAAGGAATCAAGTGAAACATTCTAATCAAAGATGGGAGATGGATGGATGGGCAATTGTTCTTGGACAAGCAAATTAAAAACATCAATTTTCACATGCACGATTAGTTGATATATCTTTTTGCTGTTTGATCTGACAAGTATTTCATGAATGAGCACGATGTTTCCACAAGGAGTGACAATTTCTTGGATAATCCTTGCTGTTGCAGCAAGGGAACATTCTTTGACATGGTTGCAAAATTGAAGAAGAAAAAAAAAATCACATGGAGATTGATGACCCTCCCAAGACTGATTCTTACTTCAAGTATAAAACTATCAATTGATCCCATTCACTGTGAAGACCAATGTTAAAGAATGTCTTTACAACCAGTATTCTCTAAATTAAGCCTTAAATTGCTAACCATGTTATCTGCTGACAGTCAGTTCTAAAGACAGTCAAACCACCTGTCTATACAGACTACACATTTTGTTTCCCTAGAATATGGTTTCTCATTGAAACCTGTACATAAAGACCACATTTCATGTTTTTCTTGAGCAGTCTTTATATACAGGTTTCACTGTAGTAGCACTAGACAAAATCTACTTTATTACCTTTTGAATTATGTAAGATGCAACCTTTATGCCTCAATCACACATAAAATTTCAATTATTTTCTCAAAATAAGTAAATTCTGCACCATGTAAGTATCTTACCAGTCTGTGGTTCTTCCTCTGTTCCTCATCATACGGCATCAAACAGGCTTCTCCACATAGATCACACACTTCACCATGCATGTACAGACACTTGGCTCCGTAACGACAGGTACCCTTCACTGCATAGGGACATAAGATATTCCCAGGTCCCCGGCGCGTGGGAGGCTCTGTGGATATCACAAGGGCATCACTCTGACCGTTCTTCTTGGCTGTTGCACTGTACGATGGTGGCACTGCATAATAAAGATGGGGATACATAAGACATGTACTGTATCTGAGTCAAGGGTACCAAACTGCAATTAGTTAGGTGTATCATACTAACCCAATCAGGCCACATTTAAAGGGACTTGGTAACATTGTTCAGATGAGAGAAAATTGTGCTAAGGTAGTGACTTCAATGCTAGATGTACAATTAAAGACGATATGAAAGTTTGAGTGAAAACAGACCATTATTAAGGACAAAATTGGGGAAAACTGATCTGATCGATTCCTTAATTCTCCCAACTATATCATTACAATTTAATTACATTTTAGGTGAATGTAAATCGTCACTAAAGCAATGTATTGGCTCCATATACCATTTCAGACATTTAAGTGTTGATAGATTTTTAAACGGTCGGGAAAATTAAAAAATGGTGGGGAGAATTTACAGTTAGAGGGTGTCGCACAGTGATGCCTTCAAGAAAACAATGAATATCGTTGTGGGTTGATATTTTAAAGGATTTTTTGCATGTTAGAGGGTTAGTACAGTGTTAATAATAATAAGTAATATTTCATAACAATTGAACTCACAGGTGCCCTGGAAAGGTTGACCTGGGACAAATTCTTTGGCATGAATGAGATCCTTCATGGAGTACTTGCTAGCCTCATTGTCAGTGGGTGAGTTGTGGCCGTTCAAGTGCAGTGTGGTCATCTTGCTCTCTATGGCAGTCCCTTTAGTTTGCACAGGTAGAGGAGCTGGTGAGATGTTCTTCTGGGGGGCGTTGTTGTTGGTAGGGACTACATGCTGGAACCTGTACCAAGGAGTATTTTATTTATTAATATTCCTCAACATAACATCCACCAGTATTAACTTAACTCTCTACAAGATGTGGTTGGCAAATGAAACAAACATGTAGTCTGCCACAGTAGACCTGTGTCACACATACACACAGTTGCACACAAGCAATAGTCTTGGAACAACGGAAAAGGTTTGAGATTAAACTTCTTTGACTGAACCCCTAAAAAAAGAAATTAAAAAAATTAAAAAAAAACATTAGGCTAAAAAACCTAGGTTTTATGTCACTATCCTAAACAACTTTTCTACCATTGTTTGTGTGGGAACTGTTTGGTTCATCTTAATGCTACTAAATATAAGTTTACAATGCGTGTTCCTCATAATGAACTTCTAAATCACTCTTTAGAATATCTGAGCGATGTACAAAGTACACATGATGAAATCACCAAATAAAAGGGAATTCCAGGTGATCACCTAAATGTATATCCAAACAAAGGTCCCTACTAAAAGCCTTGACATGAGCTTAAAAGAAAACCACATAAAGGCTACAGTAGGGAAGTATAAAGGATGGAAATCCATATCAAGGGCATTTTAAAGGTCTATACACATGCATGTATATGTGCATTACACAAATCCTAAATTGCATGTGTACCTTGCAAATCATCTCAATTAGAAAATCTTTAAAAAATCATGTTATATGCATACTCATCCCCAGGGGGTGTATGATGTATCACTATAACCCATCACTCCTGAATGTAGTAGTCATCCGAAGAACCAAAAGTGTTTTCAATTGATGCAAAATTCATATCATTGCGAAGGGAAAGCCTTACTGATCAAATATAACAACTTCCCTCTTCAAAATATGTTTTGGGCCCTCAGTTATCATCTCTCAAAAATGTTAATTTTGAGATTCAAATTTTCTGCCTTCAGCCGTCCTTCGTAGAGCATCAAGATTTGTGACGTCACATTTGAGACGTCGCATGTGAGCCATAAAGCATTTCACTCCTGTCCATGATATCTTTATGATTCTTCAGCAAATTATTCGTGTTTTTCAAAAGAAAATCTGTCCATCCATATATAATTTGTCCATAATTATCTGTTGTCGTGAATTTTCTTTGGGGTGACTACTTTAAGAATGGACTGACAATGGCAAATGGTTTTGCTTACTTGCAGCTGGCTCCATAGTGGCATTTCCCTTGGAGGTAGTAGCGACATACATTATTCTTCACAGATTTAGATCTGTTGTGAGCATAGGGGCACCCGTCTCCTTCCTTGCACAGACCGTGCAGAAAGTATCTGTGGATTAAATAAGTAAACATCAAGAATGAAACAAAAACATTTCAACAACTTTTCAAAACCTGTAAGGTATACATGTATTATAACAAGACTTACACCCTACCGAAAATTCTTTTAAATGAAGTATCTTCTGGAACTATGTTTCCACTAAAATATTTGATAATATACAGTTACATAAACACTCTCATGAAGAAAAAAATTTGGTTGCCACTCTTCATTTCATACATGTATACAGTGAGTCTTAATGTAAACAGCAACAATATTTAATCAATACAAGTATGATTCAAAAGAGATATTTGTGGCTAACACATGGTTATCTTTTACAAGTATGCAAGATCAGTGCAATACTGTACATGTATACCTACATGAAATAACAAAATATTTTCTTCAGACTTCAAGGAGGACCCAAAATAAAACTTTAAAATCCTTTTGCAAATCTGCTCTATAAGACTACCCTATCTATCATATACATGTACGTACATGTATTATGTAGGCTATTAATTGTGAATACATAATAACTATTCACCATGTACATGCTACATTTTTAAAATAGCATATATGCTCCCTTCTTACAAAGAGCTGCGATTGATCTGAATCAATTGCAAGTCCTCTAATCAAGTTTGTAGTCCCTTACATGTATCTCTTACATGTATGTACATGTACATAGTTGCACTTGCAGTTGATATCAATCACAAATAAGTGGCGATCAATCGCAACTGTTTATAAGACAAGGCCATGGTATATAGGACATTCATATTTTTCATTTCCAATGATTCTAGGGAGAAGATTAATCTAGATACAAGATTAATCTAGATACAAGTAAGCCTGTATGATCCCAAATGTCCTGAACTGTACATTTTGATTCCTTGAAAATTAGTGGGTTGTATTTAAGAATGCATGTGTGTGGGGGTGTGTGTTTGAGAGTGTGTAAACTGTACATACTCACACTACTGCTTAGCCAAGACCTAGATGGAAACGATTTACAGGAAGTGTACATTGTACAGTAAACTCATTACATACTAAAAGAAATATTTGTGTAATGTACATGCTAATGTATGCACAATATGTGTACCCGTATGTCATACTGCTTTGAATAGTAGGTCTACATCTCAAGTACCGGTAAGCACATAGTGTACAGCTCCTTGCACTAATGTTTTCATTATACAAGAAAATCCAGGCTTATAGGAAACCTTATACCCCGAAGAATAAATGTAGGTATTCTGAAAAATGAGATGTATTCCTGCCCTAGCTTAATATGTACAATATTCCTTAAGCAATTGTATAAGAGATATATAAATGAAGACATTCTTGGCATGATGTAATGCCTTTTAGCATGACATGGGGTAGCCATTTTTTTCTTTAAAATGTGATGTACCAGTTGAAGCTGTACATGTACATGTATAATGCACCAAGTTTTAGTTGGAAAGATTTTTTAAAATCAATAACAAAACCTTTACTTTTCAATGAGGAAAAATCATAGCTGAGAAGATAAAAATTGTAGTTGGTGAAAAATATATTACAGGGGAATAATTGTATTACTAATTCATTTAAAAATACGAAAATATAGCAGTTGAAAAATCTATTTTATTTATGAGAAACCTTCACCCCAGAAGACCACCAGCTTATTTAATGCAATGTGTTCTGGCAAGGATAATAGTAGGTGAATGAAATGCTTCATTATCACACACACCTGGGATGGAAGCATCTATGCATTTGAATACCTTTACTTGATAAACGACTTCACATATCGGTAGTACGTCACGTTATCAAGAAAATGGCGACGCCCATGTCGTGCTGAGAAATTAAACATTATTCTTGATGTATGCTTCTATAATACACTTCAGTGCGGAATCTTGTACATGTAGATTAATGGGCAAGAATATAATTAATCTCTCAGAATAAGTTAAGTTATTTCTTGGGGTGAGGTTTCCTTTAAGAGCAAACGACTTTAAAAGTGAGCAGAACATTCAGAGAAGCAGATAATCGTAAGAAATTTATGAGTTTTGAAATTTGTAATCGCTAATAACCGTATGAGAACTTGTAATTGGTTAAATGGGTAATGTCACGTTGATGTACTGCCAGACAACTTTCCCATTTGTTCCAATACATGAAATGATGTCACTTTTTCCAAATGACTCAAGAGGGTCTTTTCTTTTTAGAGGACCTATAATGTATGTTATCCATACTTTACTTTCATTAGTACCCCAAGGCCCCAAGCAAGAAGGCACTTGGCAGAAAATCATATTTTTTTACACGGCAAACGGGAGGGTTGTCCATGATTATTTCACAATCACTGGATAAAATTGTCAAAGATGGTGACCTCATAATTCAGACATTCATAACTCTCTTACTATCGGTCCAATTTATTGCAAACATTCACCACCCTGTTTGTCTTATTTTTCTACTTTCATACAAATTACCTTATTACATTGCCCTTTACATTATTTCTCAGCTTTCCAAAGAAAACATTTTTTATAAGAATCCATACAATTCAGTGTCTAAGAAAAATGCTCATCCACTATCTACTGAATTTTATGCTAATACACTTCTAGCATGGAAAAGGTACTTGTCGTATTTGTTCAAAGTGGGGTTGTGATTTTGATGTTAAACTAAATCATTACAGGGCCTGTAATAATAGCAATTTCTTGCTCTAAAAATAAATATTGGCAAAGTGTGTGAATCTAATGGGGGGAATTAGTTTCCTCCATAGTATAAATAGTGTGGAGTCTAGTGTGGACACTGACTAAAAATAATCCACTGTAATTAAGAGAGTTCTTGTTCTTTTATTAACTTCTCTAAATATTCAGGAACAAAACATGATACTCTCAAGAAAAAAGACTCAATCCAATGAGTAACTAATTGCAATGTACATGTAGTTCCTGCAGGCCAATTATTTATGTTACATGGCAGGATATATATATTCTTTGTCATTATATTATTATTTTTTTTTTTTTTTTTCACGATGATATTATATTATTTTTTATATTCTTTGTCATTATATTATATATTCTTTGTCATATTATATATTCTTTATCATTATATTATATATTCTTTGTCATTATATTACATATTCTTTGTCATTTATGAGTTCACAAGATGCCAAACCTTCATCCTATATACAACAGTACACGTAAACACAGCTCATGTATTATATATTTGTTCAAGTTCCTTACGATGATCATGAATGACAAGGATCCCAATTAAAACACATCATAATAATTCTTATCAGGGTTTTCTTTAAATATTCCTGTATATAGGTATCATCTGTGAACCAGAAACAGTGGTTTAAATGTACTGTATGCAAGAGTGTGTGGATAGAGTGGGAATTGAGAAGGAAGTAAGCTCCATGAACTAGTTAGGCCAGGGATTATTAGTTTAAACTTGACCCTTCTGAGCCTCTATCAAGGTGAGATCTACAGTAGCATGGATTAATCAAAGTAATGCACTCCATAAAACAACACGCATTGAGGTACTATCCAATATTCTTTACATGTACATAGTACATGTACATGATTTATTATTATAATCATTATTATTGTTGTTGTTTTTATTTTCACTTTTATATAAATTGGCTAAAGATGTAAGAAAATATATCTCTATGAATTTTAAGACAAACTAAAGTTCATAATTTATAGCCTTAAGAACTTAATTTTTTTACAGCTATATTTGTAGCATGGTACAAATTCATGAAGGCCTCAAATTTAGATGAGGGCTTCTTTCAAATTGTCACCATCCATATAACTTTGCTTCCCATCATCTTTTTTGAACAATTTCTAGAGAACAATTACCAGACATTAAATACCATTAATGAGGAAACAAGAAAGGCAACCAAAATGTATATAAACTGAAAACTAATAATGTATTTTGTTACTTGTAACTCATTATGCTTGAATCCTGGGTATATTCTGAAAAATGCATCTGATTTAAAAGAGGGGAATAATATGCATAATCAGTCATTTTCTATCATGCTCTGTGTTGATCCATGTTTTATATCATTATTGAAACAAGAAAACTGACTGTGTCTGTTATATGCCTCCGCCCTAAATTCAGTATAGGAAATGAAAGGAATTAGTTGTGACATATCACAATGAAATTTAAAAAAGTCTATTTAATCAAATGTCAATCAACAACTACATGTATGATCCCTAATGACCCTAAAATGTAAGATAATGTGATAACTGATAACAAGGCTAAAAACCTTTAATTTCAGAAATTGATCTCTCTGACATTTGACCTACTTATCTGAAATAAAAATGTTACTATCTAATACATGTACATACTACATGTACCAACAAGTTTGAGACTAATCCTTCTCATGGTTCTCAAGATATCACAATTAGCAAGGCTAAAACCTGTAATTTTAAAAATTGAACTCTGTGACCTTTGACCTTCCTATGTTGATACATGTACTATCACCAAGCTGCGCAGATTGAATGGTGGTTTCTTATTTGCAATAACACCCATTGCAAAGCTTTGTGTTCCTGTCATTTTCTCAAAATCAAAGACAAACTCTATCACAATTACAGTCTAGATCTATGTATCCAAACTTTGACCTGTGACTCCGGTGTGGATATATATACCAGAGGCCCAGGGCCACGGCTCAAAGTTTGGATACACTTCTGAACTAGCGCCAGCAATGGACCATCCCTCATCTCATTCGGAATCTGACCAAGACTAAGAGTTTTTGGTTAAGTTAAAGCCAAAGGGAGTGTATCATGGCAAATACTGGTTAACGCCATCTACGTCTTCTTTTGGACAACTGCACGTAAACGAATGGACTTGATTAACTGGGTCAGCGGTGCTAGCGTTCGCAAAACAGACCGAAGTTCTCCCCAGGCCCCACGCTTTGGTTTTGCGTATGTTGCACGCACATGAATGCTACGGTCGCGTCGTCTGTAGTCGTGTACCCGATTGGCCCCGAGTAGGGCCACAGGAAAGACACATAGCCTTGTCATGATACACTCCCTTTAAATGCTATCCGATTATCTCTTCACACACATTAATTTAGTATTTTTAGTAAACTAGTATTACAAGGGCCCTAGGCTAGCTAGCTAGTTAATGAACACACATGCTAGATCTATATAATTAAAATGAACAATTCAGTAATATTATTTAACTTGAAAATCTGGGCTACAACAAGCTAACGCAGGAGGATTCTCAAATAGATCTAGGGTCTATATTGTAATTGTAAACAAACTCTGCCTCTGCACTGCTTTCTATTGCGCGTACGCGTTGACTGCCGACAGGTTAGATTTTGGCCTGTGTTGACAATTTTTGAGGTCAGACTCTCAACACTAAACATCAACAATCGTCGACCCTTTTCATGTCAATACACAAACTAAAGGCAAATTGTAATCGGATGAATGTGTAACTTTCCTAAATAATACTCTCAGATCATTACAGTACCTGCAAGTGATGCCTTTTCGCCAGTCAAATATTGATTGCAAGGTACTGGCAGCAGCCATGATTGAACAACGTAGCAATATGAACTTTACGCAGTTCAGCTCAGCTAGCTCAGCTGATGATATTTTGTGCAGTGCTGTTTTATGTATGTTATGTATTGGCCGTATACCGCGCGCCTATACTCGTCAGCGTACACCAGCCAGCTGTATATTGCAGTGATGATCGCGACTGAGTGATCGCGCATGCGCAACTCGCTGGAGTATGTGTCAAAATGTGAAAAAACAAAAATCGGCATCCCTAAAAAACATGTCATGATGGGCTTTTTGTGCTCTCAAAAGTCAGCTTGAGTGTAGGGCCCATATCGGGCGCCAAGTGTAACACGTGTGATCAGGGGCGGATTCCATGGAGGGGAGTGGGGGGGGGGGGTGCGCCGGCCCTGCCCCCCGGCCAAAAAACAGGTTTATAAAGATGGTAACGTTTTTTACCTTTTTTATACAAAAAAATGAAAATGGGCCCCGGCCATTTTTTTTTTTTTTGCTCAGGGGGGGGGGGGGGGGGGGGGGGGTGGTGCTACCTGCCCCTCATCGATACAAGGTATTTAATGTCTGATTACTGAATATAACATAATTTTGAGCATAACGTGACGAAATTTAAGATTATATCAGAATTACCCCCACTTCTGTCGCAACGAACAAAAGTAAAGGAAACCCACTAATGACACTTATATTTTCAAACTGCCAAAAGGAATTACAATCTCCAGCGTTCGTTTAGCCATCAATCTGATTTACCGCTCAGCGGCAGCAGTGACATTGACAATGAAATTGTAGAGAACAATCTTAATTGTAAGAATATACCCCTACTTAAACCGATCAATTTTTCACCATTTCATTTTGAAACACAATATAACATGGTACATGATACCAGCGGTGTTACTTATTATATCAGAAGGCGGAGAAGGCGAACATCCTGGCTTATTTGGAAGAAGGTCTACGCAAACAGGGGCCAACGGTTGACCTATAGCTATCCCAACCCAATACCTGAAACGAAGGTGAACAAAGCCTGTATGTTACGGTAACAAAATGGATCCTGAGCTTACGCTATTCAAGGAACAATGTCAAAGACCATTGACGCACTGATTGAAAAGACGGCTTCGAGGACTCCGGACAGTGACCTACTTCTAACGGAGAGTATAGTCGCAGCCAGGTCACTGATGAGATGTCCTTTGAACGCCAGTTGGCTGAATACCGTGATAGACAAAAGCAAACATTTGGGTCAAAGTATACCTGGCAATTCTAATCATGATGATAATACCTGGGCCTCGTTGCATAAAACAGATGATTAGTTTTGTGCAGCGGTTCCCTGACAATAATCATGATGAAATTGATGATAATCAAAAAGAGAATAAAGCTCAAATTCTACCTGTCGGAGACTCGATGATACCACCAGTCTCTCTTTTTTTTTAATGTAAAAGATTATATCATGTTTTATGTGGTTTTGAATAAAAATGAACTTGAATTTGAACTTGAAAGTGAAAAAAAAATGAGTGAAATGTAAACACTTCCCGGTGCCAAAGTAGAAAACGCGTATATTGATGGTCTAATACCTGGCAAGGCAATTCACACTATGAATATGACTGACAAAGAAAGCGGACAAAATATACAGTTCCTTAGGTAGACAAAGGAACATCCCTTCACTACTATTATGTAAAAAGGTGAATATGCATGTGACACCTGTTTTACACAATAGCAGTGAAGGGATGTTCCTTTGTCTACCTGAGGAACTGTATATTTTGTCCACTTTTTTTGTCAGTCATATTCATAGTGTCAAGCCCGTTATTGTTCATCTCGGCTCTAATAACATGAACAATGATGATGAAGATAGAATTGTTGCGAAGCTGTCGTCGCTATGTCACGGAATTGTCACACATACCATGGACCTATTACGAATGGACGTTCATCGTTTTCTTATAACGAATTCATTGTGATTGTCTCCGTCAATGTCGTCTCAATAACATTCCGTACATGTTTCTTGCCTTTGATCTCATGATGGTCACCGCCACAGAATCAAGATAGTGATTTTAAACGTGTTAATCTACATGCGCAGAAGATAATAAACCGCTTATTTAATCATGGGAAATCGATGTGCAGTTCTGGTTAATAATTGGAAATTGTTGTTCCGTGTACTGTGTTCTATTTTTGAAAAACATGTTGATATTACCAGATAGGTTTTGTTTGGATTGTTTGTGATTTAAAATCCCGTTTTCCCCAATTTCCGCATAATATTCCAGAGTTACTCTTTTAAAAAAGAGAGTGAATTTTCACTCTATTTTCACTTTCTTGGGAATGACGTCAGTGATCACTTGTTTAGGAGTGAAAATCGATTGATTTTAGAGTGCTCTCTAAGAAGAAAAGAGTAAATGTTCACTCTATTTTCACTACATTTTCACTTTCCAGAGGAGTGACGTCCGTTATCACTCGATTTTTTTTAGAGAGTACGGCAACGCACAGGGCTTATAAAGATCATGGCCTTCTAATTGTTTTATAAGGTCATGGGGTGTGCGAAAGTGTACGAATCAGTAAAAATACATTTTATATCACCAAAATCGTCTGCTTTTCAACTTTGCTGCTCCCCATTGGGGATCATTAAGACACACTCTTATACAGAGCACACCATCCAAACAAAACCCAAGAGAGGGAAACTGCTCCTTTGTCAAAGGCCGAAAATGCTTACGCAGTCGTTATTGTTAAAACAGCTGAATGTTCTCATAAAGATGCACATAATCAGAAGGCGGTGACTATCATAGGATCAAAGAAAGAATCACGTTGAATGTCCATCCCTAATAGGTCCATGCACAGACTGATGTCAAATCGGTGATGATATCCGGGACGATATCAACCTTAATCCAACGCCAAGATGAATCCCCACTATATACATGGCGCCTTTGTGGACAGAGTGAACGCCCGCATAAAACTTCTGGCCAATGAGCGTGGATGGGTGATTATTGACAACGATGAGATCCGCCCGCCCGCCCCGATGTTCATCATTTCAATAGGAACGGGTTCACATTGTTTGCACAGAATATAATACGACACCTTCGGCCAGATACACATCCATCTTTTCCGAATCGTCAACCACCGGTGGAAACCGAGAGGAGCATGCAGTGTTTCCACGCGACTGGATGGACGACTTGGAGACTCGGGAGATAAACGATCTTCCCAGGTATAAGTAAAGGGAATGTTTATAATTATGTACGCGGGTGACACGACAATAAGCGTTTACAGTCCAAAAGATATTCAAATAATGCAAGAAGTAAATGAATGGGTCAGTGACAGGCGCGTACACAGGGAGGGGATTTAACCCCCCCCCTTTGGTATTTTTAAGTGTGTGAACCCCCCCCCCCCCCATTATCTCCCTAACCCCCCCCCCCCTTTTTTTTTTTTTTTAATATTAAAAAAATAAAAAAATAAAAAAATAAATTATTCCAATGGCTGACCTAAAAAGGTGACCTTACCCCTCCCCCCCCCCCCCCCCAACGGAGCCAAATGTCAAATTTTCAAATTTCGAGACCAAAAAAAAAAAAAAAAAAAAAAGTGTCCTCTTACCTACTCAAACTTTCAGTGAGCACATTTTTTAAATTTTTTTTGGTCCTCGAAAATTTAAAAATTTGCACCCCCCCCCCCCCCTTGAGCGCCAGGGGGGGGGAACCCCCCAAAAAGGGAAAAATCATGTGTTTTTATATGATTTTTTTCATTAAAAGCAGAGTTTTCTATCCTAAAGATGATGATTTTGAACTAATATGAAAATATAAGTAGAAAACTCTCAATAAATTACTATCACTATCTCTACTCCATAGAGAGATCTATATGTATATGGCATACTTTGTTAGCAAAATGAAGAAAAAAAGATTGTACCAGTTTATTGTACTTCGGATTATTAATTCTTCTATTGAGGATGGGGAATTAGTACTTTTCACTTTCTACATTAAATATAGCTTAGTCTAGTGGAAAACAAATGTCTACATGAGCTGCAAATCACTCATGTCTCCAAATGAATTTCAGTAATAATATGAAATTGATTTTTTTTTTTTTAATCACAAAATTTCTTTTTGATTCAATTTAGTGACCAGTCTGTACATATCTTATGATGGATATTTTTTTAATTCAATTTGGATCAACAGATGTTAATAATATATGAATTGATTTCTTCTATCCATAATGTTTTTAATGTTCTAAGAGATATTTCTAAATAACAATTACAAATACAAATGTTTAGGGCAGTATACCAGGAAAATTAAAACAAGTTTTGAATGAGAAAATTTGCATTTATTGCAGAAGTTAAAAATATAGAAAACACAGTACAATTTTAACACACATGTATTTCATTAAAATTTCCATAACACAATATTTCAAATTCATTATTTCAGGTTAACATAATAACTAAATAAATCAATTTCATTTCATATTTCACTTCAATACTTATGTTTTACACATTAACGAAAATGAATGTTGATCACGTGAAGATTTACAATGGAAATGTCTTGATTTCTTTTCCCCCAGCAATACATTTGTTACCAAATTTTGATACAAGAAGTATATCAAGCATATATGGCAGACTTACATTTTCCTTCAGACATTTAAATGCTAACCTTATTGGAGGAGCTCGCGTCTTTGAATGTTTTTTTTTTTGGCCGAATATAAATGCTGTGAATCATCATTATCATCATGTTGACAACAACCAACCAATTATTGATTTAATTTCATAGTTGTAATCACTATTTACTGTATCAGAAATTATCATATTTTAGCTGCACTGAATATTTTCCTCGAAATCCCCCATTTAACAAATGCAGTAATTCTTTGCCAGATCTAAAGTGGTGCCCAATTCAAACACACTCTTAAACATTTCTTCTTCTTAATGAAGTATAAGAATTAAAAGAAAACAAAAGATTAAAACTAGCTAATGATTTGGCAAGAAACAGTTTACAGAGCATATTTATGTTCATAGCAAAGAATAAAAGTTGATCAACCGATTTTCATACATTCTCATAGAAATCAAAAGTAGTTCAAACTATTGAATTGATAACTGTCTAGTTGCAGGATAAATCACTGGCTATAGCATCAGAATGGAAAGGTGCAATTTATATTTCATCCCTTTTAAATATTCATCGATAACAGGAAGCAATGTGGGCACTGTAAAATCAATTTCTTCTCCATCATTTAAAATAATTATATTGGTGTATAACTATGGTTGCAAATATCATGAATATCACAGTTCATGAGTAATGATCCAATGAAACAACATACATGTTGATCAGAATTTGAACACATTCAGCTCTTTAAAGTCATGAAACACTATCAAAATCTACTAACCGCAGTCATGAAGTCATTACTCCACTGACTACAATCATTTTAAAACACGTACATTGGCATCATAATTGTTGAATAAGCAGCAATTTATATGGAAGATATATCTAAAATAGTGGAACACTTCAATACATAATGCCTTTTTCAACAAAATGTTAATTCCCATCACATGTTAGAAATTTTGTTGTTTATTTTACACGTCTAATTGGCAAGATTTAGAAGCAAATGGACACCAAATCTCACGAAAATTATAACATTTGAGCAAACTATGTTTGAAATCATTTTAACAACTCTCAACTGCTGCCTAAAAATGTCTATGTTGATACATACAAGTACCTTTGACTGTCATAGTGTAAATTACATTGCAGTAATTATACACATATCCCTACATTGCTTCAATAAAGTTTCTTGCTCAAACTAACTTTGGTTGTAAATTCCTTAAAATTAGGACCTCAGATGACTATCTTCAAGCTGCGAAGTAGATAATATTCAACTATTTACACTTTTGAACCGTGAGAGGAGGCATATATTTATTTTCTGCCAACTTGTTCCAAATCTAAACTTCATTAAAAAATTTATAATTCATTCAATTATAGCAAACAAGCGACAGAAACATGAAACTATGAATTTGCAAATAATTGATCGGAGTTGGAAGCTAATTTATCCAAATGCATTGAAATATTTTCATTCACATTGAAATAATTCTAATTACTATCAAAAGTAAGTGAACATTGAAAAAGTCATCACATTTTAAAAATAACTTTCAATAATTCAACAAATTTCCTCCTTTAATCATGATGTCATCAGGTGTTAACATGAGTTATTTAGAATGTTGAACTTCAATATAGTAGACTTGGATCGGGAATAAAAAAAATTATAAACAATTATAGAATTCAAAATCAACCTCAGTTGCATTATTCAACTTTTAAGAATATTCATCATTAGATAATTACAGTTCTAAAAAAGTAGCCTTGGGAGAAAGAGGTAATGATAACAGAACATGAAATCGGTTTCATCACAAATCACTTGTATGAGTTTGCTTTACAGTTGTTCCACTAATCTAGGCTAATGTGAAACCTGTCTGGAATACCCAGTAAAGAGAATATCTTTGAGAGAAGCAGAAGACCTAGCATTCTGTTCTCTGAAGGTGGAGGAGGATGTCTCCTGATAGTCACCATGCTTTCATTGAGAGCAGCTATCAAAAGATCTAAGAACAGGTAGCAGCTCAAGAACTGGAATAACAGGAGAATCAGCGGACCGAGCTCCCGCTGGACAGACTTCAAGTCCTCATAGACAAAGTTATCTGGCAGTGTGATGAAGAGGTTGAGAGCCGTTTTGGTGATATCACGGTAGTCTGGGAGGTTACTGCCGAACATGATGGTCATGGGAAAAGCAAAGCTCAGTATGAGGATGAAGATCAGGAAGGTGAAGGCTATGACCTCATGGTAGCAGTCGGATATGACCGAGGTGAGAAGGTACATGCGAGGGTTGAGACGCAAGAGGTAGAGAAACTTGACACAGCTGAGAATGATGATAACCGCCAAGCTGTAGCCAAGAGCATTGTCACTGGTTGCGGCAGTGCGGAAACCTACAAAGCGAACAGATTCATCCCTCATCTGCTTGAAGAGCTGCTTCGTGATAACATAGCGGTAGATGTACAGACCAGCAGATACAATGCAATTGACGATGATGGCAATTTCCAACAAGTTCCATTTGTCGCTTAAGTACTTCCTGATCCCGATGGGCTTGTATCTGACGTACTCTCGATACATTACAAAGAACAGAGCCACAACAAAGAGGATTTCACAGAGGATGACAAAGAGTTTATAATTAGCAGCATAACGATGCAGCCTGACTGCCTGAACTTCAGGTAGCTTCAGCAGTCCACCTGATGCAGGGGTCTCCATGAGGAAAGTGACCACGCAGAAGAGATTGGTGTTTGCATTGTATGATGTCCACTCAACAAAGAGTGCTCTGGTTCGTGCATCCAGCCATCGAGCATCCACCATTTCTGCCAAAGAATCTTTAGCCTCTTCATACATGGAGCCCAATACCCAGATGTAGCCACTGCTTGGAAGCGACGTTGCGTGACCCCACATACCCACGGCTTTGTCCGGGTAGAAATGCCATGGAGAGTAGTTGGAGAGACTCCATTCTTCTACTGTTTGCGAGGAGTTCAGCAAGGCAGACATGTTTACGATGGGTTGACTCCAAGATGCATTGTATAATTCTCTGTCCTCCGACTCTGGAGTGAAAAGGGCTCGACAGTCATTGATCAGGTCTACAAATAGGGGGTGAGTTTCACAGGAACCTACAATGCAAACCAGAAAGAAGAAGACACATGAGACTGCGTCTTCTATATGCTTCGGCCCTAAATTCAGTATAAGAAATGGAAATTATTCATGACATATCACAATGAAAACAAAAATTCTATAATCAAATGTCAACTGATGACTATGATCTTGACGTCACCTGCTAGCCCCAAAATGTAATTGGATCATCTTCCTATAATAATACTGTCACCATGTTTGGATTATGATATTGCAATAGCAAAGCCTAAAAAAAAATATAAAAAATAAGAAATTGACATCTGTGACCTTTGACCTACTTACCTTATATAATCTTATGAAAACAAAGGTATGTATTTTATGTAAACTTTAATTGTCAAAAATTATCATTCAGTTTTGTAAATCCCAATCAATCAGGATGTTTTGATTCAATGCATGTTCCCAGAACCTTGTTTTCTAAACACTTCTGATTCTAGCCTGATGCTATATATGACTCACTTGGTTTGACCCTGACTTGTCTTAGTCTCAGACCCCCTCCTATCAATGTGGATTGTTTCTCTGCTCCCCATCTATTCTCACTTAGTAGGCCAGGTAGAAGTGTTGAGTCCGCCCACTTCAGGAAACTACGGAAGTCGTTCATCTATAAGAGTTGGATATGTTATTAGATAAATTTACCACAGCTTGATTTTCTTCTAAAATGTTGATATTTTGTACCGATATCTAATTTTTTGTTAATATAAAAAATAATTGAGCAATACATCATCATTTTATGATAAGGAGTTGTTTATTTCATCAAATTTTAACTTTAAAATCACACATGTGTAATTTCTTTAACTTTAAATGTTAAATATTGTAATGCAATGATTTTCTCTTATAGATGTTTGGTTCTAAATAAAAACTCACTTTTGACGAACCGATTGAATTAAGTGAGGAATTCATTAGCATTTTGGGTATGTATATTACTGATTGTATTCAATAATGAGCAATGTCCGACAAGAAACCTAAAATCAAATGTGAAAAAAGGGAGAGAAAAAAAAGGAAAAAAAAAAAAAAAAAAAAGGAAAAAAGAGAAAGAAAAAGAAGGAATATATACAAGTTCGGCTAGCATGGAAGTTAACAAAAAAAGTCTCTCTTAATAAGGACCCACCAAGTGGTAATCCTTGTTCTTGTGATAGAAGAAGAGTCCCTTAGTTCCTCTGGTCATCCAGTAGGCCTGCCTGTCTCTCTGAGTGTAGGTGATGGTGATGAGGAGATAGAAGAAGCATAGGAAACCAGCAATCTGCCACAGCAGGGAATACATGCGGGTCTTCAGTTGCTTGTTCCTCAGGTGAGAGTGGATGGCAGAAGCAGCTGGAGGTTGGTAATGGGCCATGGTGTTCCTTCGTTTCTGAAGTGCTCTTTGGGTCTCTTGGGCATTAGCTACGATTGGTATCAGGGATGAAACAGAGGAATTTCCCAAAAGTGGGAGGATGATTAAATGGGGGTCTGGGAGGTAAAACACGGGGTGAGAACTCCACAGAAAACTTTAGAACATATTTTGAAAAGGACACGTTTTCCTTGCATTCAAATTCTAAATTTGAGAAATCTTTGTTACCACATCTTGCTTAAAGGGACTCTATCACATTGTTCAGATAAGAGAAAAATGCTGCCAAGGTAGTGAGGTCAATGCTAGATGTACAATTAATGATAATCTGAAAGTTAAAGACCATATCCAAACTGAAAAAATGAAATGGATACATCTTAGATCAAAGTGAAGCTTATGAGCCATATAAAAAAACAGTAATTGCTACTATTTGCTCACAAAGTGTCATGCAGAGAAGAAATAATTGTTTGAAAGCTTGAATTCAAAAGCATCAAAACCCAGAAATAATCTCACACAAAACATTTATCTTATTAGTACATGCAACTGTTAAAATATTTGTCTGCTTACGTTATTAGAGAAATGAGATGCTATATGGTAAAGTATTTCAATACTTGACTGATAGAGATGTAAAGGTCATGCGTTCAATTTCCTGGCACTCGGTCTTTAAGCAATGCATTTGATTTACATCGCTTTTCTCCAACCAGGTGTTAAAATGGTTATGACGTGAACATCAATGTGGGCACTTGTAAAATGGCAACTAGTTGGAATACTTATATAATATGGACTGGCCTTGAGGGAGATACCACATAATATTTCCCAAACTAGATTCATATTGCCCCGAGTCAAAGACGAGGGCGATATATAATTATAATATAATAATAGCCTAATATCATCAATAGTGATCTGTCAGTTTAGGACAGGTTCAGTGACCCATTCAAAATTCTATATCAAGTGTCTCTCCAAGTTTCTTTCCAAGTTCCTCGGTCTTGAGCCAACCGTTTCATCGTTTCATACCCTGTTGCTCCACATTGTGTGATAACATCGTCTAGAAAGCCTTTACGAGGTCTTCCCCTCTTCTTCTTTCCATGAATACGACCTTCTATGACTCTGAGCATCAAGCCCTCATCATGCCGCATTATGTGTCCGAGCCATTTCTTCTGTCTCTCTCTCTAATCGTTTGAATCAGCACCCGCCTTTCTTGAGCTCGATGCAACACCTCTTCATTCGAAACTCTGTCCCTCCAAGACACACCTAATAATTTGCGCCAGCACCACATTTTGACCGCCTCCAATCGCTGCATGTCCTTTTTAGTGAGTGTCCACGTCTCAGCCCCATACAACAGTACATTCCATACTAGAGACTTCACAGGATGCCTAATAGTCCACTCCAAATTTTATTAAACCGAAACAGAAATTCTTTTTGCCCAATTGATCGTGAGCCAGACAGCCACTGAGCAGCGCTCGATCGACGTTGCTCTATCCCTTATTGTTGAATGCCAAACGAGGTAGCAACAACTCTCATCTTTTAACGTCTTTTGGTATGGCGCAACCGGGGTTCGAACCCACGACCTCCCGGTAGTGAGGCGGACGCTCTACTGACTGAGCCAACACTCCGGTATATATGCTGGGTAGTGTGAGGGCAATATATGTGGTATCTCCCGAAAGTTAAGCTAGTCAATATTGTTATTATTATCCAAATACATGACAATCTCAAAGAACTGAAAAAACTTTGTCAAACCAGCTAGCACAGTGCATTCAGCGCTTGACAAAATGTTTTGATACACTGCAAACAGTGTGTGCCTTGGTGTGATTAATACGTCACATTAGAGTGTGCACAAAGTGCGCAGGTACTCGTACGCATAATAGATGAAAATGACAAAATACGGCGTGCTGAATATGGTCTCATATTTAGGATTACAAACAAGTGTAATATGATTTTGTAAAACCACTGTTCAGATGTCTGATACGGGTAATAATCACTATTAGGAGTAGGGAATGTGGAAATTTGTAGACAAGACTTAATTCAATGAATGGGATATATTTTCTATAAAGTGCTTATATTAGAGACATATTATGGATGTATTAAAGTGCTGCATATTCCAGAATACCATAATTCTCATTACCTCTGTGACCTTTAGTTTGCTGAAGGCTATAGGAGTTATTTACACCTGTAATCTTTAATACTGCTTGTGAAAAATAAATTTTTCTCAGTGTAGACCAATAGTATACATACCCACTTGAAGTTCCTCAATATCATCACTAAAATCCTCCTCTGGTTCGATCTGTTTGAAGATGAGAGATACAAAAACAGCAAGAAAGAGAATCTTGATGGGCTGTGTGATAAAGATGCTCTGAAAGGTAGCTATAAACAGAGAGATCAACCAGTCGATGCTGGATTGTTTGCCGTACTTGAGACCATACAGCATTGTGATGTATGAAGAAGCGAGCACAGTGGAGAACACCAACAGCCAAGCAATGTACACACAGGCATGCGGAAGACCCTGCAGCATTTTTAAGAAGAAAAAGAAATAAAGAAAGCTTATACAAGTATATATATATATATATATACATATATCTTTCTCTTCTCGTAGCTGTGATATTTTACAATTTTCAAAAATAACCTCATGACGTTGATTTTTCATTTCTCACTATTTCTTTTTTTTGTGGTTTTTTTTGTTCAGCAGTTGTGACAACCGAACACATGATTTTAAGAACTGTCTTCCAATATTTCCCCAACAAGGTTTTAAAGATTTTATTATTCCATTGAAATTAATTGCACAAGATGGTACATGCAGATAATCTTTGGAGTATGTTAAGCACTGGCATTCTACACTGAATTCAAGTTGAATAAATCAATCCTTACAGTGGAAACCTGACGATGTTATTTGAAACTATTATATGAGAGACATAATATTCACCCTGATTCTCTGTTTCAGCTTAATCTTTTCAAGAGAAACATCCTCAGAGAGCAGAGACTCATCAGGCGATGTAGGAGGTGTGTCAATTTTCATTGCTGTCATGACAATGGTCTGTGCCTCGCTCAAAGCTTTCTTATGTTCCTCAGGGTCATAGAACCTGTCTGCTAAGGACAGTCCCTTGACCATATCCAGCAAACGCGAGTATAGGTAGTAGTTGTGAGTGACACCACGGATCTGTGGTGGCTTAAGATCATCTGGGGAATCTCTGCTACATTCTGCAAGATCAATTTCCTCTTTCAATTGTTTAGGGTCCTCTTGGATTGATCGAGAAGTTGTGTCTTCTTTTGCTTCACTCTGTGGTCGGTCTACTTTGTCTAATCCTCCATGTCCGAATATCTCCACGCGCTTGGAACGCTTGTCACCGCCCCATTCTTTCATGACTGCAGAGACAGATCGTAAGACAAAATCATCCATCTCCTGGCGGAACATGGAACTATTAAAAGAGATGCGGGATGGCAGAGTAGTGGTAGAGGAAGAAGCCGAAGAGTTCCCAGGGTTGTCATCTTTAGAAGATGTGGAAGAACTATCTCCTCCGCCGACCCAATGATGAGATGACTTTTCTGGTGATTGTAGATGACCTGGTAAGGTTTCTCTCTCCTCATTTTGGAATGATTTTGACATGCTCGTCGATGTGACATTATGGTCGGCTGAGTCACTCTCCACATCTTCCTTTCTGGCCAAGTCAATACTAGAAAGTGAATGGGCAATGTCAGGCTTTGATTTGACCATGTCGTTCTCTCTATGAGCAGCTGTTCGCACCTTTAAACTAGGTCTGATGTGTCTGAAGATCTGAACGATAAGGAGATTAACAGGGAAGGCGATGAGAGAGCTCTGAATGCCGATGATGATCTCTTTGATGGTGATTCGAAACGTCCCAAAGTCCATGACTTGATCGGCCGGATCATTCGGAATGCCATAGAACATGATGCTGGTCATCATGCAGCACATGAGCAAGGACAGGCAGCACCACACCCGCTGCAGACAGGTGAAGTTGCTGTGCTTTGGACGCATCAGGACCGACAGCCAGAGGTGGCCATCACGGAGATCACGTACAGTCTGTGCAGTAAACAGGTGTCCAAATTTGTGCAAGTCTTTGGATGATGCTATATGGAAGGTGTTGTCCAGACCAACGCCTCCAAACTCCACCATCATCCAGCTGTTGCAGATGAAATAGTAGCGCTCATCACTCTCTAGATCATGGACTATGCAATGGCTCACATACCTAAGAGAAATAATTAAAACCAATGCAAATATTAATTCAATGACAAATCTTGAGTTTAGATAAATTTGTCATCGTCCACATGTGTTACTTGATGTATAAAAAGCTATAATTTGAACAAGTACTTCAAACTGTGTCAAGGAAATTCTTAGAAGAGTCATGTTCACATCATGCAAGGTGTCTTTAATCCCTTGTTCTGAGATTGACAGTCTATAAAAACAATCACAATCACAATTCTCTTTATCTAATATTTGCAAAATTATCTACAATAACCTTTCAGAAACAATGTAATGAATACAACCACCTACCAATTAGGACTACTGCCTGCATTGTTATGCCACAGTCTTAAAGCCTGAATATCCCCAAGGCCTTTGGCAGTGGTCAACAGAAATGAATCCGTTGACCCTCTGTCCAAGATAGGTGAGAAACTGTCATGCAGGACGTGTGGATCACTTTGACCTTCCTTGCCCGTCAGTGTGAGGGTAACAGTTGCTGTGGTGCCTGATCCACGGCGAATGCCTGTTACTACAGTGACATTGTAGAGGTATTGGTGGTAGGGGTCGTTGTCTTCTAAAACAGTGACTGCAGCCTGATCAATAATGCAAAAGGAAGCATCATTATAAGGCATTAATTTCATTAATTTCTAAGCATATATCGGAGGAGCAGGAAATATGAATGTGCCTCCCCCCATAGTTTGATAACTTTTACTGATTACCAATAAAACAAAATCCTCTTACGTGACCAACAGGTACTAACTCTCGTGTCATCCTGGTATTTTCTTTTAGTGTTGTACATGTTTTGTGATGTGCATGGAGTATCTACCCCCACCCCTTGGATCCACCAAGGCACCAATGTAAGTGTGTTACACATGACTGGTCATGGTAATTAGACTACCAGGGGAGTGTTTCACAAAGATCTTAAGTCAAACTTAACTCTAAGTTGGACTTCAACAATGTGGAGAGCCATTTGTGGCTTTAAAATAAAATATATTCAAAAGCAAAAATTCAAGTATTTAAAACTTTTCATAAATTCCACACAAAGAACATGAAATCTCCTTGATAAAAGAAAATATGAATGATTTGAATCGACATTTTATGCCTTTAAAAAAAACTTTTACAAAATATTTTCGAAGATGATAACGGCTTTCCATAGTTGTTTAGTCCAACTTAGAGATAAGTTCAACTGAGGATCTTTGTGAAACACCCCCTGATTAGATACACTTACTCTTCTTGCATCTCTCTTGTCCTTCCTTCTTGCCCACACTGCCACCAAGACAAAGCCTGCCAGGACGCAAGCTACAAAGCTCACTACGATAGGGTTATCTACGAAGGTAAGAAACAGCTTGGCATCCTTGAAGATGTTGATCTTGTTTGGTGGGACGAAGAGCGAGGATCCAAAGAAGGTGAGGTGGTTGCATAGGCAGTGGGTTCTGGTGGGACTTGAAAGAGGACCGCCCTATTTAGGATTTAAAAAAAGGGGGGGGGGAATGGTGTGAAGAATAACAAACTGGCACAAGTTAATCAGCTTTTAGGGAATTACCATGGTTACCATGGTTCTTTGTCAAAATTAACATCCACTATAAGAACTATGGTTTTGAACCATGGTAATTTCATGGTACTTTTTTTTATGGTACTTTCATAAATTCCACACATATTTTATGGTACTTTTTTTTACTATACATCAACTAACTTGACTTTTGAGTTGTACATGAAAATACACGAAATGAAAGTCAAATATCAACAGGGATATAATATAGACCACAGGCAACAATGCAAAATTAAGTTAGTTTGAATTAAGATTTGATCTTTTTCTAGAGATTATAATCAAATGAGTAACTAATTGAAGAATTATACAATGTCATATTGAGACTCATTTTTATACCTAGTTTGCTGAAATATCATATCATCATATATTTCTAGAAGAGACAGGACGGATCATTATTAGCAGACTAAAGAATATCTTATTTAACATTGAATGCGCCATAAATGACAATGCAGTCCCATACCATACATCCTGCGCTGCCCCAAGCCTGCACGTCTTCATTCCAAAAAGTGCACTGTGGCGTGTGCATGAAAATAGAGAGAGTGATGTTGTCATGTTCATAGACAGGCTGATCTTTACCATCATATAGACTGATCATCATCCCATCCGCAGCTGTATACCAAATCAAAGAATATGACATTAACATAATTAGCAGTTTCACTGTGCATACCTCTCCTTAGCATCAGTAACGTAGTAACATGAAAAATTGAATATATCGCAAGAAGACATGCTATCAGCAAGCAGATTGATGGCTTCTTTGAAAGGAAGTGTAATGTCAGATGATGCAGTTGCATCATATTTTAATGTTTTTTCTCTCTTAGTCCATGTTGCCATGGTAATAATATACCTAGCAACCAAGCTATTGTTAAAAAGTAATACCCAGAATTGTACTCCAGTATAGTTATCCATGGTGGCCATTTTTTTCAGCAGCATATTGTCAAGGTAGTCCACATAGAAAATGTGCAGGAAGGTCTCCTGAAGACTTTAAAACCTAACAACCTTTCACAACATCATATGTCTCAAAATCCCTGAAAATTGGGGTTTTACCCCCTAGGTAATCCTTGTAAAACTTGGTGGACAAACAGGTTAGGATCTACAATGATCATGGTCACAAGTGGTCTTATCACTGGAAGATGCCAAATTCAAAGACCAGGGCCCTGTATTACAAAGAGTCGATATCAATCGCAACTTATTTGCGAGTGATATCAACCGCAACTATGTACATAAGAGATAGGAGACTGCAAACTTGCGATTGATATTGGAGGACTAGCCCTAATCAATTGCAACTCTTTGTAAGACGGGGCCCAGGTCACTGCGTTAATTAGCTAGTGTGCGTATCTATAGTATTTACAATCTATCCCTGCTTTAAAACCTACCTCTCAAGTCAGCCGCAGAGACACTCCATGTGAAATTAGCAGCAGTGTTCATCAGGTCCTCGTTGCTGGATCTTACTACCATAGCATTTCCCACACAGCTTGTCTCATTGATACTGATATTGGCTGTACAGATCGACAGGGTAACCGTGGGTTCATTCTCAGCTCTGACTATCAGGTGCAAGGCTCCATCCTCAGGTATAGAGGAATGGTTGACAAGAAGAGAAGCTGAGAAGTCCTTGGTGATGTGGAAAGAGAGGGGATCCTTTGATAGGGGTTCTTCTACTGGTAGGTACACACTGATGTAATCAGACAGGTTTCGGACTGCAAATTAAAGAAATAGATATATCAAGGGGACCAGGTATTATTCAACATTCAAATGACTTACTTGACTTAAGTGCACAGGACGGAGTGTCCCCCTTGCGCTCCTCCAGTTGGTCTGCCTCCATTCACTTCTGTCCTAGGTTTGGTGTTGAGCAGCCTCCAGGCTTAATCCAGAGTCTTGGCGTATTTGGTCTTTCCAAATCAGGGGAGGATGTCCCATTGGCCGTGGAAATGTAAAGTCATTGGTGCGGACTTGTTTTGGTAGGCGTTCCTGTGGCATACGTACAACATGTCCAAACCATTAGAGGCGGCGGTTGGATATTTCCTCATTTATTGTCGTAGAGATGTTCCGCGACTCTTGCTATTTTCCACAAACATCTCACCTCGAAAGTTTCCAATTTATCTTGGTCAGTTTTCCTTAGAGTCCACCTCTCTGACCCGTAGGTAGCTATAGGACGAATGAGGGCATTATATATCCTGACCTTCAAGGCTCTTGAAATCTCTTGGTTGCATGGTCCATATATTGTTTCTCAGTCTGCCAAATGCCCAGGGAGCTAGATTTGTGCATCTCTTATTGACATCCTTGGTGACCGAGGGGACTAGACTACCAAGGAAGACAAAAGTTTTCTACCTTCTCTATGGGATTGCCATCTATTGAAATGATCTCCTCATCGTTTCAAATACATTCAAATACATGTGACATATATTAATGTAAGGGTAATGTATAACACATAAAACTAGAAATGAAACTTCTTGGTTAATGAACGATATTGCTTGAAAGTTTCCATTACATTAATGTGCATCATAAATAATAAGGCGCTCTCAAAGAAAGACTATTTTTTACCTAAAGCTGAATAACATATTGGATGGTATAAACCGCATTGCATTTGTTTCAGCAGTTCAATCTTGGATCCTAGGGAGAAGATTCTGCTAAGAGATGTTTTGAGTTCCATTTTTTTTAATGGAGTCTTCTTCTTATGAACTATCTTGAAAGTAACTGCATTGTATATCCATCTCAAGCATCTAATGTGTGATTTTACCTTGTAATGTATTTTGATCTGCTTTTAGTTGGATTCCTACGATACTAGGATTAAGAGATTCCCCTCCAGCTCGCCGACTGAATGGGTTCCATCTCAACGTCGACATCTGAAATTGAGCAGAGCATCAAAATATATCAATTCACACGACATCTAAAAATGATCATTCACAAGTTTCTAGTCTACTACCTCCCTTGTCTGTAAATTCACAATGGGCATCATGGGCAAATTTTAACAAGTTATTTTACAGCTTACTTGGTAAATTCTCTGTTCAAATGCTACACTTGGTGCTAAACATTATCAATCCCTGGCGTAGGTTATTTTTCCAACGGGGGTGAGTTGCTTGTATTTAACAAGCTACATTTTTCCACTTTTTAAAAAAATATCACTTCGATATACATGGTTGGAATTACTACTAACCTGCATACTAATTACTGTCCCATTGGCACTGTTCAGAGTATCATCTAATACTCCATCACGAGAAGGCATCGTAAAGCTACCAAGACCGGCATCACCATCATCATTATCATCATCATCATCATCATCATTATCATCATCATCATCACATGGTTGGAATTACCACTGACCTGCATACTAATCACTGTCGCATTGACACTGTTTAGAGTATCATCCAATACTCCATCTCCAGAAGGCATTGTAAAGCTACCAAGACTATCATCATCATCATTAGAACCTCTGAATGTAGTCTCTGAGAGCATGTCTCTGCTGATACTGCCTACTGCTATGCTGAGAGTGGGAGATGTAATGATGGTAGCTTCCTCACTGGGAATCTTGCCTGCTACTATTGCATCTTGGATGTCATTGATTGCAGACACAGCAGCTTCAGTCAGTTCCTTTAGGAGACAAGTGTTTCATTTTGAGATGAAAACAGAGCAAATCAGGGGGGTATTTCACAAAGATCCTAAGTCGAACTTAACTCCAAGTTGGACTTAAAAATTATGGAGAGACATTTGTTATTGTAGCCTTTAAACAAATATATATTCAAAAGCCCAAGAATTTGTATACTTGTTATTAATTCCACATCAAGAACATGAAATCTCCTTGATAATAGAAAATATGAATGATTTGAATATACATTTTATGCCTTTTGAAATAAAATATTTTCATAGATGCCAATGGCTTTCCATAATTGTTAAGTCCAACATAGAAATAAGTTCAACTTAGGATCTTTGTGAAACACCCCCCCCCCCCCCAGTAGTGATAATGAATATAGTAGAGATCCAAAAATCACTTTGATGACATTGACTTCAGTGACATTTGCCTCAGCACTATTTGCCAACTTTATTCCATCAACAATGTAGGAATAGGGTTAGGATTACATATCTTCACATCGTAAATTCTTAGAACCATTTAAAGAGAAACAGTTTTAACAAGAAGTATGAATTCTGCCAACAGTAGCACATGTACAGTAGGCTTGCGGGTGCACCATGTGAGAGAGAGGGAAGATTGAGGAGTCATGTATATTCATTCAGTTCAGTATATTCTAATCACTTGAAAGCACTCTTTTTAAACTCATAAAGACTATTATATTTCTGTAAATTCAAATCAAGCTAATTTTAATTTCAAGTGAAAGAGGATAAAATGAGGATCACCTTATTAGACTGTGCCTTGGATTCCTCTTCATCTTGAGAAGTGTTGTTTGCCGAGGGAAGACTCTCTGTTTCCTTGGCAGCACTGAAAATGTTTGATAACCCCTCTACAAGAATGGTACCCGCCGACTCGATGGTTCCTTGACTTTGAGTGTAAGACCCAGACTCTGCTTTCAGGAAGGATGTCATCTCGGAGAGCGCATTTGCAGCTTTCACCTGTTTTTGTTGTTGTTTTTTTACGATGGAAAATTATGTATTAAAAATGTAAGCATGAAGAGGTGCGCAAAATTTCTAAAATTTAAGTTTAGATTGATTTATACTGGCATAACACTGTTTGAAAAGGAAATATAAAAATGAATAATGCAGACTAATGGATAAAGTATGGATTTTTGCAAGTGATACTAATATAATGCTAAATATATTACTCATTGCGGATGTAGTTGACCATACATTGCGAGACAAACGAATATCACTAGCGATATTATTTTTGATGATACTAATATGTTTACATTCCCTGATCTATTGTCTTTGTTATACTTCACTTTGGCCATTTTCTTTTGGTTCAATGTTATAATCTTTCAATTATATAATCTTACACAGAGTAAGTGCCTTTCTGGCTTTAAACAGACAATATCTAGAGGTGAATCATTGTATCATGTCTTTTTACCTGTACATCAGTAGAAATCTCTCGCTTGTTGTGAGTTACGACAGCTAGAGCAGCCGAGCTCTGTCTCAGAGATGACATAGACTCTACCGGTATGGCAGCAACAGAGTCAACGAGAGAAGAACGAATCTGTGAAGAAGAAGAAAAGAAGAACAAGAAAGGTTTATAATCTATCGGTGTATCCCAAGTTTGATCAAATTGATCAAATCACCTCAAAATTTATCTAATATTTCATTTTAGCCGACAATGAATTACATTTGTTTTGATTATACATACTTTTTACATCGTCGCTGTTTTCACGAAGTGACGGTAGTGAAAAAAAATTGCATTCACTTTGCGTTACGATTTTCCTCACTACCGTCACTTCGTGAAAACAGCGACGACATGTTATATCCATGAGGTTAAAGTGACTACAGCATTGTACTATTTTGTTGCAAACGTCTATAGATGTAACTGCACTCCCCAAACTGCCTTTTGTTTTACACTGTATAACCCTCATCTTTTGATGTACAGTTTTCATGTATTTGTAAGTAAGAAATCAACATTTAAAGAAAAATAATGGCTTAATATTGGGTTAGGTAGAAACAATTAGAGACATAACAATGATGATATCAGTTCCAGTCAGCCAGGATGAAACCAGAACAAGCATCTGCCTTTATAGCCCTGAGAAAGACTGAGAGCATAACATAGATGTCTGCAAAAGTATTATTTTGGGCCTTTAAAGTTATAGTGAGCACATGCAGTCAGCAGTTGTACGAAAAAAAAGCAAAGTAAATAATCAACAAACTAGATGGAACTTCGACTGCGTGCAGTCGAAAATGATGCCTCCGTCATAGAGCAATTTTACAAACCAAAACAGAAGGAATTTTTCAAATTCAAGTTCAATTGTAATCCATTAACAGGTTCTCAGAATATCGTGATTACAAGCAATTTCTCATTTACATATATGACCCTTTGATCTTTGACCTCATGATCCTAAAATCTACTCAGTTCATTGGCTCTGCAAGATGTACTGAGTTAAATAGTACTCCATCTGTTAGTTCTAATGAGAATGCGTTCAAAAGCTATTTTTGCATACATAATGAGCCCATGACCTTTGACCATATGAACCAAGAATCTACTCAGTTCAATGGCTCTGCAAGATACATAAATGATCTAAGTTTGGCAGGAATCCATCAATCTGTTTTAATGATAATACGATCACAAGCTATTTTTGCATACATAATGTGCACTGTGACCTTTGACCTTTAACCTCGTCACCCCAAAATCTAATCAGTTCATCGGCTCTGCAAGATACATACATGACCAAAGGTTGGCAGAAATCCATCAATCGGTTCTTCAGATAATGCGATCACAAGCTGTTTTTGCATACATAATGAGCCCTGTGACCTTTGACCTTTGACCTCAAGACCCCAAAATCTGATCAGTTCATTGGCTCTGAAGATACATACATGACGAAAGTTTGGCAGGAATCCATCAATCGGTTCCTCAGATAACGCGATCACGAGAACGGGACGTACGTACGTACAGACGGACGGACAACCCGAAAACATAATGCCTCCAGCTACTTCGTAACGGAGGCATAAAAATGACCCCTCCCCCTCTAACAAAAGGAAAAAAAATGTACACTTCTTGCTCTAACATCACAGAATGTTTCAAGTACTAAAATAGAAATAGAATATCTACTGAAGATATGAAAGCACTTTTACTGAAATTTACTAGATGTATGTTTTTTAATACCATGGTAAGGCAAATGAGTTAGAAAAAAACTAGATGGAATTCGACTGCACGCAGTCGAAAATGATGCCTCCGTCATAGAGCAAATTTTACAAACCAAAACAGAAGAAATTTTTCAAATTCAAGTTCAATTGTAATCCATTAACAGGTTCTCAGAATATCGTGATTACAAGCAATTTCTCATATACATATATGACCCTTTGATCTTTGACCTCATGACCCTAAAATCTACTCAGTTCATTGGCTCTGCAAGATGTCCTGAGTTAAATAGTAATCCATCTGTCAGTTCTAATGAGAATGTGTTCACAAGCTATTTCTGCATACATAATGAGCCCATGACCTTTGACCTTTGACCTTATGAACCAAGAATCTACTCAGTTCATTGGCTCTGCAAGTAACATACATGACCTAATTTTGGCAGGAATCCATCAATCGGTTCTTGAGAACGTGATCACGAGCTGTTTTTGCATACATAATGTGCGTTGTGGCCTTTGACCTTTGACCTCGTGACCCCAAAATCTAATCAGTTCATCTGCTCTGCAAGTAACATACATGACCTAAGTTTAGCAGCAATCCATCAATCGGTTCTTGAGATAACGTAATCACGAGCTGTTTTTGCATACATAATGTGCGCTGTGGCCTTTGACCTTTGACCTCGTGACCCCAAAATCAAATCACTTCATTGGTTCTGCAAGTAACATACATGACCTAAGTTTGGCAGCAATCCATCACTCGGTTCTTGAGATAACGCGATCACGAGCTTTTTTTGCATACATAATGAGCCCTGTGACCTTTGACCTTTGACCTCGTAACCCCAAAATCTAATCAGTTCATCGGCTCTGCAAGATACATACATGACTAAAGTTTGGTAGGAATCCATCAATCAGTTCTTCAGATAACGCGATCACAAGAACGGGACGTACGTACAGACGGACGGACGGACGGACGGACAACCCGAAAACATAATGCCTCCGGCTACTTCGTAACGGAGGCATAAAAACTATTAGAATAAGTTTAATCAACACTCTTTACTAATATTTGCACAAGTATTGTTTAATGAGAGAAATTAGGATACTGTTTATGGCAAGGTTAAAGGTATATAGACCAGTTATGGAGGCGCCCCCTTCTCAAAAAATGAAATAGAAGCTCTTATTACCGATCATGTAAAAGAATATTTTTTGACTAATTAGTGATGATACAAATTTTGCCGTCGGTCTTCTTGGTTGCCTACTAACAAGTATTTATTGCTTTCTTAGCTGTCAGGTAAAATAACCACCACTATCAACTATCAACATCGACCTACCTCTGATCTGGTGTCTCTCCATTCATCATTATCCTCAGCATCATCCTCCCCATCTCCAATGGAATTAAGAATGGACCCAAGAGCACTGATGAGCTGTGCAGCTTGTCCTGTATCTCCTACTGCTAACAATGTGTTCACATTGAATTCAACAGATGATGTCATGTTCAGTAGTTCCTGAGTACCATTTTCCCCTCCAGTATCTATGGTTGGAGGGTGGACCTGAGATTTTGAATAGGAAAACAAAAATGAAAAAACAATAACAAGTAAAATAAAAAACTTAAATGGCATCACATAAAGTGGTGTAACTATCTCTTGGTATTCTGCTTTAAGCAATAAAAGATTTCTATACCATTTTTAATTTTATTTATTCACTTCATAAAGTAAAAACATGAAACTATTCAATTCTCAACAAATATTCATGTTGCAAGAATCAAACACAATAAAATAACCACAAAAATAAAATCAAAAGAATGACATAATAGTTGGAGATCCACTGTTATCAATTTGGAACACTGCGTACTGAATTTTGGCTATTTACAAGTGAATAAAACACCAAACTTGACCCCTAAAAATTTCAAGTCACTACAACTACAATAGGAAAGACCAAATCTTGTTAAACACGGTACTCACTTTAGCACTCAGGAAGACTGATGTACTAGCCATGAAACAATCTATCACATTAACTTGAAGTAGAATAGTATAATCATGTGCACCATCTCCAACTGGGAGATACAGACCATCGTGCGATGACTCACTGCCTTCATAAAGTTGAAAACCTGCATAAAATTTCAACAGAGAAGTTTATAAGTCACTGATATAATTTATGTTATCTTGTCACACAAAAATTAATATGTACAATATGATTTGTTTCAAGGGAATACACACAAAAAAACCTTAAACTTTAACTGACATTCATACAGTAGTATATGCAATGAACATTTAAAGACCGTCACCACTACTGGGCAAGAAGGGATTAGACCACACAGCGAGCCATCGAGGTCACTGTCACAGGTGGCTATCTCATTAACTCAGCTCTCATTTAACATAAGAGAAAGAGGATCATGGGGGACCAACATGCACCGATTGGGGAAGTTTTCTATATAGAGGGAGCAAGTAGCTACAAGTATGGCAGTGTGCCTTTAAACTCTCAAAATCCAATCAATCTGAAGACTCTACCTGAAGCTATCAACATGATCAATCGACTTCGTTCCTGCTTAAAGGTGTTACAAAGTTTTGGCACGGGGTCATGAATTTGGTTCAAATTAACATATTGGAAGCATATGCGTTCCTACAATATTCATTGATCGTTGTCGCGGTTGAAATCGAGTCTAAATTTATGAAATTATAAATAATAAACTCTTTATGTTGTATAGCTCCCTCTCAAGGTCAAGATATTAATTTAGCTATGAAACAATGTTTCTTGACTAAAAACAACCGATTAGCTATTCCCGTTTGGAAATTATATATCACAACTACATATTCTGAGATTTTCATGGTCGCACCTACCACTGTACGGCCATAGGCGCTATTTGAAATTTATAAAAATTTACCGGGAGCACCAGTAAATTTTTATATTCAATTTTTCTTAAAAACAGAAGTGTTTCAGGGGCTAATTTTGTTAGTGCTTATAATACATCCACAGGGCATCCAAATAAATCAAAATTGTGAAGATTCATTATCCACCCAATTTTCAAAATTTCCCAAAATTTTGTAGGTATTACCTTTAACAAAATATTATTTTTAAACAATCAATAATCATCAATATGATCTTTTTTTGTAACAAGATCAAACTTCTGTGCAATAAAATACAGTTATGTTTTATTTGGAAAATTGGAGATATGCAAAACTGGAAATTACACTCTATCCATTTAAGGACAAATCATTAATGGCTCCAAACATGTCGTAAGGATGTATCACAATTTTCTCAAGGTCTATCTTTGTCTGGGCTAGTTTTCAACCTCAGACCGAATGCAAATTAATGTAACAAACCTTTTCCTTCTGGGGGGGGGGGGGTGTTTCACAAAGATCTTAAGTTGAATTTAACTCTAAGTTGGACTTAAAAATTACGGAGAGCCATTTGTGTAGCCTTAAAATAAAATATATTCAAAAGCGAAAAATCAAGTATTTGACTTTTTATAAATTCCACATCAAGAACATGAAATCCCCTTGAATATAGAAAATATGAATGATTTGAATCAACATTTTATGCCTTTTAGAATAACTTTTGCAAAATATTTTCATAGATGCTACCGGCTTTCCATAATTGTTAAGTCCAACTTTCAAAGTATACCTTCTCCCAGGCCCACAAAGTCCCCATCCACTGCATCCACACTGCTGTATATCACCATCTCATATGTTAAGGGATCATCCACATCAGTGAAACCTTGACATGTGACAGTGAAGTCTGTTTGTAGGGCATATCCATCTATGGGTGTTACGAAACAGCTGCCTGATGTGGGTGGAGCATTGAATTTGACGCTGAATTCGGCATAGCCGTCTGAACTGGAGTTGGAATGGTAACCTGAAAAATATTGAAAGTACATTATAATCATAAACCAATATCACATTCTTTTGTTTTAAATTGAATCATGAACATTGATAATAATTTATTACTATTTTTGTTTGAAATAGGATTTCCCCACAAAAATGTAGAATGCAAGGCATATTTAACGAAAAAGATGATGATCACATTGACTGGCCATGAACCCAAGACTACATTATACTATCTTGAACGTTCCTCTTCATTCCGTGCTCTATCTCGCAATCACTATACTGACACGCGTACATCATCCATCACCATACCGTACTGTACAAATCAGTTGTAGACTGCGAATAGATGTGATTCAAAAACATTAATTTGGAACTCTTTACTGTGGCTCCATCTCACGTTCCTCACATCAAGTCGATCAGAATGCTATAATACAATGATTCTATCAATTTCAGTTGTCCGAACAAAACAAGAACAAAAAAGCGGAAATTCAAAGAAGGGAGAAGAGGTTATAAGTCTGTCTCGTTTCCAAGGGTTACTGCCAGTGATTTTTTTCTTTTTTCCTTTTTTCTATAACTTATCAAATTTTAAATCGGACAAGAGATGGCACTCTTACATTAGTTTGGCATCTACAATGCATATTTACCATGATGTTTGGTGTACTTACCAGTAACTCGTATGATGATGCTACCCGTTGCAGATATAGAATCAAATGTGTGAGGCTTGACAACCAGGTAGGGTTGGTCAAGCCCTGTAGAAGTCTGGGAAGACAAATCACCTATAACAGAGGTATGACCCGATTCAAGGCTCCATCGAAACACTACATCTTCATTCTCACTGTCACAGTTGCCGCATGAGGCATGTAGGACCAGACGCTCAGCCGTGAAGAAGTATATATTGCAGTTACTTATGCAACTGTGGATAAAGAGAAGACAAAGTTTTGTTTGTTTTGATACAATCCATGTTCACTTGACCTGTAACCCTTAATCTTTATTGCACTTTCTATCAAGCTTAACATAATTTTATTGTGAATTTCTAAGGACCCTAGATACACAGCAATAAGGACCATGATGCCATGACCCTTCATCATCAAAAGCCTGTTACTGTCTGCAGTATACTAATGCATCAGTCAAAACTGACTTTGCACCTCTCTGCATCAGAAATATGCTTCAGGTTCACTGTCTGCAAGTATTTTCATGGAGCAGACAAGCAAATGTAGGAGGAGCCTGCTAAAGATGGTATCTGCAAACTCATCTTGTTCTATCATATCTGTTTTCTTCATTTTGTTTTTTATGAACACATGTTTCTTTGCGTCGCATGGGCCTGCTGTAGTTATCCCATTGAGCCATGTGGTGCCATAGACAGCTCTATGGAACTGTACTATGTCTCACAGATGTTATACACCACCTCACAGGGTTTTTGTTTTACTACACCTACGATGGGTGGGTTCTTACGGGTAAGAGATGAAGATGAAGTAAGATCCCTGCAGGAGTTGGCCTACAATCAAGCTTCAGTTACACACAAGCCCAAAATGAATAGATATCAGTAAATAGATAAATAATTGCAAAGCGAGATGAGACCTATAGGAATCTCCCCCCCCCCACCCCTCGACAAGCCCATGCGATGAGCGAAAGTCTAAGAAACCTGTATTCATCGACAAATTGGATAAAAGAATGCAGGCCTTGCTGAAAAGCAGCTTCAGCTGATTCCAGGCTTTAAACTGTGTATGAATAAATAAGCTCAACTCAAACTCAAATATGAAAATGATGAATGCTATTTAATCCCTTACAAGATAATGAATTACCTCAGCTGACATCTTGGAGAAATAGATGAATAAAGAGATTCTTGACAATTGCCTCCTTTACAAAATCACCTTCCATGCTAAATAGGGCATTTCACTTTCACTCTTAAATGTAATAAGGTCACATGGGTATGAAACATGACATCAAGCCTTTTAAAATTAAAAAATCAGTTCAAAAGCCTGATTTTTGTAGAATTTGGAAGGTCTCTCATTTACCATTGATACATTCACATCTTCAGTAGATTACTTAATTTTAGGAGTTAAAATAACTCTAGCTGAATTTTGCCTTACTCATTTGCCTTACCATGATATTAAAAAAAAACATACATCTAGTAAATTTCAGTAAAACCTTAATAACCTTTTTTTTTGTATTAATGATCTACATTGTATTTCTATTCATAATTTATCAATTTCATTGTACTGAATTTAATAATGTTTATAATCATGTTGCAAATGTATACAATCCAACCCTTTGGTTGCTATGAATGAATAAAATAAAATAAAATAAAATTATTACCTAAAAAAAATTAAAAAAAGTAAGTGCTTTCACATCTTCAGTAGATCCTATGTATTGTCTATGTTTTATGAGTATCATGTATTTTACTTTGAAAAATAAATTATATCACACTGATGGACATTATGTATGTTTAAAACATGTATGTTTAGAATATGATATAGAAAATAATAAATCAAACCAAATCAAATATTCTGATTTCAGGTGCTGGCTAAGGTATTTACCCTACCAAGCGTTAAAGCCCTGAATCTGGTCAATATCAATTTTCAAGAAATGCTACCATATTCATATCTTCAATATATTTCCTAATTACTATCCCTAGCGGATTCTCTTATAACAAAACCCAGGGCTTCTCCCTTTCCTTGCCCTAACCACCCCTTCACATAATTCTATTAAAACAAATCATGCATTCGGTAAACTTCAGGATATGTCAATGCACCTTTTCTGCATTGTTATCTGTTGTCCGTAACCAAGGTATCAGCTAGATGCCATGTTATCTTTATCCACTGCTTATATTATTACTTCTCTTATCTGTGACCAAGCCTTTAAACCTCTAAATTAAGAGATGTTTTTTATCCTGTGTTTTCACATCTTCATTAGATGGTCCATGCATCAGCACAGTTCCCCGTAGTGTTAACACATCGATTTTCTATCCTTTTTCCTTATCAAGAATCTAAAATATAGAATCTAGTAAACTCAAGGAAATCTTAATACATGTTTTTACATCTTAAGTAGATTACCTGATTTCTATTTCTGGCAATAGCCCCAGTGTTAACTGGATTCTTTGTTGGGTCGAGTCGGATGTTCTTCCATCCTTTGAAACAATGAGCCAGAGGTTCATAATCACATTGGCCTGAAGTTCGCTGGTAATTATTTCAACCTTGGAAGAGGATGAATTCATCATGATTTCTTCACCTTCAAAACAAGCATCATCTTTCAGTAGAAAAGAACATAATAGGCAGGTTAGCAACAATTTAAAAAACATCTCCCAAAATCCTTTTCTTTTTTTATTGCGACATTTTCAGCGTTTCATAATTCTATTAGAGATTTTGTTTAAAAATATGACAACATAGAATGGTGCATAAGCAATTTGAGATGATAATGGAGAGAGAATACTAATTCTCATAACATTAGGCACAAAGTGCTGAATATTTTGAGGGAGTTTATTGAACAATTTATGAAAACTTTCCTTTGGTCAGGTCTGTCATCTAAGATTTCTCTCACTTGTCATCTATTCTTAAACAATTACTCAAAGGACAAACGCTCTTCTTATACAGTGAAACCTGTCTATAAAGACCACCCAAGGGAGACAAGAAACGTGGTCTTTATGTACAGGTTCCTTTTACATGTTTCAATGAGAAACCATTTTCAAGGAAAACAAAAAGGGTGGTCTTTGTAAATAGGTGGTCTTTCTATACAGGTGGCCACTAAAGCAGGTTTGACTGTACCTGTATTTTGTAGTGCTGCATCAAGAGATGAGTACATGATGTCAGGATCAACAATTACACAGTACCATAGAAAGGTCAGGTCACTGGATGACCTAAGGTTCACATCGGGGTCATATGAGTTCGCTCCATCAACTGTCAAGTTTGAAGATACACCTGGTGATCATATTTAATGAGAACGGTGACTTAAACTTACATTCACATATTCACTGGTGCACTGACCTATTCAGTCAAATATAAGATGAGGACATACTAAACAAGTATTAATGCAAAGAAGGATTCAAGAGCCAGGGGTAAATGAAAGACTTTAATGTTGCAAAACACTTTACATTTTGAATAAAGCATGCTTGAGCACTTCATTATGTACTACGGTATATTAAGCTCTTGAAACTACTGTCTTATTCATTGTCTGACTCCTGCCATTATTAATATATTCTTAACCATATGATGGTTTGTGCCAAAGTGTCAAAAAGGATGTTAATTAGAGAGGAGAAATTACCATGAGATCGTGAAGCTCCACCCTTGATAAAAGCTACCAATGGAGATGGTTGGATCTCCAACCAAGTGATGATCTTTACTTCACCAATCACTTCATCTGATGTTCTTAGATGAGTATCAGCTTTCAGATTGAGGCTATAAATACCATAGGGTAGCGTTCCGCTTGGAATTGTCACTTGAGGTGTCTGGTGAAAGGGTATAAGACATTACAGTCAAACCTGTCTATAGCGACCACCCAAGGGAAGCACGAAAAGTGGCCTTAGAAGACAGGTGGTCTTTATAGACAGGTTCCTTTAGTACATGATTCAATGAGAAACCATTTTCAAGGGAAACAACAAATGTGGCCTTTGTAGACAGGTGGTCACTAAAGCAGGTTTATTATTAAACCGAAAATGGAAATTCATTTTCCCCAATTGATCGTGAGCTCGGCAGCCACTGAGCAGCACCAGATCGACGTTGCTCTATCCCCTTATTGTTGAACGCCAAACAAGGTAGCAGCAACTCCCGTCTTTTAACGTCTTTTGGTATGACACGGCCGGGGTTCAAACCCACGACCTCCCTGTTGTGAGGCGGACGCTCTACTGACTGAGCCAACACACCGGTAGATGAATCGATGCAGATTGCACTTGAAGTTTATGATGTAAGGTGTAAACACGCTCATAGGAAAACATACAATTGTATCAGGCATAATTCAAAACAAATATGGTCTCATCCTTAATTGCAATTAAGGTATCCAAAACAATGTTTAAGGAAACGTACAACTATAATTAAAATATAATGGGATTCATCTACTTCAATTGTTTTCTCCCTCTTCTTCTTTTAATGTTTCAAGAATTGTTTATTATGTGAATAACAATTCTGCTTTAAAATGACTATAAGCAAGGATAATAAAAGAACAATTGTGTAAAACAAATGCTTGATATAAGTGTTACCTTCCAAAAAACATTTTAAAACTAAATTATTCCAACTAATGATGCATTTCTGTAATATTGATGAAATAATCAAATATATTTACATGTGTGGTCTTTTCAAAAGCAATCACTACATCATCTACAGTAGATGCGAATATCCACCACTTGAAGTCAGAGGTCATGGGGCCAATGCACTTTTCATCCAGTTCAATGTGGGCCGAGATGGCGATCTCTGAGGCTCTGAGAAACACAGCAGGATGGGTGGTGTTGCCATGCCCCTTCACCATCCTGAGGCTGCTGATGCACTCATGGTCTACAGTCACATTTACCTACATGAGTTTACACATGATAATATAACAGTCCAGTGAATTTTGTCTTTGTTGGGTTTAAAAGGGATTGTACAGCAAAAACTGGTTCCTATTCATCCAAGTACGATGAAAATATTGTATTCTATATTTCATCTTTAATTGGTAATGTGGCACTAGAATTCCTCAAACATTTTGAAAGCATCCTCATTGAAAAACTGTCAGAACCAATAAAAGTTGATGTTTGTTTGAATTTTATGATTTTTATTCAATGAATTACCATTAAAACCTTTTTTTGAGAATAAGAAACCCAGCTTTTTGTTGTCTAATATCCTGGTTAAAAAAATTCCAGATGTAGACTTTCAGACTGCTCATGGATGTGCAGTACAAATACTGATACTGTACTTACTTCAACTGCTGTAGCCAAAGTCTGAAATATCTCGGCAGTCACCATGTAAGACCCAACTCCTGAATATGTGTGATTAAGAAAGCTAGCAAGAAACCCATCCATAACAGAAACCCTGTCCATCAACTCATAAGGGACGTCATCCAAAGACCATGATCTTGGATTGGCTATTGAGCAGGAGTCCTCGGAGCTGTCAAAACAAAAGGTATAGTTTGAATGCGTGACAACACTGTCTGTTAGGAGAGCGCACCAAACCTCCCTGCTTGCATAGACATGAGTTGGGCAGAGGATCTGGATTGCGGGAAGTACCGCTGCAGATGCGGTAGCTGCAAGGTCTTGAGAGTCAGTCCCGACAGCCGTCGCTTCAATGGTGAAGATTGAAGTCGTGGTGAACAGGACGAGCACTGCATCTTCAGAGTAGACTGTGTATTGAACCGGGTCGCCTGATAGATGGTTTGTGATGGACCACACGATTTCAGATGACAGCGGTTGAAAGGACCCCAGAACAGATGCCATCGCAATGACGGTGTCATTCACCCTGAAGATGTTGTCAATACTGGACACTGTCGATATGAAAGATTAAGAGAGGGTATTATTTTTAAAACAATAATAAGAGTTGGTATGGACATGCAAACACCCCAGCACTTTTATGTTAAGAATATTTGGTACGTTTTTACATCATATGTAATACAATTACATATAATCGAATAAAGTCACCGGTGTTCATTATAAACTAAAAACACGTTGGTCAGTTACTTGTTATTGGTAAGGTACTATTAAGCATAAAATTATCATCATTATTGTTATTGTTATCATTAGTCATCTCAGAGTTACACAAAACTAAAGTTATATCAAGACAAATTATGAGAGAGGTTTGTTGAATCTTCTTATCTGATTAACTCTATTTCTAAAATGCTATTGGACATAACGCATCAAAATTCCTTTAATATTTAATATTGGCATCCATTCTTACCATAATCGGGAAGAAGAAAAAGCTCTATGCATAGATAACTAGATCCTATGTTGGTTGCACTTGTAGCATCACAAGATGGCACTTCATCATTATTAATTGTTGTAGAAGGTTGGGTCGTTGCCTGCAACTGTGTGCCATTAAATGGTGTAGGAACAATCTCTTGAATTGCTGGTGTTGTTGTCACTGATGGAGTGGTATGTAGAGTTGTAATAGGGTGAATGGTGCTGGTGATGGCAGAGACATGTTTGCACACAGCAAGGTATCGATTTTCGCAGTCCCTCCAAGACCATTGTCCATGTGTAAGATTTATAAAAGCACAATCATATGCTTCACCCTGATGACTGGAAGCTGTAATAGAAAAGATGCAAATACAGAAATAATGGAAACTAGATGGAATTTTGACTGCGCGCAGTCGAAAATGATGCCTCCGCCATAGAGCAATTTAAACAAGTTTGGAGTTTAAATCTCCAGTGGTTCTTGAGATATCATGATAACAATCTCAATGTATGGAATTTCGTAAGTTGACCTCTGTAACCCTTGACCTTTGACCTACGTGCTCCAAAATCTAATCAGATTGTCTTCCTATGGTGATACACACTATCATTAAGTTTGAAGTTTAAATCTCCAGTGGTTCTTGAGATATTATGATATGGTGATACATACTATCATTAAGTTTGAAGTGAAAATTCTCCAGTGGTTCTTGAGATATCGCAATAACGATCTCAATGTATAGAATTTCATAAGTTGACCTCTGTGACCCTTGACCTTTGACCTACGTGCTCCAAAATCTAATCAGATCGTCTTCCTATGGTGATACATACTATCCTTAAGTTTGAAGTTTAAATCTCAAATGGTTCTTGAGATATCATGATAACAATCTCAATGTATGGAATTTCATAAGTTGACCTCTGTGACCCTTGACCTTTGACCTACGTGCTCCAAAATCTAATCAGATTGTTTTCCTATAGTGATACACACTATCACTAAGTTTGAAGTTTAAATCTCCAGTGGTTCTTGAGATATCATGATAACAATCTCAATGTATGGAATTTCATAAGTTGACCTCTGTGACCCTTGACCTTTGACATACGTGCTCCAAAATCTAATCAGATTGTTTTCCTATAGTGATACACACTATCACTAAGTTTGAAGTTTAAATCTCCTGTGGTTCTTGAGATATCATGATAACAATCTCAATGTATGGAATTTCATAAGTTGACCTCTGTGACCCTTGACCTTTGACATACGTGCTCCAAAATCTAATCAGATCGTCTTCCTATGGTGATACATACTATCCTTAAGTTTCAAGTTTAAATCTCAAATGGTTCTTGAGATATCGCGCTAACAAACTCAATACAAGGAATTTCATAAGTTGACCTCTGTGACCTGTGACCTTTGACCTACGTACTCCAAAATCTAATCAGATCGTCTTCCTATGGTGATAAATACTATTCCCGAGTCTTAAGTTTAAATCTTAAATGGTTCTTGAGATATTGTGATAACGGTCAAACGGGACGGACGGACGGACGTACGGACGGACGGACGTACGGACGGACGTACGGACGGACGTACGGACGGACAACCCGAAAACATGATGCCTCCGGCACCACCTTCGGTGGCGGAGGCATAAAAAGGGAGCTGTCAAAAAGGAGCTGAGAATTATTCACTATGAAGGATATAATAAAGGGCAATCATTCTAATACCAGATTTTAACTCAATTTCTTCAATTCAATTTCACGGATATAACAGGATCAGTAAAGAACTATAGCTTTCTTAAGACTATGAACTTAACAAAATGTCCTTCTGAAGAAATAAATCCACCTATCCTGAATATGAAGACAACATATGAATATATTTGACATGCATATCAAAATTTAGTTCAGTACTCTGGGTAGTAACAAAAATCATTATCTACATAAGGCTTCCAAGGGGTACAATAAATCAGTGTATTTAATATCTTTAGCGCAGTATCCGGATGACTGATTGATATCGTTTTCATATTGCTTAGTCATCCGGGGAACTTCAACTATCGATATCGATATCACACAAAAACAAAGTCATATTTTTTTTACGGAGGTAAGTCAAATTTTGTTATTTCGCTAGTCAGTCCAATATAGATAATAATAATAATATTGTATGGCTTTGTTTTTGTGCTATAAAAGTATGTATTGTTCTCGCTATGGCAGTATTTGGACTCTACCAATATTGCCATAGCTCGAGCGATATATTCTTGTATCACACTCAAAGCCATCCATTATTTAATATTCCAGTTTGATATGGGGATCCTCAAATCATAATACAGAAAAACACTTTTGATATATAAAAAAGTGTTATATCATTTTTTGCAAATTATTTGTGCTGACTTTCAATTAGATCATAGAGTTTACATAGTTACCGGTACCAGGAAAATTTTGGAAGTCTATTGGAGTTCCATCTGTAAATGTCGAGAACACTCCTTCGCTTTCCTGATCAGTTATTCCTATCCATGCATTACCTGAAATTCCATCTGTAAATGGAACACAAACAATGTTTTTGATTTGCAGTAACAATCAATTTGAATCCCCTCATTTATTTTCAGAGGGAAAATATAGAACATTTTATGCCTTGAGAACCTTGGACCAATATCTTGAAAGTTTAAAAGTATCAAGTTTTTTGTAAACAAAAACAAAAACGTATTTTGTTTGCACGCAAGTACACCTATAATCTCTTCATCTCCATACTATAGGTAACTTAAAAGTACAATGCAATGACACTGCGTTGCAATATTTTTCTGAGAACAGGTAGAGCAGTATTCATATTGAAACAAAACACTTGCAGAAATAGAATTTTCACTGACAAGTTTTCTTCATACGAGAAAATATATTGGATGATGATACATTCTAAGTCGAAGTATAAACTTAGATATTGTATTATGAAATTTCCGGAGTAATACCAATATTCACCAAGAATCAACATGGTTTTCAGAACAACAGATTAAAAAATATAAAAAAATCAAGGTGGGAATCATGACTGTTTGATTGGATCAATGTTGCAATATTTTTTTCCTTTTTCCTTTTTTAAATTACAACAAAAGGAGTTCAGCACAGTCTATGTTGAAGTTTGCCAAAGTTTGGTCAGGTCTTTTTATAATTGGTTTTCTCAATTGTACCAGTCACCTAAAGAAAATAATTTGTTTACAGCTATAATGTGTAATTAAAAACTTAAAACGATAAATAATGAAAAGAAAAAAAACACTTAAAAACGCATCTCATGGGTTAATGAAGAAGATAATAGATAATATGAAAATGCATGTACGGAACCCAACAAGGATTTGAGTTCCGTATGGGCTCTATTCTTTGTGAGCGTGTACGGAGGCACCATACTCACTAGTTGCTTTTACGGTCAATAAGATTGTATTTAAACTTGCAATATCTCTTCATGGAAGTAATATTTGAAGTCTACATTTTGACAATAGCAAACTAAGATAGAACCTCTGACAAACATAAATAGTGAGAGTTCATATTCTACACAACTCCCAATTCTCCCCTCACTCTCTCTCTTTCTCTTTCTTTCTTTCTCATTATCTTTCTATCTCTCTCTCTCGTCTCATGATGGTCCAGAGCCCTGTTTCATAAAACTTGTTATGAATTTCAAGTTACAATATATGTTATTTATAAGCTAATGAAATCGTGGCTTTTGATTGGCTAAGAGCAAATTTTTCATTGTACTTTTAATAGCATTTGTTATTGATAACAAGTTTTGTGAAACAGGGTCCTGATCCTTACCATTTACAAATGCATTCTCCTCTGCACTGTGTATGCTGACCAAGTCAGCACCAAGTCCTAGACAAAATTCTCTGGCGCTTTCCCAAGTAGTCCGTTCTTCATGGAACAGGTAACAGCTTCCATTATTATGGACCCAATCAGCTTCACAGACAGAATCTGAGAATAAAAGAGAGAGGGAGGGAAAAAAACAACTTGTTTTTATACAGCTGTATGAACAACTACAACAGAAATACACAGTATTTCTAAGCCATTTAAAGGACAAACAACTAGACCGAGTCTTCAGTTGCTTAAAGAGCATATACATGTATCAAAATCAAATTACAGGAGAAATATTTCTACCAGGAAGAAATTAGGGGAGAACTGCAATGATTTCGTATTTCATCTCAGAGAATCAGAGCAGACACTTTTGAACAACTGAACTCCATGCAAAACCATACACCACCGACTAAAATTAGTGAAAGTAGTCAACAGCAACTAAGTCGCATAAATGAAGAAATGTCAAAGGAGAAATACTGAGAGTTCAAATTTAGGTAAAAGTTGCTAAACTATCTAAGCATATATTCATATCATTGGTGACAAACATAAATTGTATTCTGCAAATATGTTATTCAGAGAGGGATGTAATTAGAGTCATGTTTGAAAAATTGTGAAAGGCCATGATCCTAGGGAAGTATTATGCATAACTACTGTAGAAATTGTTTAAAAAAGGGAGGCACGGCCAATTTCCCCCTAGATTCATCCATGATAACCATTACCTTTGCAGATGTATGTGACATTCAGATACTTGAGGACTCCTTGACATGGATCTCCAAAAGAAAGGTTTAAGGCTTCAATCGAACACTGTGCTTGACCATTGCAGTAAGCCAATTCAGGGGCCACATCTAAGACACAATTGGTGTTGGAATCATCCTCGGCACACGTGTTGGTGTCGGTCCGCCCATAGACAGAGGAAGAAATACTGATAATATCCACACCACAGTCAATAACTCCATTCTGCCCCTCACAGATGATCTCAGTCTCTGCATAAAAGGAGATTTTAACAAGCATTAAAAACGTATTCTAAGACTTTTAATGCTAGTCATTTTTAGCCCAATTCTAAATTTATATATATGCCAACTTTTTTCCAAACATAAAAGCATGTTTTTTCTCCTGAAATTCAAGACAAGTTTATGAAACATGAAGTTACATGAAAGTTTCAAGAGCACTGTTTAGAGCAAGGTGAACAAATAATGTCAGATCTAGTATTTGCCAACTTTTGTTTGGACCCAGAACTAAAAGGCTTGTATTTCTTTCTGAACTTCAACACAAATTTATGAACATGAAGTTACAAGTTAATTAAAGTTTCAAACAGTACTGTTTGGATCAAGGTGAACAAGAAAACAGTTCTAAAATAAATAACTTCATCCACAAAATCAGTAGAGTAGGTGGTAGATCTAGATTACAGTTGAAACTTGATAACCAACCATTGGCTAATACAAAACTTTCTCACCACAGTAGCACCCTCAACCTTTTTTCTTTCTTTTGCATAAAAATGGGTCATGAATTGCACCGATTTGAAACATAGACTAGACCTAGAGTTTAGGGGTCTATATTGATTTTATTGATCAAATTATTGTTTTCAAAAGTAAGCAATTTTGTGCATCATATGACAGCCTTTTTTTGTTTCCATATTTCAAAATGACCTGGACTGATCTGGATGATTTTCTACAACATTACTGTATGCAACTGTGTGGACATTCCACCAAAATGTTCTGGCAGTGGCTCAATACAATTAGTTACAAGGTGGGGCCCCTCTCGATAGTTCATTTTTTATTTTGGTGCGGGAGATTTTCATTTTACACGTTTGGCAGGCAGTTTTTTCATAAACCTGGTCTCTGGACTGGCTGGAGATTCAACATCGTTTCGTTTGCGGGAGAGCAGGAGGAAGGGCGTGCCGTTGTGGCTTGATCTAAATTTACATCAATTTTCGTTCCCACGCCCTAGACTCAAAGCTAGCCTAGCTATAGTCGTGATTAGGCCTGAATAATAATTTTTCTCGTTAAGCCGACCCATCGGACCCTGCCCGGTGGTAGTGACAAGACGCAGCAAACCAAGCTTCTATCACCGGCCGGACTAACTCCAGGGAGTTCCGGCGGCGGAGCTCCCCAGACTTACGGCCGGGTGGTGTGCATGCAGGGTCGCCCAGGATCAGACTCACCTGTACCCGCGATGACGGCTGCCTTGAAGACGGCGTTGAGTAGAAACGAGATGAAGACGACATTCCGCATAGCAGCAGCAAACTCCATACAGGATTCGGTCCAATGCTGCCAACTGTTTGATAGATCTGCAGATTCATGAAGCAATATGTTCCAAAATTGAATTAATTAGCCAGGTGATACAGTCAGTAGACCTAACTTTAATCCATTTGGTTAGAGCGATATGCGCAGCTAGCAAATCCTGCTATCGCTTATTTTATAGCTCACGCGCATTACACCGATCCTTCCTAGAATACATTTTAACTTTGATATCGCGCATAATTATATGGATATCGCGGAGTACACCGTGATTGGCGCAAAGTTTTTCAATTAAACTCGCAAATGGTCGGACTTACGACCCCCCCCCCCCCCCCCAAAAAAAGAGAGCAAACATAGAAACATAAATGAAATGCAAATATACATTTTAAAATTAATACTGATAATGATGATGATGATGATGATGATGATAAATAATAATAACAATAGTATTAATAACGATGATGACGATGATGATGATGGTAATGATAATAATAATAATAAAATAAGAACTTGAAGAAGTAGAAGAAGAAGAAGAATGTCAATTAGTTAATTGTTGTTGCCAAGTAAAAACAAATGAAGATTTAGGGATGCTTTTTTCCCCATTGCAATGATACCAGGATTTTTTCTCAATATTTCTTTTGTGAATTTTTTTCTTTTTCATGCGTTTGTTGAAAAATAACAAATTCCGAAATTTAAAGTCAGGCAAAAATAAGTTTTTTTTAGAAGCCTTCAGGTCAGGGCCTGCAAACGGCAGGGCTCGGGGGCTCACTCACTTCTTTGAAAAAGTATGTTAAGGAGAAGAAAAAAGAAAATGAGAAAGAAATGAGATATCAAAATATGCTCACCTGACCGTACTTAAAAGCCTAAAACTCCTGAGCTTACGGGGACTCCGTCCCCTGGACCCAATCAAGGGCCCTAAGGCGTGCCCCTGGAAGCTCATCTGACCGTTACCTTAATACCTAAAACCCCTAGTGTTCCGGGGGCTCTAGCTCTACCCCTGGACCACACCAAGGGCCCTAATAAGGAGGGGGCCCCTGGATATTCATCTAGCCTTAATTGAATACCTAAACCCCCTGAGCTTCATGGGGCCAATCCCCCGGACCCCACGCCAATTAGTGGCCTGCCAGTGTCACAAATATATGTTTATCTGACGGTTATCTAATGCGATAACCTCTGAGCTTCAGGAGCTCCGCCCCTGGACACCACGCCAATTTACGCTCCACTCGCTTCGATCGCTACACACCTCCTGATTGTTAATACTCCACTTCGAAAAACGTTCCGTGGGCCTGCATGTAACATGTAAGAGTGGTGGGGATGCAGATTTTTCTTCTGCCCCCCCCCCCAAAAAAAAAACGCTTCTGCTCATTACGCCACTGCCCCTGAAAGGTGAGCCCCTGGAATTGTTGTCCCCCATCCCAAAGTGCTTCCAGCGCGCCTCGTGTCCCCCCCCCCCCTCCTTTTTGGCCGCCGCTCCCTTTTGTTTACTAATTACTATTCAGGACAAAAGAAGGAAAAAAAGGCTGGAATATATTTTGGAACACATGTACATTTTTCACTGTTTTTGAATTATGAAACTTACTAAGCAAGTGGACTAAAATGATACTATCAGTATACTCAAAAAGTACAATATCTGTGAATAAATATACCTTGGCCAGCCATATTTAGCCTGGTGGCCATCTTCAATTTGGAAAAAAGAGCAACAAAAATTGAAAACAATGTTTTTGTCAGTGGAGCATCTAGGGCCCCTTGCCCCCCCCCCCATGGGTGTTGAGTACACAAAAGTACACACTATCTCCCCCCCCCCCCCTGTTGAGCAAAAAAAAATATTGCCCCCCCCCCCCCCCCCCCCCCACCACCACCACTTTTTGGTGAGACTTAAAAATAAGTAAAACTAATTTTATCCGTTTTAGAACTATTAACTCCCATAGACCAACCACAATGTAATTTGTTTATAGGTGGTTTATCCCTGGTAGAAAAACAATCAACGAAATTATTATTGACTCAAATTTGTCTTGGAACGAACACATTCATAACATAAATATTTTGATATTCCGGAATATTGGTATTTTGTATAAAATGAAATGTTTGATAAATGATAGATCTTTGTTTATTCTTTATAATACTTTAATTTTACCGTATATAACATATTGTAATATTATTATGCAAACTGTAGTAAAACTAAATAAACTCAATATTTCTTTTGCAGAAAAGAGCAATTCGTATTTGTACACACTTGACTATCTTGCAAATTCGAACCCGTTATTAATTTAGTCAATTAAAAACATTAAAGGTTTATGATATACATACGCTCCAAACTGCCATTTTTATGTATAAGTACACTTCCAAAACTATTCCAGCATCTTTCTTAAACTTTTATTTATTAAATGTAAACGTACACTCATATTTAACTGGACATGCTCATGATTATCATCTTAATAATCCCAAACTTAGTTTAGCCCTACGTTCAATCAGACACCATGGACCAGATATTTGGAATAACTTACCAAACCATATTAAAACTAGGACCTCCCTTTATTCTTTTAAAGCTTATATGAAAACATATATGTTAACTCAGTATAGTTTACTAGATCTTACATAGAAATTTAAAATTATCTAATTTGCTATGTCTAGAATTGTACTGTCTTTGTTTGTCAACAGGAATGGACCCTGCATACATTTAATATTATCACCCGTAACTGAAACCAACACACAATTAATATCACGGTATTAGTCTCTTTTTGTTCCACCAAGCTAAATTTTTGCACCTTGCACAAATGCACTTCTCAACACAAAATATTTCACTAAATTTGTTTTGTTATTTTCACTCAAAATTAATTCAGCCATGCTCACTTTTAATCACTTCACTTATATCTTATTTAGCATTGAATACAATGCAGTTGCATGGGTTGTTCTTTTATTTTGTTAACTCGGCAGAGGCCAAGGTCATGTTCAAGCATTTACGCTTACGACATGTGGTCTCCTGCTTTTTCCTTTTGTATGAAACTTTTATTTTAACTCAGAAACAAATTTTGTCAAACTTACATGTTATTCATTATATTTATTTGTATGTTTGTTTGTATTGATATGAAAAAGTGGAAATAAAACAAGACAAACAAACATGCAGTAGTATGTTAATTTCTGTCACTCCTGGTTATTGTTATCTTTACTCTTACACTCAATAATTTATGTTACAACATAACTTTGAAATTAGTTATCCAATGTACAAAAATTGAGAATGATCCTATCTGTTTGGATTGAAATCAATAAAGTATGAATTTGAATTTGAGAGAAAATATTTAGGGCCGAATCAGCCAGCCGGCAAATAAGCGGGGTAGATGGAGGGGGGGGGGGGAGGTAAGGAGCACTATTATTTTTTTCTTCCAATATTGAACACCCACTCCCCCCCCCCCCCCCCCCCTCCCTTGCGCCAGCGGGAGGGGGCCCGGCCGTCTACTTTTTTTTATTGAAAAAAGGGTCAAGTTCACCTGTTTTGGAGGCCACGGGAGGCCCCCCCCCCCCCTAGATCCCCCACTGCGATACACTTTGCCCCCAAAGAGCACTGAGATGATCTTGCGAGGTCCGGTGACCTCTAATCTGATTCCAGCTGCAAGCATGCAGAGCCTAGCTACTCTAGCTAGCCCTTAGCTCTCGACGTATACAAGTCTATTATGCTGCCCTCTACGTTTATCGTTTGCGTACAAATTTCGAATGGTGTCGTTTCCGTGAAAACCGTAAGTATTTTGTTCATTGTATTATATCATCTACATTTTCAGCTATGTATTGAATCAAAATGTATACATGAACAAACATGAGTTTGATAGGTGTGAGAAAAGATCATGGATACATAAATAACCAGACTCCAGAGCTTGAAATCACTAGCGCAGGGGCCCCTAGATCTATCGCCGGATGCTAAAGCTCAACGACGCCTGGTCCGCCCGCTTACAAAACCTAATGGAAGTGTCCAACCACAGTGCGCAATAAAACTAGCGGTTAAGCGTTCGCGGACGTTCAAACTTCAGTATCTCGACACTTGAAAAGAGGAAAGAAAAAAGAAGAAGGGAAGAAGAAGAACCCAATATCAATATTACCGGGACACTTAACAGAGGTAAAACTGTCACATTTGCTGTTGGATTTTATAGCAAATAGTCTAGACTAAATAGAAGCATCAAATAAATAACCCTGTGAAGTCCATGGAAGTCTGAAGACTGAACACCGGTAGTAATCACTCCAGCAAAGCATAGAGAGTCAATGCTAATGCGTATTGACCTCTAGCACTGCATGCTTGCTATGAGCATGAGGCAGGTATTTTTAGACCCATACACAAATACACACACCACACAATTTATAGTGGTATAACTCTCAAGGGCTTGTAGAGTGCAATTATTTTGCCTTTGTTTCGTACAAAGAGAAATTTTCACTCTGTAATAACTTTGATAACCTTTTATAACACCTGTAGAGCCCTCCAAGAATCTACAACAATGGCGCATACGCCACATTCGACGTATCGATCCTCTTCGCGACGCTCATCGACTAAAAAGGCGAGGCAGGATCGTACTGGCTTTCATTTTGGAACTCCTGCCATTCCAAGTTTATTTGTAGACGATGAGGTGGATGAAGGGAGTCCGATCCCGACAGTGAATCAGAGACTTGGTCACCTCAGACCATCCAGAGAACTACTGGAGTATTACAGGAGAAAGATAGCCGAGTTTGATGGAGAGCATCAAGATATGATGACTAAACTGGATAAATACAAGACAACGTATGAACAACAGGTTGGTTGCCATTGCTTATTTATAAATGAGATTTGCAAATAAATGAAAGAATTGACTAGGAAGAATAATGATTGCAAGAGAGATTCTCGTAGATACATTTTTAGTTAATCCAAAAGTGGTGAGACATTTGATAATTGTAATTTTGATTGATGTATGCTTTTCCTTGTCATGTAATGAGTTGATTTACCATCGCAATCAAATTTGTTTCCATTTTTTTTTTCATGGTGTTATATGGTAAGGTTTTTATAGGTGTGTACATGTAGGTCAGATAAATCTTTAAAAAAAAAGTATTAATAAGAAGAACAAAAAGTGAATCAAAAGTACCTTATTGCCAAGTGATGATCATGCAACCTTTTTTTCTCTCGATGATACAACAGCACAAAATGCAGTGGGAGTTACGTCAGCGTGAAGAAGAGATTGCTGAGCTGCAGAAGGCTCTTAGTGACATGCAGGTCTATCTCTTCCAGGAAAGAGAGCAGGTTCTCAGATTGTATGCAGAGAACGACAGATTGAAAATCAGAGAGCTAGAAGACAGAAAGAGGTAAGTGGCAGAATTCTTTGTTGTTGTGAGAGGCATCTGCCAAAAGAATTCTTATTGATGTTGATGCACTCTAATGCTTGTAGTGTTAATAATCATACAAGCACAATTTGCTGAGCATATTACTCCCCGGGTTATTGCTTTAGAGCTCCACAATTACTCTGCAGGATAACAAGAATTGAGATTTTATTTCTATATAGGTGGAAAAAGTGGTACTAGATTGGTAGATTGGTATGTACTTTGAAGGTGTCGTTGATCGATTTGTCTTGACAAGAAGTAATCAATGTCTATAGCAGATACAATTGATAAACCAGCGATATGGCAAACATTAACCTGAATCACAGTTATGACATATATTATTTAATCCTATGTCTCATAAAATATGAAATTCATGAGCTTTCCTTTCCCATCCCAAGAAAGTGTATGCTGGAACTTCAATAGATTTGATACCTTCAGTGTTTTCGCTGCTCGATGTACTATTTTTAGTATCATATTCATAACTCACACTTCCTAATATTCTATTCATCTCAGGATTCAGCATCTGCTTGCACTGAATGGCCCAGGTGAACCCGAAGTGACCTATTTTCACAAGGAGCCACCTGCTAGGGCGGTTGTTAAACAACGCCATCCAGCCAAGAGGTACCCGCATTCTGAAGGTAAAATATATGTGATGCACAACTCTTTTGAATTACCTTACACAGCTTTACACAACATATTTACAAAATATTCTGTTTTATTTACTAATGTACAGGGCTTTAAGCAGTTTATGTAAAGGCACTATATAAATATCAGTATGTATGAAGGTATGTAAGTGTGTTGGTCAGTTTGGTAAGGACACAGATGTCAACTCAAGATGATCATCAACTCTTTGATTCAGTTAGTTTTGTGACACGATGGTTGCAACTATGCATTGTTGGATGAACTCATTTGAACAGTTTGATCAATCATTGGTTAAGTAGTATAATAGTTATGGATTCAGGTAATTTTATATGCATGTAGCATTGATAGAATTGATTCCTGTATAATAATTATAGAAATAAGAACGGGAGTTGCTTGTATCAAGAAGTGCCTTATTGGGTCATCTCTGACTTTTCAAACGTTGTATACTAATGTCTTCCTTATGCATTCTAAGCAGTGCATTAGGTTTCCACACGCTCATTCAGTGGCACATTCTGAGAGTATGTTTACATTTACTTCAACTTCAATACAAATTCATATATCCGTACTTTTACTATGTAGTTGATAGATTTAAAGCCCCCACTGCACTACTTGTAGCTACTGGCGCCTTCTATAGAGCAAACAATGCCTTAGCGGTGACCGTTGGTCCCCCATGATCCTCTTTTTCTTATGTTAATTGAGAGCTTATTTGATGAGATAACCACCTGTCATTGACCATGCAGGGAGGTCTACTTCCTAAGGCCAAACTAGTGCAGATAGATTTAATGGATTATCTTTTCTCTTTTGACTAGATGAGAAGCTTGGTCTACGATCTGCCATGCCCCTTCAGAGCAGTTCAGCAGCTAATGTGAGAGCAGCAGTGTCCAGACCAGCCTCTGCTAGACCTGCAAAGAAAAGCCTTGCCAGTAAGAAATCTTTTTCATGTTAAATGTTCTCAAGACATATGTGGAATTACACAATTGTCTGGGTTTTAGGGGACAAAATTACATGGTATAGTAAATGTGTACTGTGACTTTTGAAAGAGAGCTTCTCTTGGTAGAATGAAATATTTCAGAATCAAAATCATCTACCATGGTGTCTTTCTATATTCCAGAGTTAGAGGGCAACATTTCTTTCCGTTTCTTGGTCTTCTACTATGTTGTGCGCTCTTGCCGTCCCTCTGAATCAAGTGCAATTAATAATTTAATATGAACCCCTTCTCTATGTACAAGAGATATGGGAGTGTAATTTTGTGATAGATTGGATGGCTGACTTTCAATCAATTTTAAGCAACCATAGCACACTGCTTTAAACCCTTCCTTTTGATTTGAGTCTTATCTTTCCTCTTTTTTCTTCAATAAGCCTAGATATCTCTTTATGTGACTAAACTATTTATATTATATTGGATGGCTTTGAGTGTGATACAAGAATATATTGTCGTGGCAAGAGCAATATATTCTTGTATCACAAGAAAACAAAACCATACAATATTATTATTATTATCTACATCAGACTGACTATAGCGAAATAACAAAATATGACATGCCTCGTTAAATATGCCTTTGTTTTTGTGTGATATCGATATCGATAGTTGAAGTTCCCGGAGGACTGAGCAATACCAAAACAATATTGATCAGTCATCCAGGTACTGTGCTAAAGATATTAAACACACTGATTTATTGTACCACTTGGATGCTTTAATATTGATAATAATGTTTTGTATTGTTTTCTCTCTGATAAGTCACATCACAACATTTTGTTGCGTTACTGGCAAGTGTTATACTTGATTGCATTCATGATGTTCTCTACATGCCCCCTGTGTAATGTGTGTCCTTGCATAGGTAAGAAGAAGTCAGATGAGAATGCAAACATGAAGGGAAAGCAAGATGTTGAGGTACTACTGCTTCAAATTGAAGCTTTACAGAGTCAGATGGCGGATCAAGCTAGAGTATCCAAAGACCAGGTGAGTGAGAGGTTTACATTAAGGGAATCCCTCTGTAGTTCCTTGTAGTAGGGTTGAGCTTACTTGAGCTTACTTGGGTTCCAACCCTAACGTCCTTTGACAAGACGTTAATCCTCATTTGCCACTCTCTACTCAGGTGCTCAATGGGTACCCAGTAGGATGCGAAAGTTAATGTAGTTTGCTCAGCATTGTAAGCGTCTGTAAAATGACGCCTGGCTCGAATCCTCCCCAGGGGAGTGGAGAATGTGCATACATTGTGTGTGGGCAAGCTTGAATCCAATGACCAGGGTAATGATATATCTGTAAAGCGCTTAGAGACATTATGTATTAAGCACTATATAAAAGCAGAATATTGTTATTATTATTATTGAGCGAAATTCCTTCTAAGTGTCTTCAAATAGCTGACACCATTTGGGGATTTAGGTTGCACATCAATAGGGATTTTTATTACAGTTGCACCTTGTAAAGTGAGAATGATTCTCTATACATGCTTTAACGATCCCTGATAAGACACAGATTATTCCTGAGGTATGGAACAGCCAATGGGTAATCAATCCAAAGCTCCAACGATTTCAACACTAGCCTGTGTACTTGATGAATGCGCACTAGATGAAAGCACATTTTTTTCTTGTAGGGCTTTAGTGGGTATCTAAATACATTGCCATCACAGATTACTTCACATTATTCCCCTCATTTATTCACTTTGTATTAAGCCTGGCTACTTTTTGTTTAGTTATATAGTTATTTTTTAACAATATTTGATTCATAATTTAAAATGAGCATCTTCCAGTTAATGTAGCAAATGGGCAAATAGTAGTTTTAGTGTCTGTGTATATTTTTTACTTAAAGATAAAGACCAGTTATGGTCATGCGATTGTATTGTGAAAGAAACGTTGTGGAATCGATCAGAAAAGGTTGATAATCTAGCATATAAGTATAGGTGTGTACTGCAAGGTTCTAGAATCATCAAAATGATAAGAAATTTGGCCCAGTCTTCGTAAAGTTACAAGCACTGTCATACATGCCAACTGTTCAGATTAAAGAGGAACATTCCTCTTTTTGGGAAAAGATAATTATCATTTTAATGCAGGTGTTCCTCTTCCTGTACAAATTTGTCTGTACTATTGAATATGAGAGTTAGGATTGTTCCTCTTTTTTTTTGAAAATAGCATAATTTGTACAGATTTCTGATTTTCAAATGTTGGCATGTATGCACTGTACACAGAAAGATGTATATGGGACTACGCACACGTGTGTGACATGTGTGTTTATCTCTCACAGTCCAATAGATAAACTAATTTACCAAATATATCAATTAGTAGGCGGTTTCCTGGCAAAATTTTTATCATCATGTATTAGTCAAAACATATTCTTTCACATGATTGGTAATAAGAGCTTCCATTTCATTTTTTGAAATTGGGGCGTTTCCAAGACTGGTCTTTACTTTTAAGTGTTATATTGGTTTCCATTTATTTTTATGTACAGAACTTGTGAAATATTTTCTTAACTGTAAGTAAATGCCTCTGTCAGCGACATGAAATTTGATGAATTTTATGGCATGATAACCATTGTTCCTTTTCCAAGATACATGTTCAACAAAGGTGCACTTTAATACTAGCCATATGATTGTAAAGACTTATAATCAGAAGATATTCTTTTGCAATATTATGCAATAATTTACAAATACATATCATTTGATGAATTTACATATTTAGGTAGGTGCACTGATAGAAGACAGAAGAGTGCGGATGGAAGAGATGCAGACAGTGATAGAAAGAGATCAAAGTAAAGTTCAATCTCTTGAAGACAGGTTAGTTTATCAACAAGTATATACAATCTTTATTCCTATTATCAGGTGAAGAATCAAACAAAAAATGACCTAATCGTCGTTTATTTCTATTATTAATACTCTTGTGTACATCAGTAATGCATGCCTGTATGTTTTCTCATGGCATTCTGCATGCTGGCATAATTATTTTCAAAAGCATGTGTACTGCCTGGACATTAAGCTCTAAAACGCTAAGGATTTAGAGATATTAAAATATCAAATTTATCGGTGCTACCGATAGATTTCAAATAGCGCCTACGGGCATACAATGGTAGCAACGACTATGAGAAATCTTGGAATATGCAGTTCTGATATATAATTTCAAAACTGGAATAGAAAATTGGTAGATTTTAGTCAAGAAGCATTGTTTTGAAGCCATACAAAAACCGTTTGTATTACCTTTAAACACAGCCCTCAGTGTGTCAGTAAAATATTAATGAAGAAGCTGTCCCCCCACTATCCATCCCTCCCCTCAGAGTTTAAAGAGGACCAAATTTGTATTTATTACTGTGTATCTGTATCTTGAAATGGTAATAGTAATAAGATTTTGCTTTTAATGAACCTCAAAATAGATTTTCTAGAAAAATGACTTTGTAAGAATACTTCTATGCTACATGTACACATGGTTATTTCTCCACACGTTGTATACCCATAAAAACACAGACTCCACCAAACTCAGAATCTCCTGTACGACAGCACGCGGGATTACCTGCAGCTGAAGTACGAGAGCCGAGCGGAGGAGAAGGGATGGATGGGGGAGAAGGATAAGTTCCTCCAGGAGCTCGACAGATGCAGGGAGCAGCTCAATGTATCCAAGGATGATGTACTGCATGTCTCTGATCATGCGCTGGAGCAGAGACACGCTCAGACGATAGAGATGGAGGTGAGAGGGACGCGAATCACTTGTCTTGCCATGCAGGAGGGTAATCCATAGGGGGGGGGGGGTTCACAAATACTAAGATCGACTTTAAGTTGGACTTAACTATGGCAGGCTGTTCATGCCAGTGGTTGCTCTTACTATTGGTCTCTCAGTTATGATCTTTAGATAATATTTTCCCCTCAAATAATGAACCATCAACAACTGAAATTCGGTAGATTTGTGACCACAATATATATGTCCCTTGAGAAACCAATGCCAGGAATGGTTAGAGGAACTAGTGGCACGAACAGCCTGCCATAGTTAGGTCCAAGTTGATCTAAGTCTTTGTGCAACACCCCTGTGTTTAGCTACTAAATTCATGCAATTCCAATTAAACTTCATATGGATTTGGTTTTGATGTGATTTATTTACCAACAGCAATAAATTTCAAACAATGATATTTACATATACAAGAAGATAAACTATTGGTTGGTGAAAAGGGCCAGATAATAGCACTTGTACTAGTCGAGCCTAACCCCTCATCAAGCCTGATAACAAACTATTGATGTACGTATATAAACTCTAATGAAATATGCGAAACAAGTGGTACTTCCAGTACATCAAAAGACATCTGTAGGCAAATGAAAGTTTTAAAATCCATCACTCACTTTTCTAGGCTGTAAACCAGAAACGTGGGTCCATTTCAAAATGCAAAGATGGGAACAGTGTTCATTCTCAATAAAGGAAGAAGTTTGTATCATTGATGTTATATAAATGTAGTTGCATTTTTATTTGAAATGCTGAGATTATCTGTTTGCTGGTAATCACTACTTGTGTATATGTATACATGCACATGTCTATGAATTTACTGTTTAATAGGTATACCTATACCTTGTGGTGGCAGATTTCTTCAACGGCTAATTTCATTATCCCTTGATCTGTCTTTGTCCATCTTTCTTCTCCATCTTTCTCCTTTCTTCATTTTCTCTCTTCTCCCCTCTCTTTCTCACCATCTCTCCATCTCTCTTTAACTCTCTCTATTCTCTTCCTGTCTCTTACTCCTTCTCCCTTCCTCTTAAATCAACCCTCTTGACTTTAGGCTATAGAGAATCAGCTTCAACAAGCCCAGAAGCTGAGTGATATGTACAGAGAACAAGTCATCACGTTAGAATCAGAGTTAGCGGCTATCAGGGAGAAAGAGGATGTTAGTAAAGTAGCTTTCAAGGTAAGCAATTCGTCTTGAATCACAATGATTTACTACTGTATTGATAATTGTATTATATTTGTTACACTATGCAGGCTCACAAAAGAAGAATGCCTTACAAGCATTAGAAATTGTATAATGAGGCACTTGATGGATAGAAAAATCTTGGAAAAATTAAAGGATTTATATATCTGAGGCCCAGTAAAAGGTTTTATTATCAATTGGATACTTTTTTTGGTTACCTTTGTGTTAATTTGTGATAAATATGCCAAGATCAGTATCCGAAACACTCACTTTTCAAACATGTACTCTAACTTTATAAGGAATCAACAAAAGTTTTTTTAATATTTTTTAAAAACTTGTGATGATATGGTCTGTAGTTCTTGATTGAAAGATATCTTTGCTAAATCGAGATTCATTCCTGACATTTTGAACTTCTTGATAATATATACTTTGGCACATGTCCTTCTTATCAATCAACTTTATTCATTTGCACATTAGATTTTGCACATTCTTCTTTTTCCAAGGATAGCAGTTAAAATTTAACTTGAAATAAACATTTTTTATGACTACAATTTGTGGAGCTTGAAAGGTGTTGCAGTGTTGATAAAGAGAAAAGGCATCAATAGATTGACAAATTATTGTGATTACACTTGTTTATGGTGATATTTTTTCCTTCTCTATCCATAGGGACGAACGGAGAAGCTTAGCAGACGGCTACAACTGATGAATCAGAGATATGAAGCGCTTGAGAAGAGACGTAACCTGGAGGTGGAAGGCTTCAAGAACGATATCAAGATTCTCAGGAGTAGACTCAAAGATGTGGAGAAACAGCTGTTCAAGGTAAGGCCCATGGTTTAGCAATTGAATATTATATTTCAAGTTTATATGTTATTATTATTTGTTGCTCGCTAACAGAGTCAGACAAAGTTATTGTGACTGTCAGTGATGAATGTAAAAAATAAAGTGCACTAATATATTGATTGTTATGAGGCATAAATCTTTATTGGTGACTATTGAAAACCCTGACGATTCTAATGAGAATTTTGAAGTACTTTATAGTTACATTGAATGGGATCTTTTTTGGGGTCAATTAAACTGCATAAAATATTTCATACATCTTATTATGTATAAATGTTGATGTATTTTTGTTTGTTAAAGGCATCATTTAACAATGTTCAATCTGAGATGCATGGTCCTACATGTCATCAGTGTCTGTGATATGGTGTAATATTGAAGCCCTAAAAAAAAATTGCGCTTCAAAATTATGATGAAGTGCCGCAAAAAAGTAAAAATCTTTGAGTGACCGGTTTTACCATACTCATTTTCCCCAATAGACTGTAGTGTTATAAGAACCGTTTTGAAAAACAAAATACGAAATTTTGTTTTCTATGTCAATAGGTGACCCTTGGATTCGGTGAGGATGGTGACATGAGGATGCTTCGTGACGTCCATACGACAGCCAAGAAATCAAAACAGATGCAAGGAGAACTACACAGACTCAAAGCTGCAGTCTATGGCATGGAGAATGATATAAGAAGACTTTGAGAACAATACAGAACTGAATGCATGGGAGCATTTTCTTATTCTTATAAAATCCTTGATATTGGAAGTAATGATAGCTAGTGCCTTGACTGCTCTGAGAGATATGAAAACATGGCGTGGAAAACGATATCAGAAGACTGTGAGAACGATACAGAACCGAAATGAATGGGCGCATCTTCTTATTCTTACAAAATCCTTGATATTGAAAGTAATGAAGAGGTAGTGACTAGACTACTACGAGAGAGATGAAAACAGGACTGCTGCATGGACTCGGGGCCAAGAACTTTGAGGAGGCCATGACGAGAATTTCCCGTTCTTCCTAATCAGGAGATTAGTGATAATCTCTGGTGTTCATATACCTTTCTTTTTATGCCTCCATTACGAAGTATCCGGAGGCATTATGTTTTTGAGTTGTCCGTACGTACATTCGTACGTACGTCCCGTTCTCGTGATCGCGTTATCTCAAGAACCGACTGATGGATTCCTGCCAAACTTTGGTCATGTGTGTGTCTTGCAGAGCCAATGAATTTATTAGATTTTGGGGATAAAAGGTCAAAGGTCGAAGGTCACAGGGCTCATTATTAGGCAAAAATAGCTTGTGATTGCGTTATCTCAAGAACTGATTGATGGATTCCTGCCCTACTTAGGTCATGTATGTATCTTGTAGATCCAATTAATTGATTAGATTTTGGGGTCACGAGGTCATAGGTCAAAGGTCACAGGGCTCATTATGTGTGCAAAAATAGCTTGTGATCACATTATCATTAGAACAGATAGACAGATTACCATGAAACTCAGGAAAAGTATGTATCTTGCTGAGGCAATGAACTAAATAGATTTTAGGGTCATGAGGTCAAGTTCAAAGGTCACAGGGCTCATTATGTATGCAAAAATAATTTGTGATCACATTATCATTAGAACCGATGGATGGATTACCATCAAACTTAAGATCTGTATGTTTCTTGCAGAGCCAATGAACTGAGTAGATGTTGGGGTCATGAGGTCAAAGATCAAAGGGTCATACAGTATATCAGAAATAGCTTGTAATCACAATATTCTGAGAACCTGTCAATGGATTACAATCGAACTTGAATTGAAAAATCGCTTCTGTTTTGGTTTGTAAAATTGCTCTATGACGGAGGCATCATTTTCGATTGCGTGCAGTCGAATTTCTATCTAGTTTACATTATTATAAGATGGGATCTATGTGTGGTAAATGGTAATGTGTATCCTGCAGATTGCATGGGGATTTCAAGACTACGCAATGAGAACTACAGTGTCAATGACATGATTTATCTTCTGTAGAAGGCCTTGGGAAGATTTCCTGTTTCCATTGTCATTTTGGTTTCGTTGCAGTAGAAAAGTTCATTGGGTACAGTCAAACTAATCAAGATTATCTAGCATTAAATTTTAGTCACAATTTCTCCTGTAATTTGGTAATATATGTATTTTTGGGTTAACGTTGTTTCAACATTAAATTGCGTATAATCCAATAAAGGTATGCATTGTTAGTTTGTACTGCAGAAAAATTCCATTAAGGAAAAAGAAAAAAACTTGCATAATTTGCCAAAATTTAACTCCTGAAGTTTTAGTGCTATTTTTGCTTAAAGTCTGTTCAATACGTCATAATCAAAACTACAAGAAAATATTCACATATTATGGAACATTTCTCAACTCTTTTGTGCTCATGAATACTAGTTGTATTTTTTGGAACACTGAATTAGATGGTATGAAGTATGAATAAGGCTGCAATATAATGTAGCCCTCCACCTTTTGAAGATTAATATCAGAGCCTTGAGCCCAGAGCATTGCAAGTTGCGACTGATATTTGCTATCAATTGCAACTCAACTTTTTTGCAACATCCCACTAGTCTCCTAAATGTCCTAGGATTTTGTTAGGATTAAAGTTAAGTTAACTAAATCTCTCCCTCTCTCTCTCTCTCTCTCTTACCAATGGGGCATTGCAAGAAAGTTGAGTTGCGATCAATTGCAAATTTGCAATTAATCGCAAGACTTATGCTTGATTTTGGGGGATTTGCAATTGATTGCAACTTTCTTTCCATTAGAATATGCCAGATAATGAAAAGGTCAATAATAAAACGTCTTTATCCGATAGATTTCATAGTAGTAGGATTAGCCTGAAGAATGTGGGGGAAATGCTTTCACTGCTAAATTGTACACAACTGTATTCTTTAATTTTATGTTGTAGATATTGTCTGAAAATTGTACAAATGTAGAAATGTATATATTGTGAATGAATATTTGACCATACTTTTATATATATACAGCAAAGCAATTGAAAATAAATAACTGGTTTCTTTTATACATATAATCCTTTAATTCTTCATTGTTTTCTTGTTTTGCTTTGTAGGAAGATATTAAAGACTGTATACAACATGAAGCATTCATATCAAAACAGTTAATCAGATTTCTTTAAATTTACATGTAGTTGATAAATCTCCCACTCCTATTTTTTTTCTTCTTCTGTTGTGGAGTATAAAACAATAAGCAAATGTGAATCCAGACTATCCACAGATCAGTATCCTGTATAAAATTCCAGGATACAAGTACATGTATATCAAACAATTTCTTCTTCAAATATTTCATGTTTGATTTTATCGGGCCAACCAATTTAAAGGGATAGTTGAGTTCTGTTGCAGAGGGCGCTACACAAAATAATTTTTTGTGAGATAATGAAAAACTGAGTGTCAAATTTGAAAGAACATAATATTTAAATGACAATTTCATCTTTGTTTGATCAAAGTCGGATCAGAGACGGCTGAAATATAACGATTTCTAATACTTGTGTACCACCACAAATATTAGGTATTTTGAAAAATTTGAAAAAAAAACGTTGAAAAAAATGAAATAACTCCTTCTACGTCGTATTTCAGCCAATGCTGATGTTGGCTTTTTTGTTGGCATTTTCGTGTTGCTTATATTACGCACAACCAGCCGGCCCATGTATTGTTATTTTTAATTAAATAATTAACGGTCACCATGTTTTTTGAGAAGTGGAGCTGAATTGGTATGCTCGTATTGGCTAAATTTCACACATTTTGGGGTCTAAAATTACCTTCATAGCAATTTTGGGTTCTAAAAGGGCACTAGAAATGTCATAATGTCAAATGTCATAGAGCAATAACCATGCACTTTGAAGGCATTTACGGTCTGAAAACAGAACTCAACTGTCCCTTTAATATTTACACAAACTGATAATGACTGTGAATCAAAGTTCAAATTAGAACTCGATAGGAAGTATCAAGTCTTTTCCTTGTATTAGAAGCTAGTGAATAAAACAAAAAATTGTTAGGCATTTCCTGTCATATTTTCATACAGTTTATTTCAAGGAACAGCCCATCCCTGCTAAGCCAAGAGATGAACATGATTATGCTTTCTTTGCATGTCTCTTGCCAGTGCTCTACTTGGTCTACTAACATTTTTTATGGCGATTGTTATATTAATTTTTATGCCTCCGCTACAAAGTAGCCGGAGGCATTATGTTTTTGGGTTGTCCGTCCGTCCGTACGTCTGTCCGTACGTCCCGTTCTCGTGATCGCGTTATCTCAAGAACCGATTGGTTGATTCCCGCCAAACTTAAGTCATGTGTGAATCTCACAGAGCCAATGAACTGATTAGATTTTGGGGTCACGAGATCCAAGGTCAAAGGTCACAGGGCTCATTATTTATGCAAAAATGGCTCGTGATCGCGTTATCTCAAGAACCGATTTATGGATTCCTGCCAAACTTGAGTCATGTATGTATCTCACAGAGCCAATGAACTGATTGGATTTCGGGGTCACGAGATCCAAGGTCAAAGGTCACAGGGCTCATTATGTATGCGAAAATGGCTCGTGATCGCATTATCTCAAGAACTGATTGATGGATTCCTGCCAAACTTAAGTCATGGATGTATCTTGCAGAGCCAATGAACTGATTAGATTTTGGGGTCACAAGGTCGAAGGTCAAAGGTCACAGGGCTCATTATGTATGCAAAATAGCTTGTGATCGCATTATCTCAAGAACCAATTGATGGATTCCTGCCAAACTCAGGGCATGTTTGTATCTTGCAGAGCCAATGAAATGATTTGATTTTGGGGTCACCAGGTCAAAGGTCACAGGGGTCTTTATGTATCCAACAATAGCTTGTGATCGCATTATCATGAGATCAAATAGACAGATTACTATCAAACTCAAGTCATGTATGTATCTTGCAGAGCCAATGAACTGATTAGATTTTGGGGTCACCCACAGATGGATTACAATCAAACTTGAATTTAAAAATTGTTTCTGTTTTGGTTTGTAAAATTGCTCTATGGCCGAGGCATCATTTTTGACTGCGCGCAGTCAAAGTTCCATCTAGTTTTGCCATTTGATTACTGTAAAACAAGGAACATTTTCATGCATGAACTGTTCATAAATTTCTAAAATGTTTTTTTTTTTTTTTTAATTAATGCTGTGAAAAAATTGAATCACAGCTGACATAACATCAAATTCTTGCAATTGATGAAAGTCTCTTGCAGTAAAAAAAAAGGATTTCCTCTACAATTCGCAAAAGTTTCACTTGGTTGGCAAAAATTATTCATCTATTTTATCATGTTGTGGACGAGTATCTAAACCTGTCCCCTTACTTTTTTTGTTTTCCTTCAAATTACTGAAGATTCTGTAATTTCAACTATTCTACATATTTATTCATTAATATTATAACTTTGTACATGCTCCGAGTACCTTCCTCCCCCTCTCTCTCTCTCTCTTACTACCCTTCATTGACTATTCTTATCTCTTATATCAACAAATGGATGTATGGGATGAATACATTTTATCTTTTTTTCCCCCTCTAACCTATCTCATTCAAATATCTGCTATTCTTACATCTTTTTGATGCCAGTTTCCCCAAAACTTCCTTCAACTCTCTCTCGCCCTCTCCTTCTCTCTCTATCTCCTACCTGAAAGGTATTTTCCCTTTATTTTTTAAAATACAAGTTATTTAAAGTATTTTAACATAAACAAAAGCGAACAACCAATCACTTTTCATTTCCATAATTTATTGAAATAATAGACAATTCTTTTAATTTCCTTTTAAAAAGAAATTTTGAAGCTCTCTTTACAGTTACACTTACATGCAAGTGTTACAATTTACAAACATTTCACATAATATCTAAGATAAATTACAAACAATATGACTTTAATATATAATATTTTTGCTAATAATTTTTTGAATGCAACTTATATGCACGAGCTGTGACAATTCAAAATAATGTATAAAAATGAAAATATGTTTGACAAAATCATAAATATCTATTCAACACGTAACAAAACAACATCATTGCTACAATCTTTGTCAAGCGACAATAAATTAGAATAATTGCTGAAGCGATGAATGAATAATGGTTGACATTTTTTAAACACAAAGTCATTTTTCATAGGTTGGGTATACATGCATAACGTAAATACTTAATGTTTTTATTCATCATTTTAGTTACTATGATAATCATTGCACATTTAAAATAAATTGATTTTCATAGAAAAATCTGGGCAAGGTACATTTTTATGGTTGTTAATCTTTTTTGTTGTTTTCTTCTATTCTAAGTGCAGCTTTACATGAAAGATTGATGCCATAATTGCAACACTCAATGGGCATGGTGCTTGAGTCAAAACATTCAACAGTAGTTTCAGTTTCAAAAGAATAGGTCCCTTGTATAAAACAAAGATTACCCTGCCTAGATTTCTTTTGTGAGATACCTGGGAAACGTAACAGTGCAAAAAAGGATTCTCCCCATTTTTTTTCTAGTTCAAAATATAACTTATGATGAACTTGGAGAGAAAAATTATTTTTTGACCCCCCCCCCTCCCCCCGCCTAATTACTCATTTTGAATTACTCTCTCTCAAACTTTTGTTTGAAAACATTAAAGAACTTATAGCCATTGGGTTAGATATAATATGCACCCAATATGGTTCTAAAGACAATGCAAATTTATATAAAAAAGGATAACATATATTATTATCTTAACAGAATACAAAAACTACAAGTATTTTCGGGTCTTAATAATCTAAAACTATAAATGTGTCAAAGTTAGTTTCCCCTGCTTCATATAAGGATAATTAGATTTTTAGAGAAATATTAAAATTTCTGTATAAATGATATATAATTTGCCATTGATTCATATATACACTATTTAGATAGCATATCTAGCATTCCAATAAATTCCTTTCATTTCCACTGTTATTTGCACAATAGGTCAACTGACATTACACCTCTGATTAAATTTATTTTTCATAACTGGATTGATTTTTCTTCCCATTTAGGAAGAGTAAAGTCAAAGTGATAATAGTAATTAGAGTGGAGTCTTGTATAGCGCTTGTGTCTGGCACGTTTCCACTCCTAGCACTCCATTATTATTACCCCAGCTTTAGCACGGTAGACATTACAGCGCTCAAGCATTTGAAGGAATTAATTCCTGCCAGGTACCCATTTACCTCACCTGGGTGGAGTGTGGCTATTGTAAATTAATGTCTTGCCAAGGGACATTAGTGCTGCAACAGGGACTCGATCCCCGTAACTTGTGGTTCACAGTCCAGAGACTTATCCAATGGACCACAACACCTCTACAATGGTTGGATTAAATTGTAAACTATTAACAAACATGTATGACTTGTCATTACAAATTATAAATCTGTTGAATTGCACTAATTCACGTACTGCACAGCAGTAAATAAATTGTTTGAATTTAATGCTATAATACACATACCATACATTCTGGGATACAAGATGGCATTAAACATGTACCAATACATGTTAAATCACTGAATATACGGCCCCAAACAATACAATATCTATTTAAAAAGAGAAGTGAATAACAAGTCCAGATGATTTTTATGGGACAACACACTAAAATGTCAACTTGAAAGGAAAACACCACAACCTTGGATTAGCTGAATAAAACTATCCATGGACGAACAAATTTGTAAGCATAAGAGATTCTACTAGAATTTTGATGAAGATTTAATTTACTATTCAGAAAACAGTAGGCAAATGAGGGTAACATTCACTATATAAGCTTTAAAAGATGATATTGCTCAGTTTCCTGTGTATAGCATCAAAGCCACTCGCTCAATAATATTATGTGCAGATACTGACTGTAATTCTAGAATCGTTGGTCACGATGTTCTATTCCGATTCTCTTTGTGCTATTTCTTATCATTATCATCTCCACGATACACACAATGAGAATGCAAACAAGGCCATCAGAAATGATTACAAAGAGCTACACCCTCCTTTATCTTTCTTTGCTCAGCAGATTTAATTGATTTTTTATACTTTGCTTCATTATAAAATTAGAATCAAAATATATTTTCATACTTTTGAGTGCATATCAATCATTTCTTGCATCATTCATAAGAGTGTCGACTATAAAACCTTTGTGTAGCTAGCGCTCAGTGGAATCGTCTGATGACAGTTGCATCTCAAATTGGCAATCGCCTAATCACTAGTGCTCTTCAAATTGACAACAGACTAACCTTTATCTCCAGCATCAGTTGTAATACATTTCACTCAATCTTTGGCAAGACATTCATAACAAGAAAAACCATAATAGCAGATATGGCTTGTTTCACAACATTGTTTATAACTATGAAATTCCATCAGAAATTCCATCAAAATTATCAGGGAGATGCTCTAATACATTATTCTATCCTACTGATGGTGCATTGTAAGGTATTTTGCATTCTTTAAAAAATACCTTGGAGTCTATTTATAAGTGAATTATTCAAATCTAACATTCTGCACTAGTTTGACGTCTTCGCACTGTAACATGAAGAAGTGCTTGAAGACTGTGTCAGTTTTCTCTTCATCACTTATTATTAAACATAGGTACAAAAAGCTGAAGCAATAATTTGTTCGTAGATCTTGCTCACTAGTCTTTTACTGTTTCATTCGTATTATTGCATCTATTAATAAACAGATTAGGTGAGCAATCAACTAGCGGCTACGATGGTGTGAGCTATCTCATCGACCTTATAGTCATACATCGATGACTACTGAAGCTGCTACATGAAGTAAACATCATCAAACACTCAAACCGGGTACGATTTTGTTTTGATCAACGCAGGATCATCGTGTTTCTCTCTGTTGGTATCTCATTCCTCACGTTGGCAGCGACTCCCTCGGCTCGCAGAATGCTGATTGGCCTGTAGCAGGTCGACCCCTGGCCTCGAAGCTTGCTTTCCTAAGCTTCTCCTGGCATAGCACACCACCTTCCATCATCTCCCACATCCGTATCTTGGGAAGCACCGACGACTGGCCGCACCTCCACCCGTCACTGTGAAGGGGCAGGTGGAGGAGAGATAGAGAGGGGGCGTCAAGCGTTGGATTCTGCATGGGGAGATGGGGCTACGCCAGGGGGCCCTTTGTTGGTGGGGGTCTGCTTCTTTCTCCCCCACATGGAGCTGGGAAGGGGTGAGCGACCCTTCTTTGGTAGAGGCATGGTAGCGTTGATATCTATTGGCTGTGGATAAAAACAGAGAATAATTAGGAATGCAATCAATGTTATTGAAATTAACATAACATTATAAAAGTGAAACATACATTTCAATGCTCAGTACAAAGAGTCTGCTTTGACAATATAACCAAATTAATGAGGATTCAGCCTAGATCAAACCAGCTTGACAATGGCACGTACTTTACACAGTACAGGGTTAACTCTATGTTAAAGCTCTTTTGCATGGCTCTCAGCTCTCTGTATACATACAGTAGTCTAAAGCTTACACGGTTCAGACCCAGCATTACAATTGAAATGGGTTTATTTATAAGTTCTAAACTATTAATAATTAAACGCTTTAGTATAGCACATAACACACAGGGACGATTGCATGTCTCTATGCGCTTTACAGAATAGAATACCAAAGAAGTGGATATGGTGCACTGGGTTCATGATTGTGAGATCTTACAAAGTGCTATTTTTAGATTAGTTTTCAAGTTACTTCTGAACGTTTCCGAACTACTAATAAAGTAAATTATATTGACTTGACACTTACCACACCACTGTCGAGGGAGCTTACACTACTTCTGTGGTCTGCTTTATCTACGGGTGAAAGAAGAACAAAAGGAAATATATTGAGTTAATATTGATTAAATATAAATAACATAAGTGAGAGAATGAAATTATAATGGACTGAATATGAAGAAAGAATACGGTATGTAGAATTGAACAAATAGCATGTAAAAGCTTGTCTACTTCATGGTAATCAACATTCATCTTTAGGTCACATTTCATTATGTATCTGCTCCTTACTGGACCAATTAATCAAGCCTTCCATCCCCTTTTTTCCTCTTTCTTTTTACTTTAAAGTTACCCTATCTACATGTATTTAATTTTAAAACTTGCGTGCCAACTGGATGTACTACTATTTCCCTTTACAGTTAAAATCCATGTTCCAGACACAATCAAAACATGTAAATACCTTAAATCCCACTTATTAACCTACAATACGTGCACAAATGCTCTTTTAAAAATAGACAATTTGGCACGAGGAAAAGTAAATCCTTCAAAGATCAGCTGACAGGTTTATTTTTATTCTCCCCGCGCTTCCATGCACTACTTCATCTTGGCATCAGTCATCCTCCTCCATGCAAAACATGACTCCTAAGAATAGCATCAACGCATGATCCTCGCAAACAGGAAACGATTAGGAGGCTTTAATGCGTCGCCTTAATCCCTAAAGGGCCTACCACAACCATCCAAAGCAAATTGGCTACTTTCTTCTAAAAGATGATCAATCTTCATGCACTACATGGTAAGAAAGTTTACCTAATAATTTTTTGGGCTGTATATGATAGCACTTTTGGAGTTGGAAAAAAAAAAAGGAATAATAATAATAAAAACTCTTTAACACCTTCAGTCCTGCCATATTAAAAAATTCAGTTGGATTTTTGTTTGGATTGTGATTAATGATGTTACAAATGATCTTATTACAATTCTACAAAAGAAAGGACCAAGGTTTTTTCTTAATGCAACTCTTAGCGCCAACAGACTTATCAAGAATTATAAGAAGTAAGTAATCTTTGAAGGCTACCATGGTGAGGATAGATCTGAGCGAGGTTTGACCTTGTATTCTTTTGACACAGGGTTGGTTGACCCATCCTCGAGAGGAGGAGGAAGAAAAGAAAGAAAGTCTTTTAAAACTTACTTGCTGCTTCTTTGAGGTCCATGAGTGAGTTGGATAGCGTTGTTCTCTTGAGACTGCCATCCTTGAGGGGTGGGGCCAAGGAGTCCATGCTACCACTCAGGTTCTGAGTACTGGCTAGGCTCTCCGTGTCCAGACCTACCCCAGAGTCGGACGTGCTGGCCTGGCTCTTACGGATCACCTTCTGCCTCTCAAGCTCAGCTGTGGAGATGGAAGCGGGAGAAAAGAAATGGATTATGGTTTGTGGGAACAACAGACTGATCACATCTTGTACACCTAATCTACATTATTGGACAATATAAATGGTTAATTCAGGTAGCTAAAGCACTCACTCTGTAGGATTTTCATGCTTGTTGAGTTTCATACCATTAGGTGGAGAAAGGATTTGTACATTTCTACATGCATGTTTATTTCTAACATGACATCAAAGAGGTAGTAAGCTGTTTTGCATACACTGACATTCAGACAAAATTTGATGAAAATCTTGAAATATCTCAGATTTACCATGCCTATAATCATACCCGGTATGTCTTTTTTATGATTATAATTTAGAATGTCTTAAAATTGATTCACAAACCAAATATGCACAATTCAATGTTATTACTACACATTCCTTGCATTACATTTACAATGTTTCAAGTTAGTCACATTGAATGGTACATGTAATGTACCTGTTATCAAATAGTCAACATGTAATTTCACATATACACTAAATCTTTCCACTTGTTTTTCAATCCCACAAATAAAGAAGCTGTATTAAACTTGAAGGAAGTATGTAGGAAGTTTAAACTATGTCACACGGTTCTACAAGATCATTCTCATATCCGTTCAAAGGAAATCAAACTAAGGTGCAGTCAAGCTCTACCGTCAGGTGGGGCGTCAGGTGACTATCGGAGTCAAGGTGACAGGGATCAATTTCACTTTGCAATTAAAACTCGACAAATAATGCTGGTTGCTTTAATAACACATGTAGCTACAGGCATGGCAGACAGATAGGTACAGTTATTCATACATAGCTAGCATTCAGAAAGGATTTGATAGGCAGTAGAGCAAGCACATATTATCAAATAAACATTTTATTTACTTGTACTAAAGAGAACTGTTGCTCAGCTAGCGCCATGAGCGTCCCTGGATGGTGCGGGCGCTCTATAAGTTTACACTATCATCATTATTATTATTATATGTAATACAAGTTCCTTCCATGGAAAACCCTTTCATCTATGTCAATGCATAACTATAGTTTTCAATTAAATTGATACTGTTTCATGAAGTGTTAACTAATACAAAGTAATACTCCAATACACTATGCATTTAACACAATACCAGATAGACAGAGAAGCATTAGGACATGTAGGGCATTCATGCTGATACAATACACTGGGGCAAACACACAATGCGATACAAACTAAAAACAGCTGTTGTTAGGTCTAAACACTAATCTGACATAAACGATGCAAATGATTTGCTGTGTTAAAACATATGATTCATATCATACCAAGTATAAGCTGCTTGTGCAGTATCAATATAACAATGACATTATTAATCCATATGTAGATGGAAATTAGTTTTTAAGTATTTGGATTGTTGTATCACAAACGTAGAAACTGAAATAGCAAACTAATGCAATAGGATCTGCCCCTCCCCTTTTTACATCAAGCAATTCCACAGCAATCCATGCATTAGCATCTTCCAAAATATTATATAAATATTACATTTTTTCTATTTCATCATTTTAGGTTATCATCCTTTTTTTTTTTAAAGACATTTACTACATATCTATCACAAGGCCTTCTCTTTTATGTCTTTTTCATGTAAACACTCTGCTCAATTTAAAATATCACAGTTTGTGCAGCATTTTAGAAGTCACAATGTTTGCTGTGCTTTTGTTTTGTCACATATTAAGATTTCTTACCTGCCCATAATTTCCTTTTATTATATGGTATGGCAGCTGAATATAAAATGGGTATACACTGGGTTACTCTCTTGATACAGATCATCATGACGATCATATATTACATCCAGTAAAAATGTACAATACTAATTATCGTAGTGAATTAAGAGAGGCGGTATCAAACTCAAACAAAATGAAACATTCATAATATTTTGAAACTGATCCAACGTTTAATATAACTATTTTATCTGTTAAAATATTATCATCATGAAATCATGATTCATTGAGAATTGAGAGTAAAGAATAGTATTTTACAAAAATGTTAACTATGCCTATGCCTAGAGTCAATCTACAAGCAACTATCATAATCTAATGAGAATACTTAATGGCGTTACAATCAAATAAGCACATAGAATGTACATATCATACTGGTAATGTTCTTTGTCTGGTGTTTTGTCATATTACAGGCCATGTACTCCTATGGCATGTATCATCAATTTACAGAGTGATGTCATATATATTTTTGGTACAGACACTACTCAACAGACTTTCATTGGAAATCTCCGAGTATTCATTTGAAATGGATAACTTTGCTCATCTTAACTTCTTTTTAAAAACACATCATCTGTGTTGTTACTTTGGGTTTAGACCAGACAACCTCAAGAGCGTTTCAAGAAATGCGTATCTTGCTGTTAAATGTCGTTCTCATGAAACTTCCAATTTGACATGGATAACTTGACTCATCTTAATTCATTTTAACACATCATCTGTGCTGCTAATTTGGGTTTAGACCAGACAACCTCAAAAGCGTTTTAAGAAACGTGTATCTTGCTGTTAAACGTCATTCTCATGAAACTACCGATTTGAGGGGTAGGTAGGTAGGACTGAAACCAAAAGGAACATCTGATACATGAACTTTGTATAAAGCTTGCACATTCTACCCACAGGCTTTGACATGTACACGTAAACTCTCCGAACGATGAAGCGCACAATAGGCCGCAATACCGAGGAAGACAAGACATGGAAGGAATCGACCTACCTTCTATCCTGAGACTCTCCATCTCCTCGATCTCCAGGATGCACTCCCTGATATCTGCTACAAACTTGGTCCTGTCTTCAGGGTGGCTGGCGCAGAACGATGCCAGGGTCTTGTCCTGCCGCGAGACCAGTCGGATACCGTAAGGATAGTCTGAAGAAGAGAAGAGAGATTCACAGATGAAATCTAAAATCTATTTTTGAAAGGAAACAAATCCTAACAGAAGAGGCATAAATATTCATTCCTGAATGATAAACACCTATAAACCTAAACAACATAAATCAACAAATTGAAATGTAATCAAATTATTTTAATTAAAAAAAAGTTAATATTCTTTTGAAACATAATCTTGATCTTTCTTTTCCTCCTTCAGCTTGGTAACTCTACATTGAAAATACAACAATGATCTGTTTATCTGTATATAACCCCTAAATGAACTTGCTAATTACATACAAAATACATTCAAATTCAAGGCGTACACCTTAAACCTACAATTTTAATGCTCATATCATTTGGAATATACACTAATGTTCATGATAGTTGTATTAACCCATTTTCTACTGGAACCTGGTGGTCCCTGTATTTAAGCCTATGGGAATCAGAGAATCCGGTGGTCAAAGGATTAACTCCTAATCGATGTTATAACTTACGTTGTGATGAGAACTCTAGGACCGTGGCTCCCTGTAGAAGTACTTTCTTCTTGTATCCCAAGATGGCTCCGGTCTTCTTCTTGTACAGCTTGGTGATCTAGGTTCAATTAGGAAGGGTGGAAATAGATAAGTGATATTTCAAAGCTACACACGTAATCTGTAGATTTTATTATATTTTTCTCTTCTTGTAGGTTGCAACGAGCAGCTCGATAGCTTAAAGTTTGATTTTATACCAATGTACACTGCTTTTACAGAAATTCTTGAAAGGTGATATGTATCTTTGAAGAATTTGTGAAATTGAGGGAGTAATATAAAGAGGGATGAATAAAATAATGAAACAGAAAAATAGTGTGGGGGGGGGGGGGGGAGAGAAGTGAGACAAATAGCAAAAGCTAGAGTGAATGAAAAATGAGTAAATAGAGTGAGAGAGAGAGAGAGAGATGGGGGGGGGGGCTTTAAAAATGGCTATTTGTTGTTGTTTACACCAGGTAATATCGCTAATGATTTATTGAAATGTGTTGCCAGCAAGGTAAAAACTGATGTAGGAACACAATACTCCCTCTCTCATTACATACTTACTCTTAGCAAAGTGGCTTTTACCAAGTATATCTACGGTAGATCATGAGAAATACCTCTGTCACATCTACAAAACTGACAGAAGACCAAAAATGGACCAAACAAACAATTAAATTACCACGAATGGCAAAAAATAGGTTGGTTTGGCTCTGGTTTGGAGTTGGTTAGTCGATGTGACTGGGGTTGAAGAGAGGTTCTTTTTTTTTTTTAAGGTTGGTGATGTGAACTTACCAGGATCATATCATTGAGAAGGAAGACTTCCCTGATGTGCTTCTTGTCTTTCTTTGTAGGGTCATTGACCTCTAGAAGACTGCAGGAGCTTACAAGTCTTCTGTGAGGCTCCGCAAGCTGCAAAGAACAAATGAGTTATTGTTAGGAGGGTCGCTACAAAACTATCAAACAAATATGAATATATATGCCCCTGAACCATCATTTTCCCATCACCATACAACAGTTGGGTCCAATTTTTTAAGGAATAAAACCAATATTTTGTATCGGGAATTGTGTTCAACAGTTGCACCTTCTATCAAAATGGGGTGGGGGGGGGGGGGTGGAGCTGTGAAAAGGCTATACATGTACAAGTAGCTCTAATTATTGTGATTTGCTGGGTATCTGTTTCATATTCCAGCCAATATCGTAAAAGCATGAAGGCACAACGTAAAAGGAGGATAACTTTCATCATTAGTGAGTGGAACCAACAGGAACAGGATATACAGGTATGGACATACACGTAAAGGAAACAGAAGTAGGAAGCCTATACTTCCATACTTGAAATGAACTACGAAGTAAAACGGGGAAAACATGGCAGGAAAACTAGGATGGGTAAAAAACATTTCCTGGTGTAACATCCTGCATTGTAGGAACGTGGCAATGGCAGGATTGAACTTAGTTGGAGTGGAGAGTTGTTCTTCAAGGGTTTATATTACACATACACTTTTGTACCCGACTACTTTTACATCCTCAATTAAGTTTGAGTACTTCCAAGATTGTATCGGTTTCGCATCATACACCACTCAACATCTTCTATTTTTTAAAGTGCATGTGCCCAGTGATTTAAAGGGTCTTATCAAAGGTAATGATCACTGAGTTCTGATAATGATGAAAATAACTTTGCCAACAAAATTTAAGAAATCATTCAAATGTTCAAATAATTAATCAGATTTGACAGGCAAGGATACAGTATGTCATTAATAAACATGTAAAGATGATAACATTAAATCTGTCTGGAATACAATTCACAAGTTTTCCCACCCATGCATATCCTTGTAGGTGCTATACAGTCTGCATTATTTCCAGCACTTTCATACTTATATTTCATGAGGATACGTAAACATCCATTCAGAATGAATTTTGTAATAAAATCTCTTGAAGAACGAATCATTCCAGAACTCTGCATTACTTTCATGTCGATACCCATCTATAAAAGAAGTAAATTGGGGGATTTATAGTTATGACTACGAGGACTGTATGAAGGTGACTTACGGGGAAGGGTTTCTCTCCCAGGATGTTAGCTTCTAGTTTGCGTACAGCAGTCACATGATCTTCTCCTGGTTGGAAAGCTTTCTTCTTGATCCGATCAAAGATACCGGTCAAGAACTCAGGGTCTAGGTCATGCTCGTCGTCTATACCTGAAAGGTCACAGAGAAAAGATGAAATAAATTTAAGTTCTTCACAACCATTTGTCGAAGATTTTAATTTTATACATATTTTCTTGCTTTCAATGCATCTATCTATTAAACTTATTATTATACATACATTCTAGAACTGTCTCTTTCTTTCTTTATCTCAATATTAATATTAATAGTACATTACTCATGCATTCATCCATCTAAGAAATATACACATAACTATATCCATTTACATCTGTTTGTGCATTTCACTTTAAGACCCTTCTCACGTACTAAGATCCTTCACAGTTCGTCACAAGGTATATATCAACAATGATAATAATTTCAATCTTTTTAAAAAAAATCCTCAATGAAACCATTCCTATCGGACTCCTAGGCTCTTATACCGACTCTCCTCTTAATTTTCTTCCTTCTTCCCACTCTTCTCTACCCCTACCACTCAAGCCACCCTCTTCATCTATCATTCGTCATCCTTTCCATATCCCTCCCCCATCTACACCCCTCCTCTCTCTCCCCACTTTTCTTACCACTGAGATTCTTGATGAAGTCCGGTAGCTTCATCTTTCTCTCCGGTTTGACGTTGGGATTGTGAAGATCGGTCGTGAGCATGATGACAGCAAAGGATAGGATGAAGATGGTATCCAGGTTGTGGAAGCTGTTTGCAAACTCCGCGTTGCAGTAGCAGTACCTCTTCGAGAAAGCCTGCAAATGGGAGAGTAAACAAATACATTTTTCATTAATCACTAAAAAAAACAAACACTTTTCTCTCCTTTCATATATAGTCGTTAAAGACCATTTTAAGCAGGCTTCTGTAATCATTCATCTAACTTCTGCAGTGTTCTGCTGAATTATTTATTTCTTGCTTTAACACAGAAGGTGATTAAAGTTGTCTACATCCTGGTGATAATTTGGAATATCAAGGCAATTTCCCTAATTTTATTTCCTCAATAGAATCACTCCCCTGATGAACCACAATAATATGCTTTATCTCTCTTCATGATCATAGGGTGTAGGATGTAGTGTCTCTGATGACTTCCTTCAGAGGCTCCTAGCAGTAGACGTGCTATGTCTGTATAGAGCTATAAAAGTAATTTCATTGCTTCTGCTAAATACCGACTTTCCTGTGCTAGATCCCTTTTGTACGATAAGGATTACAACGAGGATAGATAAGCAATGTTGGTTACAAACCACTACCCTTTTTTTGAAGGTACAATATATATATATATATCGTCTGGTGAGAGATTGAGTGCCAGAAGGGCAATAACAACTAGCACTTTACATAGAGACATAGAGTTGATGCCCTTCTGGGCCCAGTTTCCTTGAAACCTGCAGAAGTCTAAGTTCCAGAAACAGTGTATAACCAAGAATAACTATATTACTTAGGGTGAAAGATAAATAAAATACAACCTTATTTAACCATATCTACATCTAGACCCTAAAACATCCCTTAATATGAACACCCACCCCCCCTTCCTACCACCATCACTTCAATATCATACCATCTTTGCTGCTAATGTTTACATTATGGCAATGATAACAGTGTCTCCTTTTCACTTCCTATGCTAAAACAACCAATTTCCTGACTTAGAATGCCATAACCTTTAGATATGGAATAGGTTTTCATAAGAAATAATAAGGTAGCCTGGGTAATTTTGGTTTATTTTTATAAACATGGAGGCTCTTTTTGAAAAAGAACAGCTGTAAGTTACCTGCTTTTAATTAATAAAACAAAAATCATATGACGCGGGTACAATTATTCTCACAACACAAAATATCAGGACAAAAAACAAAGTGACTCTACTTATATTCCAAAGAATGCTTCTTTTTTCCCATATGGAATATGGAATCTATGTCAGGTCTATTTTCAGTAGGTTTGCAGATTCAAGAGGCTTAGATGTCTAACTCTTTGGTCTAAAACACTCTTTAATCTGCGGATTTGAAAATTTGGAATATCATTATTTTAGTGCTTGTCAAGGAAACCATTTTGTATAGTGATTTCCATTTACGTGCATGTACTGCAGCCTATTCATTCTTGTGTTGAATATGCACACAAACATGTATGATCACGTGTTGCCCACATATATTTAAGCAGGTATGTAACGTGAATACCAATGTGACCTTATCTCTTTTGGCACTGTCATTCTATTCATGAAACAACCTTGCAAGAAAATCCTCCTATATATATATATATATATAGTACAGTAACACACACACAATTGAGTAAAAGCAATAAATCATTTTCCACAGCATGTGTGTAGTGGAGAATACTAAAGAGTTGCAACAACAAAAAAAGGAGCAAAATATTGCTACAATTCAACTAGTTTTACCTGAATTCAGCGGCTTATCTATTACATCCCAACAGGCGTTCTAGAATATCATGTCATTATACACAATATCAAATGCACTTTAATTAGAGAGTCATAGTCATTGTTATCTTCTTTTTCTAATTCTAAGAAAATAAAAATAAAGACGAAATTCCCTATAAATTTCCAACAATTTTACTTATTATTCCTCCAGGATTATAATGACTATACCATTCAAACATCAGGAAAGGTAATTGAGTGACTTCCTAGCCGCAAACCGCTATGACGTCCATTTCTAGTGTATTCTAGGTAAAATTTACGCCTCTTGTTCACCCGAAAATGTGTTTATAAATCCTATCTCTGGATCGATGAATGATGATTTCAGAACATAGTTACATCCTGGTGATTTAGTGGAATTAATTGGCACAAGGACATATGAGTTTGATCAACTTTGTCTTTGTGGTAATACTTACAGAAAGGACTTTTTATTGAGATCACCGATCTATCTTTTCATTTTGGTCAGGTAACATCAATCTTGAATACTCTTGATATGGGGATAATCATCTTTACTAACCAAGATTGATGTTGTTTTAGGAGAAGGTACCTTAATAGGCTTGTCAAGATGATGTATTATAATGAAATATCATGATATATCATGTATATGTATGAGCTAGCCCTATATACCAAAAAAAAAGGGGGGGGGAACAGTTCTTAAATGGGGTATTGAAGGGCATTATGCTCTGTAACAACCTTTCGTGTTACAAGCACTGTGTGAAGAACATCACAGAAATAAAAAGTTGAACACTTATCTGCAATGCACAAAATAGTTTATCATGCTAATTTGGATAGGTCTGTGTATGTCTGTGGTCAGGGTCTAATTCCTAGTGGTCACCAGATAAGTGGAGGAACTACACTTGTATCCAAAATCTGACCACTTGAACACTGTTAATCAGGTCTTATTAACACCAGTATTCAAACCTTACAAACATTGAACCCCTACAACCCCCGCCCCCACTTCACTCACAACATCTAAATCATAAAACATCCCCTCCCACTCTATTACTTCAAATAGTTAAGAGATGATAACTGCGAATAGGGTTTATGTATCTAGGGCATGGACGACACCCAGGATTAAACCCAAGTGTCCTCGCCGTGATCCATTGTCGGGTCACCACACCCCGGGTCTAACCCGACTTTAATCCCTAACGTGTGAAATGCTTTCATACGTGTCTAGGGTGTCTGAGTAGCTAGTGAAAAGTGCAGAGGGCTTTCTTCTTCAACCGACTCAGGTGTGGTGAATTTAGGAGATTTGGAAAATTATGAACGACATCATAGATCCTCAAATAGAGCATGATTTACTAGCCTGGCTCTCAGACTCTCTGAGTTATTCTCATAATTATACTCACCACCATTTAAAGATTGAAGAGAGTGAGAATATATTTTCAAGTTAAACCTTTATATACACTACTATCAATGGTTAAACTTAACTATGACACTCAAATAATACAAGCGAGATGCCAGACTTGATGATTGCTAATCTCAGTGCATATGCCTAAAGGCTTGTGACTGCCAAAGTATATTCAATTTGATGTATCAAATAAAGACAAAGTACCTGTACACACACTCTTTATAAGTGGTTTAAATTGTTTTAAAATGTTTTCAATCAATGAAAGGGAGATAAGAAAGCAGAAGTCGAACCCTCTTTGGTTTGGTTCTGATGCAATACTTAATTTTTTAATCACAAAAAGATGTCTCTTGTCTCATTTGATCAATTGAATGTCTGATTTGTGAAGTGCATTTCAATAAGAACTGTCGTCTCTACTCAACTGTCCTTATTAAAAACCGAGAGGTGATCGAGTGGAAAACCTCTTTAGAATTAGGTCCTCGAAAGAATTCAGACGCACCCTTTTTGTACGACTTTCTAATAACCTTCATTTCCACTAAACTTCTTACATGTTATTGAAGTCGCTGTTATACTTGGGGTACTCAAAGACTATTTTTCAGTGGCCTGTCTTTATCATTTGATTGGGATTTTAATTATTCTTTATTCATTTCTTGGCTTGAATTGGTCTTTAATCCTCCATCTTTTTTCTCACCTCCATCAATCTTTCAATCTTCTGCGCCTCTCCCGGAAGCAAGAAAGACATCTGGAATTTCCTCAGCGCCTCATCGATGGTTAAACCTGTGAATCCCATAGCTTCCACAAAACATCTGAAAGAGATAAAACATGACATCAAAAGGCAATGAGAGGGACTGTATAGGTCGGCTGATAGGCATCTATTGATTTATTACCAAGAAGAAACACTTGAAGAAATAGGACTATGGTATAAACTGTACATAGATAGATGAAATACAATTTCAAAAAGTCTTTTGAAATGGCTTTACAGATGACTGATTTGCTTGCATCACAATACACAAATAAAAAAATGACACACAACTTTGAAAGTTGAAACACATTTTATTTTTCCTAACAGCTCCTTCGGTTACTAGTAAGAACTGCTACTTCTATTTTTTGTCATAAAATACAAAACTACTAATCAGTGGTTGGGACCAAATGTATCTAAGATCATATAGACTGACATCTTTGACATTTTGCTTGAGAAAAACATAAAAATTCAAGCACTCGCTGTAACCAATATATAGAACAAATCAATATTCTAAGGTCTAAACTCGACTAGGTGTGAGGTCAAGCACTGTAAGTCGTCATCAGCCGAGCATTTGCAGCAATCATTGGGATACAGACGTCAAAGCAGGTAGAAAATCAATACCGCACTTATATACAGACCCATACAGTGAAAAGTGTGTTAGGAAATCTGAGAGAAAAAAAATACAGCAGATGTTTCTGATGGACAGCCTTTTAGTTTTAGAAATGACCCCTTGAAAGTGTTACACTGGACTATGGTACTGGTATGAAGGTCCTCGGTTAGAAAAATAACTGTGGGAATGGAGGCATTTGGTTTGAACGGCATTTTGGGTATTGATCTGTTTATCAAACTATGACAGGAAAAGTATGGGGGAAATTGAAACAAAAACCTGAGTTAACTTTTTTGGATTAATTACAGTGGGATGATTGCCAAAAATTATTATTTCTCAGATTGATTGCCAAAAATGATTATTTCTCCTACATATTCAGTGGAAATTTTATCAAAGGAAGGACCCATATTTCCCAGAAATAAAGCATGCATCAAAATTTAATTGTTTACATTAATTTGAAGAAATTCCAAACTTTAAAGCAAGGAAACTGGAATTTCGAGCAGCATGAAATGGTTATAGGAGAACAGCTTACCATCAGCAACAAACTCAATGACGGAGGAATAAATAATAATTTTGAAACAAATATCTTTCCGTAGCCAAATAAATCATATCTTGCTATATTCTGCCTATTTGTATTCTTTCTCTGCAATTTCACACTGTCCCGAGCATGAGGAGGAAATTAGAATCTCTTGATACAGGACAGGATACAGATTAATTAATGGCTCGTTAATTATCTATTCTCTTTGATAAGGCAGGATGTGGACAACTAGCCTCTAACACAAAATCAATTTATCTCACTGATAACCATCCCCTTTTAACAGTTGTTGTTTATCTATCTTTAACATTTGACCGAGTAACTTTTGTTTTAAATAAGTAAATTCTTGTATTCATGCACTAAATATCCATTCATGTTTTATTGATCAGTGATTGGTTCTGGTTGCTATTAAACTGAGAGTGCCTTATGCAATGTGTAGTCAGTATATATATACTTTATGTACTAATATTTATTATACACTGAATATGATATGATTTATGGCATATTAATTATGTGATATAAAAAGAAAACATCCCCTCCCACAGGCCTATGTATTTTGTGTGACTCAGTAATGTAGTAGTGGAGAAAAAGGAGTCATTTATCAAAGCCATGCTGAAACTGAAAATTCTTTTTTTTGTAAAGACTCTTTTGTCTTTTACTGATATCATCCGTTAAAATTAGAAATCAGTGAAAGTGCTGATATAGATAGTAAGTTATTTCATACGGTACAGGAAGTTTAATCTAGGGCAAACTGGGTTTGGCGTGTAAAAACATGAAACAAAAGATGAAATCTAAGCATGATATAACATGGTATTTCATGATAAAACATGCTATTTCACTGATTTCTCTCTACTCATTTTCAAAACAACCTGTTTGGAAAGGAAGGGTGGGATAATCTCTGTAAAATTAGACAAGAAAGTTGAAAGAACAATAAGCGAAAGCAAACTTAAAACAGAGACCAGCTAGTATTGCAATGAGTCATCGACATTCAATGTAACATCTTATATTTTTGAAAGGAAGTACCACCACTTCCGAAGCGTAACCCATCACTATTATAATTCATTCCCTCATGTTTTTTTTTACAGGAATCAATTCAGTATGTGGCTGCTAAAGAGAAAGGAAATTCCCCCAATGACAAATTTCTACCAACTTTCAGCTTTTCTCATAACTGGTTGAATACATGGCCTTGTTCTATAGTTAACCCTCAGCACAACCTGTTCAATCTTGTTCTTTCTTGTTTTGACTTCGATGGGAACTTGTTTGCTACTTATTTGGAGTGAGGTCCTCATAGCTTATTATGTAAATGATAAGTTTACTGCATGTTTATTCCATGAATCGTAAGACCTCTAACTCATTTTGGTGATCATCCTGTTGGAGCCTATGAAAGCCTAAGTGAGCTATCAAATAAAACGAAGAAACTTGAAAAACCTGAAGAGTTCCATTCCTAATCTATTCCAACAAAAAGGGAAGGAAAATTGAAAAAGAAGATTGGATATTAGAAGAGGAAAAGAATGAATAGCTATCAGGGCATCGATCTGATCTCTTTTAGGTATACTTCCACCGGATTCAGGTCATGGTAATCATCAAAAACCATGGTTATCCCAACATGCCTGGTGAAATGGAGAAGCGTGATTTGGAGAAGAAGGATTTGGTAATGCTTGTTGGGTATCTAATGCACTGAAAGGGAATCCATGTGGTTTGAAACAATCCAAAGCTTAACAGGGTCCTCGCTTCCTGCTCCGGGACGACACAGATTTGGCGCCATTTTGTTTGATGGCTAAATGCCAACTTCTTGCTGCCTAACTTTCGTTACAAACTTTTGTCATCATTGCTATCACTCATGAAACTTGAAATTCAACTTCATGATGAGACATCAGAGAAAATGAAAGCAAAAAATGTACAGAAACCTGATGATGAGCAGACATCTTTTGAGGTTTGGAGGTTGCTCATCATCAACAAGTTTTAATGGGAAAGTATCTTGATTTCACTATGGATCAAGAACAATTGGCTAAAGAATGAGACTGAAAGCACTAATGCAGAAGTTGATCTAGATAAACCAAACTCTGCATTCAAATTATCTTTTTTTTTTTAAATAAAAAAATGAAATACTTACTCTAGCACCAACTGATTGAAGTCCTTCTGAAGGTTGCCAAGGTATTCGCCGATCTTCTGTTTACTGAATCCCGTTCTCTTGAGAAGGAACTTGGCGACCTCATGAGGAGAGTTTTCTATGAACCTGTTCTCGATCAAGAACTTGATTCCTTTCTCAGGTTTTCTGTTGAAATGGAGAGAAGTAAAGGAGAGGAAATATAACAATTAATACAATGAAAACCTGCATGTAACCAAACTTTAAAGTTCTTTTTTTTTCTTCAAATATCACAAACTGCATATGATGATCTGCACATTCTTTCTTTTTTTCCTTATAGATTTACACATGTAAGTACCGTCACCCATGAAACTTTCTCGTATTTCATAAGTGGGGGAGATTGTGAAACCTTCATGCTATATAATCAGTGAATCAAAACTGAATTAATGCTGAATTTTTGTGTACGTTGAGAAATATTCTTTAAGTGAAAATAGCTGTTGTTACAATTTGAATTATTCAACTAATATCATAACAAGATTAATGAATGGGATTATTGAATTAAATAAAACATAAAATCATCCCCTGTAGTGGTCCAACAATATCTACCATTTAGATATGGAAAGTTTATGATCCATCCTCTTCTCCTAACAAACAACAACAAACAAAATGAAAAGAAACAAACAAATAAAAAAATGTACCATTAAATCAAATTATTGTAATAAACTGCATAAATCCTGCGGCAAAATTGTTGCCTATTAACAAAGTTTGTTTTGCTTTGTTGTGGGTTAAGTTACCGGGACAGCGGTATCATATCATAGTCATAAAAAAAAATCTCTTAATTAATGCTGATCTCATAGAATAATTGCGGTTGCATGCATTCATATGCTATGTCATGCATACAACCTTGCAATATATCCTTGTACACGGTATTGTGTAGTCCCATTGCCAATTGTTCAATTACAAACAGAATTAAGCAAACATTTTCACACGCAATTTTGAGCAAAAATCTCATAATTGTGGACATAAAATCCATAATTTTAACTTTATTTTTAATAGGTATACTCAGCAAAAAGTTTAGGAAATATATATTTCAGGCAGGAATGAAATGATGAAATATTAATATAAATTTCTTTCCCTGCATTATCCTTCCTATCCTATCCTATCCTATTCATAATTACTGTCAAATTAAATGATTTGTCAATGAAATATCTTAAAAGGATGTTTCACACAAGACTACAATATACAATAACCCCAATCTGTTGATTCAAGAGAGTGCCTCTTTCGATTAATTATTGAAGGATACTGATTAAAAAAATTATTGTAGAAATGCAAGGCTACCCTTAAGGAATGTCTGATTAATTAAAGACAAGCAAAGTACAGCATTCCAGATCAATCAGATAATACAAGCATTGCTTAAAGTAAAGTATACACAAAAAGTACTCCTCCCTGTAATACACACGTCCATCAGTCCAATCTAAATTCTCCATCAATTAACAATTAACGCCATGAAACAAAGACATTATGACGTCAAATCATATTTCAGAACTGCTTGATTAATACACGACCCCCTAAACATGTTTAATTGCACGACTACGTGTAAAAATGTTAAAGGAAGTCATAGTATGACATCAGAATGCTGAACTTGTGGGGATATGAAATGCAAAGTAGAAAGCCACGCCATGTTGATATATGACGTGGAGTATTTCGGCAGATCACAGCATGAAATGGGTAGGGGGTACCGGGAATGACGTCAAAAGTATTTCCTGAGCCATGATCCGATTTCTTTCAGGTTTCTTGAACGTTTCTTTCACCCTGACCTTCTTCTAAGTCTCACTAAATAAAAAAGTAACCATGTCTGGGCACTAGGGTGCCTGTTTTTTGTGTGGTTTTATATAAATAGAGAATCCCTGAAACTATATGCAGCTAATTCAATCATTCATAACAAGCTTACCAGAAACATAATTCCTTGGAAGAAACAGGAAATAGAATAGACCTATACACCTGAACATTATTTTAAAAGATGTTATCTAGAAATCTAAAATCTTTTACATGGTTTTCACTAAAAATGGTACATCATCAAGTTTGTGCTACAAGACTAGTCTACTCAAAAGATAAACAAATGAAATGGACATTGTCTATTACATGACTGTTCATTTTGCAATGCGTTAAAAATGATAGAAACAGACAGTAATATACAGGTAAAGGATGTAGTAGTTTCAGTGGGCAAAGTTACACCCATAATTATGGTATTGCATTTGCAGGTAAAATAAGGTTATTTCATCCACCCATTAAGACCTAATTGAAAGAGAAACCTTAACCATCCATATTAACGCCCCTGAACTATTAAGTACATAACTATGTTAGGGATATAGAAGTCAATAGACACTCTTTTCAAATAAAACGGATTCATAAGCAGGATGTACAGAAAATATATGTCCAGGAAACAATAAATTGATTTCATCATTTCCTTTTCCATTATGAAACCATGCATGACCATGTGAATAAAACATGAATCAATAAACTTCAAGGATGTAATTCACAGGAATTCCCTGACACGTACCATATTGACTGGTTCAATGTACATTAAAACCAACAAGTGTAATCTAAGCCCTAGGATTAATTCATCTTATGTGATCAATGATCACCGTTATTCCATCAGTATTCATCCTCCACCAAAAGAAAAAGATGTAGCATTGGTCAAGATACATTCAAAATACTGTTCACTTGTGAACTAAACTCTCCCCCCACCCCCCTATTACTTTTCCACACTTTAACAGATATTGACAAGTGAAGACTGTAGAGCCATATGTGTATTTCAACCTCCCATTGTTACATATATCATAAACATACGTTTTTTAAGCCATGCATCATTATTGACATGTTGTACAATGTATGTACCAAGTGGGCATTCACATTTCATTGAAATATCAAAACTGAGTTTTGTGTAAAAAAATTGTTCCCATATCCTCATCAGAAATTTAATTACGATATTTTCAAATCACAATATTTTATGAAAACCTGCATATTGTTTACCATTGAAAACTTTCCATGGAAAAGCACATTTCAAGATTCAGGTAATAAATTTTTCATGCATGATTTAATAATAAATGTTTGCCCATACTGTGAAACCATTTCCCTTTAAAATGTACATGATTACAAAAGGGTTATGAAGGTGATTGCATGTATACTCACTTGTTGAATAGGTTTATTCCAACTCTATATCTCCTTCTCCTGGACGGTGTCATAGGAATAGATAACGATGGAACCAAGGGTCTCTTTCCACATAATTCCTCAATCTCTCCCGGTAATGTGTCATTGCTCTCTGATATGCTAGAGTCATCTGGGAAGGTGTATTTAGACGAACCACTACTCTCACTGCTCATACTATCACCAGTGTCCGATCGCGTCATTCTCACAGGAGTAGCTGATCCGTTCATGAGCGTGCCATTCCGCGTGCCTATCCGAGTGTCCTGGTTCTTACGTTTCCAAACGGGCGAGTTCATTTGTCCGGTGCTATTGGCTTTGGCCATGCGTCTCTTGGCAGTGATTGCCACATTTTTGTTTTTGTCTACTGATCCCGAGTGAGAGCGTGATGTTAAGTCTCCCTCCGTATCTGATCCTTCAGAATCCGTCGACGAGTGGACAAAATCCATCAGGGAGCCCTCAGGCGTCGCCACAACAACAGATGGTACATCCGAAGAGCTGCTCTGTTCAATGCTGATGACCTCAAAGCTTTCACCGCTGACGGTTGACGTGGTTGATATACTGTCATCTGCTCGTATGCTGGCCATTCTCCGACCGCCACTTATGTATTCCATGTTTACATCGCCCTCTGTGCCAGTACTTCCACTACTGCTTACAGACTCTCTCTTCTTATCTGTACTGCCTTCCTGCCTCATGCTGCCAGCCGGTGTGTGGCTGGCTCGTAGAGAGTTGCTTTCTATTGAATGTTCGTTACCTACACACTTCCTGTCTGCTACTTCCTGTGTTACAACATTTGAATCTGTCCTTGTCAGGTGGCGGGAATAACTGGTATCTTGACTAGCTTCCACATGTTTGGTGGTCGAGGTCTGGTCCAGGGACTTTCTACCCTCCCTGTGTACTACTCCGATGGGGGGAGACTGCACCCTAGGGCTCTCCTTCTTGACAACTCTGCGATCTATTACGGGAGACATGACATCGTTACCTACAGAAACAGTCTTGACAGGTCTGCTGAGGGTTGGGCTTTCACTACCATTACCCATAGAGACATCTTTCATTCCTGTCAGTACAAACCCACAATGGGTACTGGAAGGCATCTCACTAGCCCTAACAACCACCGGACTGAGGACACCGACTCCTGGACCACTGTTCTGAACAACTTGAGGGCTCCCTGACATATCAGGTATGCAGACTTTCCTTGCTACCTGTTTCTCACTCGTAGTGATGATCTTGGTGACAGCCCTACCACTGCTTGGAGGTGAACTGCCAGGTGAGATGGGGGGAGGGGGCGAGACAGAGCCCCCTTTAGGAGAAGTCTTCCATACCTCCTGTGACTGCACCCTAACAACATCCTTCTGAGTAATGATGGTCTTCTCTGATCGGGATGCCTGGCTCCTCTCCTGGATCTCTGTGGATGCATTGTGTCTCGTCATCGTCAGGGTGACGACAACCTTCTTCCCGCTTCCCTCCTTCATCTCTTCAACATCCCCACTATTACCCTTGTCCTTTGGAGTGACCACTCCCTTGGGAAAGACATTATTGCTGTTATTCCGATGTTGCTCCGTTGGTGTTGAGGAGCGCACAACGGGGGATATACTGCTCTCATTTATAGTTTGTTTTGCTTGGGACTCTAGCTCCCGCGTAATACCGGCAAGCTCTGCCCCTTCTTCTATTTTCTTTTCTAATTTTCTCATGGCTCCTCGTGTATCTCTCATTACGGGAGTTGATGTATCAGTGTCTTCTATTACCATAACCCTAGCGCGATTGCTGTGCTTGGAGTGGACCTTTGCGGAGTAGTTCTTTAGATAGCTTGAGATGCGTGAATCAGAACGTGTTCTTCGGAGTCGCTGGAATTCTTTCTGAAGTTCATGCTTGCGATACGCTTGTTGAATTACATTAGCTGCTTTCTGAGCCTTGGTGCGACCGCCATAACGCTTCTCTAGCATCTCAACCTGTAGAAAAAAAGACAAAAGAAACAAACCATTCTTTTAGACAAAATTTTCTTAAAATTAAAATAATGAGTATTTTTCATATAATCAATAAATACACAATAATTGTAGTTTAGAAAAATGATCTCAAACCCCTGTTTTTTGCAGATAATATTCCTTTCCAGAAAACTTTAGGGGAAAAAAGGTTTATTTACCTGCTTTAATAGATAGAGAATCAGTGCATACCTATCTCACTCCAAGTCCAATCAGAAAATGCCTGAGTATACAACAATCACTCCACCCATGTTATCACTGAACAGTCAATTATTGGTTCAAATCCTACTCGTGGGCCACAAATTAACATCCTGTGCACACATCATACGCCCAACACATGTTCACTTCGCCGCCGATGGATATCAACAACGACACTGTCATACAATTACGTTGTTTACCAACACCTGTCAATTGCCTCGTAGTATTCCCCTCTCATTGGCAGTGACACATGCTGCCGTTCCCCATTCTTTCACAATGGACTAGACCGTGAGAATGGCAATCGGATCATATGACGGTTCAACCTTAATATGACCCGGAAGTGATTTGTACTTTTTTGCTCTTTGGGAATAGACCAGATGTGTCTGGAGCTCTGTCGTAACAAAACAGTTTGCACAAGGGGGGGGGGGGGTGCACATTGGTTATTGGTCTGTAGAAGCATACATTCTACAGGTCTGGACTTTGGCCATTACATAACACACAAGACCTGTAAATGATTGAAGAACTATAATGGCTGTTCAAACACGAGAAGACTAGTCTACCTACATAAATACACAACATTGGTGATTCAAAAGCAAGAGAATCCCAGACTTAGTACTATAAAGAAACTTAGATTTCATTGGTATGAGCATGACCAATCATTCAATTGTTTTGATTGATAGCAAATAATTTGTGGGACTTGTGAAACAAACAATCCATTTTTACCTGGTTTGCAGCCATGAAACCTTGTCTTTCAAATGTAATGGCTACAATGTATTAATGATATTGTAAGCAGATTTTAGCTTGGCTTGGCTTAAACTACAGGGAAGGTGATATGTAGACTACATTTTAATGTCTGTACCAAAAAACAATTTCAATTGTGTTTTAATTTTAATTCCTATTTTCTCTCAAGCAGGAAGTCATTAAATTAAAATGGTTATATCAAATAATACAACATATTTATTTAAAATAGATATAATTTTCTACAATTACTTGGTATGGTGCAAAAAAATGCTTCAATTTGTGATTGAGAATATTCTTTACTTTAACATAAAAAAACAACTTGATGCCAATTCCCTATAAGAAAGGATGTTGGAAAAGGAGGAAGGATCGGTGCTGCCTCAGATCTTTTGAATGAAGACTTACCTGTTTTTGTTGTAGATCAGGGGATAGTTCATAGGAACTGCCTAGAACTCTGGACTGTTTGATCAGACGTTCCTCCTCCCTCCGTTGCTTGATGGACTTTTCTCTCCTCAACGATGCCCTGTTCCTTGGACTAGGCGAGAGGTCCCACCTGATCTTGGTGGGTTTCTCCTGCGAGGTACCCGCTAGATGGGTGGTAGGAGAGTCAACTGCGATGGAGACGGCTCGACTGACCCTGCTGTGAGGCGTGGACTGTCGTAGAACAGCCTGCTCCGGAATGGTTATACTCGCTTGAGTTGGAAAGACCCTACCGGGTGAGCCGTGCGGTTGAGGAGAGTCTGTTGTTGAGGCTGATGGTGTATGGGAGTTATCAGTCTGGATTGCTATGGTCCTGGTTTCTGGCTTCGGTTTCCTTTTTGGTATAGGGCGTGGGCTGCCTTTGACAGCAACCTCAGGGGTCGGTGAGGTGTGCAGGGAGTCTTGTCGAGGTGGAGGAGTCCTCCTGGGGGTCTTAGGGGTTGTATTTGGTTTTGGTGGTGGACTGGGTTTCCCTCCACGAGGGGTTGTACTGGGTGTCTGTGGGGTAGGTGTTGCTGGTGGGGTACTAGGTGTTGGTGTCAGTGGAGTACTTGTTGCGGTATCCTTTGCAGGGGTAGACTCAGCAGTCTTTGGTGTGTTGGAGTTGGAATCCTTTAACAGATCACTCGGATCTGTTGCCAGTTGCTGGTCACTGCACAAATGACAAAAACAAAGAAACTACAGTAAGCAACAGTACTATTATTCATGGCAAAACACGTGAATGCAAAGTTTCTTACTAACTAACTGAAGAAATTTAGATTTGAAGAAGGCATTCCAAGAATCCATACATCCAATCATTATTACAAGATTGACTCTTATCAATGTCTATACGGTAAGTAATCACCATGGAAACCAATATTCTACAATTGTTTCTACCGACGCATGGAGGAAATCTCTTGCTAATTAGGAGGGATTCTGTCAGACACTAAATATCCAACTGTCTCTTAAAAACAATGCTTGTTTATAAAGAAAATATTGTTATAACTACTATCCAATGTAAAAACTGAGAGATTTTTTTCCTTCTTTCTTGCAATAGCTGATTTTGTTCAGTTGAGTAATATAATAAAACTATTTTCCGAGATGGCTTTCAAAACACTATAATCTTTTCATGATACTCTTCGAAATAAAGAATTTTTTTGTCTTCTCCTTCATATCTAACAATCTTTCTGCATCTTCTGTCAGACTCTCTCTTTCTCTCTTAATTACCAGACTCTCTCTTTCTCTCCCACCGTACTCACTTTCTGCTCGATCACTCTATAAATTACCGGTATCTACCGTTATGAGTTCGTGAAGGACAGATGACTGGTTTGAAATGAAAACTATACTCACATGTACCTATTACTGCAAGTTTTTGAAATCCACACTAAAAAGTTATACTCCCGGCTACTGCAAGAATCCAAATGACTTTGAACTCCAATTACAAATCATTGATCCAAGACAATAGTAGCCTTAAAAACCTCACAGGTGAAACAATTTATATCTATTTGCATATCACTCCCGTTCTATTGCACGATATCACTCATAATTCCCACACACATACCGGCACATTGTACCAGTGTTTGTTTTTGAAACGATATTTCAAATTCACCATGCGTCACAGTCCAATGCTTACAAGCATACACACACACACACACACACACACAGAACACACGAAGTGGGTAGGCTCAACATGCGTGCAGAAGGAAGTATCGGTGACGTAAACCTTTGATATGTAAATGAGGTGGTGTCGTACTCGGCAAATGGAGGATCTATTAATGGCAACGCCCCCTAGCTGACTGCTGTTTTTTCCTCAGTGCCTATTTATCGTGATTAGTTGGAACAGTGTGGTATCAACTATCATTGCATGGTATTTGATCAGAAATGTGAAAGTTAAAACCCACAACTACAAGATCAATATCAGTAATGTAGTCTTATGTTTTTTCTTTCATATACATGTACATCATAACACTGTTGTTAACAAGTGACAATAATATTTGCTTTTTTTTCAATGGTATGCCAAATATGTCACTGCAATAACAAGAGAACGGGAATGCAATTTACTAGTTCAGTGAAAATTGTAATACAAAATCATTTCTGATTTTGCTTGCTCAAGCATAGGTTGTTTGCCAAACACCTAAAAGGGGTGATGTGTTTACAAAAATTCTAGGCTAATAGACCACAAAACCGTCAAAGAGATGTATGCTCCATTTTTATCTGTCTTTGTTAATTTTAAAGTCTAATTTGCATTGTATTTTGTGGTTATACAACGATGAAAACAAGAAACCCCAGTGATAATGCAAATTTTTGATTGATGGAATGTCTATAAATGTCTACAGCTCGTTCTGAGGTGAGCATGCATACTGAATGAAATGGCAAGACAAAAATATATGAATTGTTATTTGAAGTTGAAAAACAGGGTTATAAAAATATCTTCAAATGATTGAGGAAGTTACAGCACTTAAAGATTAAGGTTTTTCCCCCTCCCAAAAAAAACGAAACAAAGACGTTTGACGGAGACAAAGGAGAGTATTCATAACATGGAAGACAGATGCATGATTCTGCGATATTTGTTTTTAAAGTTAAAGCCCCTCTGCACTAGTTTGGCCAGGAGGGATTAGACCTCCCTGCATGGTCACTGACAGGTGGTTTTCTTATCAAATCAGCTCTCAATTAACATAAGAAAAAGGGGACCATGGGGGACCAACGGTGACCGCTTAGGCATTGTTTGCTATATAGAGGGCACAAGTAGCTATAAGTAGTGCAGTGGGGCTTTAAGTTAAAAAAAGAAAGAAAAAAAAAGAAGCACCACCATCATCTAAAGCCATGGTGTCAGGAGTGGGATGTATTAATAGCTTGAGATCAGTCGCACCTGAGCTGAGGATAATCAGTAGCTTGATATAGAAACAAGGACACCCTCCATGCTCAGGTGACCTGAAGATTATCGTGTTAAGCCAAACAGGCAGCAGCTAGATGCTTACACTCCCAGATGATACTCAACAAGTGTTGACAATTATGTCTGTAACCATATTTAGAAAGCCTGAACTACTGTTAGATAGTTGTGTCACTAATTCCTAATTATAAAATGTATATATACCTAAATGAAACATATGTGTAACATTCAGAGAACATGGGCGCAAAACCTGTCTAAATTTACTGCTCAGGAACTACCAAATTTGGGAATCAATTTAGTTTTAATAGTTTAGTTTAGTTTAGTGGTGGTTATTTTACCTGACTGCTAGAAAAGCATAAATGCTTGTTAGTAAGCAATTTAGACAATCACTGGTCCAAACTAATCTAAAGTTTCCTGTCTAACCTTATTGTATATTTTTTGGGAGATGTGTTATCATATCATTAATATTCTTCCTTAATACTAAATCAGTGATAATACATGGAATTGAAATTTAGGAATCAGAATTTTGAAACACCAAAAATGTGCATAAAACAGATTAGCAGAAATACACATTCTCAGCATTCCTATGCCCTTTCTCTGAATTCTATATGTAGATGACAACAGACCCTAGGCAACATAAAAGCGCATAAACTATATTTATTCCCAGGTACAGGATCTATGAATATGTTGAGACATGCTCCGGGGAATATCGTCATCATACCCCCATGCCTCTTATTCACTTTCCTGTCTTAACTGTATTTCTAGAATGGTGTTTTGCGAGGTTCAACAAGGGGTTATCAATTCCTTGGGGCTGTTTTTATTCAGATGTATATACTACAGACGAACCTTGCTTTGAAATGGTTTGAGTAAACATTCTTACAAAAGTGAAAACATATTGCATTTAATAAAATCACTATGGCTCAGTGGAATTGGTAAAGCAGAGGTCTCATAACCGAGAGGTTCTGCGTTGAAACCAAGTCAATGTGCTTGTGCCCTTTGAAGGCGTTAATCCTAATTAACAAGTCTCTCAGAGAGGACTCAAAGCTGTTGGTCCCCTGGTTGCTTACTTTAGCAGACAGATAAAACAATCATCAAAACATCAATACAATGTTATAAATGTTGCTTGTATATATACATTTACCAACTATCAACAAAAAAGGGGGACAACAACAACATTCTTGAATCTTTCATCTTAGTTCAAGTTTGCCTGAGCATTGCCTACATTGCGGCATACCTGCATTTGACCTGGCCCTGCTACTGCGGGGCGCAGATGACAGAGGGCCAATTATCCACTTCCCTTTGGGTTGTGGGTATGCTAGCTACCTGGGCTAGCTCATGGCACCCTTTCCTGTTTATTATAGAACAAACCTTGTGGCTTCAAATACCCAGTCCTTTATTCTCTCTTTTATTCTCTCCTTTATTCTCTCCTTTATTCTCTCTTTTATTCTCTCTTTTATGCTCCCTTTTATTCTCTCTGACCTGGTGAGCTGGCTGAGAGGACACAGTTTGTTCAGTCATCTCGATCCCTAAAGCTCTCAGTGACAGATGCTTCATAGCAAGGTTTAACAGAGCTCAATTATTGCGATGATCTACTAGTATAGGTTAATACCATCCCATTCCTGAGCTTACAAATAACCTGTTGACAAATAGTGTCTTGGTGATTGATTATGATCTTCTATAGGCCTTCACCTTTAACAATAATGACAGTGTTTGCATTGTTCAAAGATAAGATGCTCTACTAAACAAAATGCACCCATCCTTTTCATTGTGGTGAGGATATTTCTTTTACCCCGCCATATGCAGATTCATCTTTCAATGAATAGCTACGAATCAATCATAATTTCTTTTTTTATTTGCAAATAATATATTTATACAACTGAGTACCATTAGTCTCATGTCTAGGTAGGATCTGTTTTCTTCCCCTTATACTTTAAGCAAGACACCATAGACTTTAAGCAAGTCTAGAGTATTATAAAGCTAAATAAACTTTCCCATTAAACATCCTCGTTCTTGAGGGGCTACAAACTCCAGACTCAGCTAGAGTAATATTCATCACAAGAAAGAAAGAAAGAAAGAAAGGAAGATATAATAAAAAAAAAAAAATTTCCAGACAACTCCCCTCCAAAAAATTGTAATGATAAAGTACCGGTATCACTTTAAAAACAAGGCAATGCCCAGCTGGTCATTATTACTGTCTCATCTTCTACTTTCTTTTTTAGCCTAGTCTCGATCTTCAGTAGATGTGTTATTATCAAAGGTTCATGCTTCTTCATTCTAGTATGATTATATCGTCTCTAGCACCTTTCAACTAGGCCCCTGGATACAAAATGAGATAATTGTTTTAATAGTAGAATTAGTCTTTGGTCTACCAGCATAAATTAAAAAGGGAAATTCAATTTTCACAAAATGAGATAATCGTTTTAATTGTAGAATTAGTCTTTGGTCTACCATCATAAATTAAAAAGGGAAATTCACTTTTCTTCTCAATGAACAGCGTAGCCGTGTCTTGCAACAGAACAAAACTCCCTGTAGTGTAGTAGAGATGGTGCTCGGCAGCAGAGTCTCAACATGTCTGCCTTTAATTAGGAGAATACGAAGAGATAACCGAAGCTGCTCAGCTGACTGAGTAATTTAATTGAGAAAATATGGTCGTATTACAAGCATTAACAAGACAAATTGATTTTCCAGGGCAGAAATGCTTTGGTCATTAGGCCCTCTTTAGTCCTACTTTAGACTGTAGAGGATATTACTGGCTAATGCCCTTTCCAAAAATGGACATGCAT